GCCGCCCTCTCTCGGATGGTGGAATGGATTCGTAGCGATGGCTTTGGCCTGGTCTCTGGTGTGTCTGCTCTTCGTTTCTGGAGAGGGACACGATAAGTTTGTAACAGTCAATTATGGCGGAGACCGGTGTCGCAACTCGCAACGTCTATGGTGGTGAGTCCGGATCTGGTGACTAAGGGAGGTGCTTAGTCACTTGGCTAAGCCCCCCTCAGCCCTTGGATTAATCTAATGGTGTAGATAATGGAAGGACTATTTTATTAATAAGAAGGGCAATTCTGGAATTAGGAAAAATTCAAAAAAAAAAATTCTCCACCTTCTCTTCTGCGCTGCCAGCCACGGGATGAAGGCGACGATGGAAAAGAGGCGACCGGCGGCGACGATGGAGAGAGAGAAAGGAGACCTCGACCACGACGGCGACAGCGACGGCGACGATGGAAAGAGGGAAAGGAGATCGCGACGGAGGCGAAGGCGTTGAAGAGAGAGAAAATAGATCTGGTCTTCATCATCGGAAAACATAGGAGAGAGAGGCAATGTCGGAGAGAGAGCGCCGACGACAATGGAGGAGAGAGAGGCGGCGCGACGATGGAGGAGAGAGAGGCGGCGCGACGATGGAGAGAGAGAGAGAGGTTGCGATGGCAGTAGATTGAATCAGCGGCGGCAGCGGTGGAGAGAGAGTCGACGGCGGCGGCAGCGGTGGAGAGAGAGTCGTCTGAAGGAAGAACAGTGATTTGTATAGTTTGTATGTTTTGTAACATTAGTTTGTATTGTTAGTATTTTTGTACAAAATGTCAGTATGGTTTGTATGTTTTTCTTTGACAGTTTGTACTCTTAGTATGTTTTTCTTTGACAGTTTGTACTCTTAGTATGTTTTTCTTTGACAGTTTGTACTCTTAGTATGTTTTTCTTTGACAGTATGGTTTGTATGTCTTTCTTTGACAGTTTGTACTCTTAGTATGTTTTGCTTGTATTCTTAGTATGTTTCGCTTTGTATTGTAAGTACTAATAATTTGTATACTTTATATGTATTGATTTGTGGACAAAAATAACAAACATTACAAACAATACAAAAGAAACCAACAAACATTACAAACATTACAAAATAACAAACATTACAAACATTGCAAACAAACATTACAAACATTACAAACAAACATTACAAACAGTACAAAACATACTACACGTACAGAATATCACTATTTACAATACAGATTGGTAAACTTGTATTACAAACAAATGAATACAAAGTATACAAATCATAACATAAAAGTATACAAACTTGAATAACAAAAGTTACAAATACAAATCAATGAATAGAAAGTGTATAAATCATAACATAAAGTATACAAACTAGACAAACAAACATTACTAACATTACAAACATTACAAACAGTACAAAAGAAACCAACAAACATTACAAACATTACAAAATAACAAACATTACAAACATTGCAAACAAACATTACAAACATTACAAACAAACATTACAAACAGTACAAAGCATACTACACGTACAGAATATCACTACTTACAATACAGATTGGTAAACTTGTATTACAAACAAATGAATACAAAGTATACAAATCATAACATAAAAGTATACAAACTTGAATAACAAAAGTTACAAATACAAATCAATGAATAGAAAGTGTATAAATCATAACATAAAGTATACAAACTAGACAAACAAACATTACTAACATTACAAACATTACAATGTATACAAAATAGTAATATAAACATTACAAACATCACGAACTCAAATACTGTTGTCGGAAAACCATCCACCACCGTCTCTGGTCGCCGGAAAATTGCTCCGCCGTCGCCGGAAAAGTTGACTCTCTCTCTCTCTCTCTCTCTCTCTCTCTCTCTCATATTTTTGGGCAGGGAAGCCGCAACCAAAATGGGAATGGGGATTATAAAATCCCTCCCTGCTGTTATTTATCCCCGCCGCCGTTAGATGGGGAATGGAATTCCCTAACCGCCGGGAAGCCGAAAACTCCACGAGGGTGGCGGACGGGATGCGTAAATCACGAACAGGGGAAAAAACAGTCGCCGCCGCCGGTGACGGGATGCCGTAAATCATGAACAGGGAAAAAAGCCGCCGCCGCCGGTGACGGCAGAACCCTCGGCCAGGAAACAGATTCAAGTTATTTAATAATTAAAAATTATAAAGTGTTGTGATTACCAGATTACCCTTCATTAAATCAGATCAATTACAACCATTAGATTTAAATGAGTTTGGATGGCTAGGATTCACTTAGTCATGTGACTAAGGGCCCCCCCTTAGTCACCTGATCTTAGCACTATGGTGGTAAACCCGGCTAGTAGCGTTACCAAATTACGACTTACTAGCAATGAATTTCGTTGGGAGTTACGGGGAATGGATCAGGTCAGTAATCTTATGGTGAGTAACTATGAGTAACCCGCCCACATCAGCATGACATCAGCATCTTCTCTCTCCTGGAAAGCCTTTAATTTTCCCCTTCTTAATCTTTGACGGACGATTTCTCACTCGTTTTAAGTCAAAATTTAATTTTTTTTGCACAGTTAGATCAGATTAATTGTGCTCTTCAAAATGATATCCACTTTGATATATTTTTCGAACAAAAAAAATTGAGCTATTTTTTACTAGTCTATACCATATGGTATTGACTGGTATTGAAATAAGAGCATATCTATGGGTTGAAAAGCGTACCATGGTGGTATGAACAAACCAAGACTATAGGATGATTGAATACATGATAGTATAAGTATATTAATTGTCATTTACGACTTTTAACATTGTATACCATAAAATACCACCCCGTACCAGGGTGGTATTGTATGGTATTGTGTGTTATTTTTTGGTCTTGTAATTTGTTCACCCAGAAATTTGTAGATCCAATAGATCATGATGAACTCGTCCCTGCTGTGCAAACGTTTTAAAAAACGAATGAAAAACGAAGAAAATACCATATGGTATGCAGTTGGTACCGAGAGGCCAGAATTTTTTTTTCCTCAAAAAATATTGAAAATTGATCTCATTTTGTAGAGCACGATGAACTCGTTCCATCTGTGCAAAAAAAATTAAAATCCGAGTTAAAACGAAAAAGATATGAGTCAATTAAAAAAAGTAGTGAAAATAAAAATGGTCTTTAATTCTCCATCCTTAGATCTGGATTTTCTAAATGAAGGGTCCAGATTTGGTTATTGATGGGTGCATAACCATGGTTATGCACCCTATCTTGAGCCGGAGTTACGACCCACTCGACCATCTCCATCAATGTAGTTGCCTTATGTTTAAATTATAAAAAATTAAGTAAAAGATAAAAGAAAATAATATAAATAGAAAATCTCCTTTTTTCCATATGAAATTGCATTTGTTGCAAGCTTGCAAATATGCAATTGGTAGCCACATCAATGCAATTGGTTTTACAATTGCAAACATTTATCTCATATCATTTTGCAATTGAGAATGCAATACTAATGTAGATGCTCTCACAAGTCACATGTGTTACACTTCGATATATATTTTGACGAAATATAAAATAAACATCAATTATTATTTTTAAATTAAGTCAATCTTATAGTTTATATTATAAATTTATGGATTGGAGTTCACTTAGGATATGATATTATACTCCAAATTTTGATTAATTTATGATCTAAACAACATAATAACAAAAAAGACATGAGATAAGATTAGCATATACCATGGGAACCATATATCATATTTTGGGCCAAAACTTGAAATATTTTTTTTTTTTTTTGCCTTATCTTCCTGTAGGCTTAAACCAATATACAAGTATACTAGAGTAAGGTTCGACTATTTGGTTGGCATAATTAAATTTAATAAGTGAAAACTCGATAATTTATGCTTCAAGTGACCACTTATGTTGATAGGTTAAATAATTTTCATGAACGACAGTCACCTTGGTGATAAAAAAAAAAAAAGAATATCACGAATATTTTTAGGATCATGGTGGTATAGATTGATTTTTATTGTTAAGTGTTACTCGAGATATTCGAACCTGAGATTTCTAATTCAAAACTAGTGGTAATACCACTATACAAACGCATGTCGTTTTATACAACTCGATGAATAAAACCTTTAATGTGAAGGAAAAACAAGAATACGAGTTAAACGAAGAAAATACGAGCATTTTAAAATTGATATGTGAAAAATGAAAATGAGGAGAGAGAGAGAGAGTGATGGAGCACTCTAATTGGGTGAATATTGATTTGTGTTTTTAGTTTTGTGTTTAATTGAAAAGGTCGAATTTATCATTACTGAAAATTCAAAATGGTGAAATGTAGATCCTTAAAACTCCATTATATTTTCGGTTAATTTTGCATATGACATCATACAAATTATCTGGGTTACAGTTTAGATCTATATAATATGTATTTTCAAGTTCGCCATTAGCTTTAACCAACATTGCATATCTATTTAATTTTAGGATTTCTTAAGTTCTTAGGTTGGATGATGATTCCGACACTTGCATTTGTTAGTTACCGTTATAATTAATAATTTGGTTAAGTTATGAGTGTTGCTAATTCAATAAGCTCAACTATTCAACAAGACAAAAAATTTGTTTCTCCTTGGAATGTTTTGATTTAATTCAATTGATTTGAGAATTTAATCTAATTAATTTGTAGAAGTTCTAATATAACATCCTAAAACTTTGGAAATCATTTGAAATCAAATTATTCAGTAATTAATTTTCAAATTAAATGCATTATTATTTATTCTCTTGGTTCCAAAAACATTGATAGTTCAGGAAATTTTATTTTAATGATCATTTACAAATGAACCTATTTATTTCGTTATTTTTGCTTCATAATTTATGACTTGGGCTGTGGTAGGCGATTGGGCTTGGAGAGCTGGTATTTGTCGTGGGCTCAATGGTTATTATTCCGGAAGTCCTAGTTCTGGGCCGGAAATGAGCCCAGTAAGAGTTAAAACTGGTTGACAGAGTGGCACATCAGCATGGGTCGGCTGCCGAGGCGCCAAGTAGGCAAGCCAGGAGCGTCCATCGGCGGGAAAACACTGAAAACTGGAGCAGGTGAAAGAAAGAAAAACCTAGAGAGACGACGACGACGAGGTCCGTCGAGGCGGGTTATCGTAGCAATGGAGCAAATTGGTTGAGAAAAGCCAAGATAGACAGACGAAGGGTTTCGCTGCGAGTCCAGGACTGCCTATATATACAACAAAGCCTCGGCTCCCTTAGACTTCTTCGTATCACTTCCCACTTCATCGGCCGCTGAAAATGTCGGACGGTCACTTCTTCAACAACATCTCCCTTGGCGGCCGCGGTGGCACCGTAAGATCTCTCTCTTTCTTGGTCGATCGATAGAAAACTCGAGTAGTTGAAGTGAACCATTTCTTGTAGTTTTTTCCTGGTATGCCTCGGGCATGGCTTTGATGCGTGGTTTGAAACCCTAATAGCATGGAAACCCTAACTGGTATCTTTATAGACTGCATACCGCTGCGCTTGGATTAGAAATGGAGGGAGCGATTGCCATATATTGTGCCTTATTGCTTTCTGGAACCATCAATTTGGATTTCGAAACCTAGTTTCTGGATTTTGTTTGTCAGTGGTTTTGATGGATTTAGGTTGATTAGATGAGAGGTCGGAATTTGTTGTGTTACTGTGTTTGGAATGAATTTCTTGAATCCTACTTTTCACTTTTTTTGTCTTAGACATGTGCTTTCTCTGATTCATGATCTCGTGTTTTCATATATGAGTTTTTGTGTTGCTGCCGCCTGCCAGGCCTGTCACTACCATGGAAACCTCGATCTTAATATCGCAAACGTTATTAGCTTCAGAATAGCAAACCATTATGATGAGAACTTCTTTTCTATTCTTCAGTTTTTGTGAACGTGTCTTAGTAGGAACAATACTGAGCGGAGGAAACAAATAAGTGACTTGTAGTCTTATGAATCCAATTTTTCACTTGTCCCATGAAATCCAGAATCCTGGCCAGATCAAGATTACCTCGGCTGGTATACAGTGGAAGAAACAGGGAGGTGGTAAAGTTGTGGAAGTTGATAAATCTGATGTTTCTAGATTGTCCTGGACAAAGGTACCAAGAAGCAATCAACTTGGTGTCCGTATCAAGGATGGATTGTACTACAAGTTTACTGGCTTCCGTGACCAGGTCTTGTTTCTCTCTATTTGACGATAGTTGCTGTTTTTGTAATAATTTAAGGCATGCCTATTCGTAAGAATAAACATAGATAATGTAGGATATGCTTAGTGAATGTAATTGAACTTTATGGACATCATACTGATAGTCCTGAGTATTGTGTTGTTGTTACTTTTATCAATTTTAAATCATCATTTTAGTCAAGCTTTTGGATTCTGTTAGTTTTGGATAGGTGTCTATAGTATATCCTATCAGTCCTTAATTTTTAATAGACTTGTTGTTCTCTCAGGATGTTAGTAGCTTGACCAATTTTTTCCAAAGCAATTTTGGAAAAACTCCAGAAGAGAGGCAACTTTCAGTCAGTGGACGCAACTGGGGGGAGGTTGACTTAAGTGGTATACTATCTCTCTTCGTCATTTCTTTACTTGTTTGTTCTGGTGTTGCCTTTCTTTCCCTCATAATAAGATGTAATATAATTGTTTAATTCTGTGGATAATTTTTCGTGCTGATTGTGAATCCTTTGTGTGGAATGTGTTTTTGTAGGCAATATGCTCACTTTTATGGTTGGCTCAAAGCAAGCATTTGAGGTATCCTTGGCAGACGTTTCACAAACTCAGATGCAAGGCAAAAACGATGTCATCTTGGAGTTCCATGTGGATGACACAACAGGAGCTAATGAGGTATGTTTGGGTTATATAACCTCGTGTCTTTTACAACTTACAACTTCTGTGCATTTGCAATCGTAGCCACCTACGTATGTTTGAGCTAATGGTTCTTCTCAAAAGTCTTTTTGGATTAGTTTAGGATTGGGAGATATTCCATGCGGATATATCATCTATGGAACAATGGCAATGGCAATATGATTATTTGGTGTATATACTATTCTATTTGAATAACTATAATCTTTGCTATCAAGCGCCTGACCTTCAATTATACTATAGTATGCATGTGTTTGCAGTTTATTGATTATCGAAGTTGAACGGATGGCATGAAATGGACATCTAAGTTTGCCCAAAATTATTCCATTTGACACTTCTTTGTTTTTCATCGTTGTCTAAGTTGGTTAATGCTATTGTCCTATATGTTGATTTGCTTATTTGTATGCAATTTGCATTATGGTTGCAGAAAGACTCACTGATGGAATTGAGTTTTCACATTCCCACTAATAACACTCAATTTGTTGGTGATGAGAACCGTCCTGCTGCTCAGGTGAGCCTGTTATCAGTTTGGTTCTTGATTGAGAACTAGGACATGGGACAGAATTTCCTTCTCTTATTTCTTTCTTTATATCAGTATTTCTTTAGAGGCCCTTTGTGTTGTGTCAAAGTTTTTTTGTACTCGACTTTCAAGATCTATGCTTTATTTTTTTCGAAGAATATAATCCCTTACCTACTCGTTAAATTTGCATTTACAACTAAACCTCTGCAAGATGTCTCCTACTCGGTTCTTTTAATGTATTCATGAAGCCTAATATTCATTACATGTCCGGTATATTGTCAGGTCTTCCGTGAAAAGATTATGTCGATGGCGGATGTTGGTGCTGGGGCTGAAGAGGCTGTCTCCCTGTTTGAGAATATTACTGTTCTGACGCCAAGGTATGTAGTTTTTTTCTTCTGAAATCAGCTTCCATGGTTTAACTAGTTCTGTTTTATCCAAAGCTTGATTCTTGCAAATATCTGAACTATGTAGATTTTGGTGGCTGAAGTTGTCCTGAAACAATTCCCCCCCTCCCCACACACAATTTCTTTTTCCCTTTCTTCTTTCTTCCCCTTCTCTTTGTTGCTTGTTTTCTTTCCGTGGCCTTGCTTCTTGGAATTCACTGCTAGTAAATCTCCCCATTTCTCCTCCTATGTTTCCATATAAGGCTATTTGTGGTTCTGTTAGTGTTAATATATATTATTATCACCCTCATAAACAAAAGTTGGTCCTGAATTGTCTTTTTTGTAGGGGTCGGTACAATGTGGAACTTCACCTATCATTCTTGCGTCTCCAAGGGCAGGCCAACGATTTCAAAATTCAATACAGCAGCGTAGTTCGTCTTTTTTTACTTCCGAAGGTAATACATTTCAGTTGCTTGCTCTGTATACGTTGTATTGATTTGCTAATTGGTGCTGAATAATTTGGACCAGTTCCTAAGCAACCTGCCTTGAATGTTATTGTTTTGTCTTTTTTTGCAGTCTCACCAGCCACATACTTTTGTTATAGTTACTCTTGATCCACCCATCCGAAAAGGACAAACTCTATACCCACATATTGTCTTTCAGGTATGATGCACTGAATCTTTCAGTTGATAGTATTTCCTTCTTTTTTTGGCCATTTTCATATTGTTGAAAGTTTCAGATCAGTTCCTCTTGTCTCCTTTTTGTGATATTAATATTAATAGTTATTTTTTCATCTTCCAACTTGCTATTTTTGTTTCATAGTACGATACAGAACTAGTTGTTCAACAAACATTATCAATTAGCGATGAGCTTTTGAATGGAAAGTACAAGGGCAAAGTGGAGGCATCTTATAAGGTACAACCTTGATGTTTTGTTTATTGGATTTACTGCAAGGATCTGTGAAACTTATCATATACTTCACCCCTGGTTCTTGACCTTGGGTTGTCACCCTGTTCCCTAATCTTCTGTCCAACCATACATCCATATGATGGATTTCTTTTGGCAACAGGGACTTATACATGAAGTGTTCACTGCAATACTACGAGGTTTATCTGGTGCCAAAGTAACGAAACCAGGGAAATTCCGGAGCTGTCAAGATGGGTATGCTGTGAAGTCATCCTTGAAGGCTGAAGATGGGCTCCTTTATCCTCTTGAAAAGAGCTTCTTCTTCCTACCTAGGCCTCCAACCCTGATTCTTCATGAGGAGGTGACTATTTATTACGTTTATACTATTACGTTTTATTCGTCTGTCACATGTATGGGTGTCTTAAATAGAATCAACCGCAACATTGTATCTTAATAAATTAGTTTCTGATTTTTTGTTCTCTAGCGCCTGTAATGGGTTCATATTTGTGCTCTATATGACATGCCTTTTTCCATTCCTCTGTATAAGATTGACTATGTGGAATTTGAGAGGCATGCTGCTGGGGGCTCAAATATGCACTACTTTGATCTCCTAATTAGACTAAAGACTGAGCAAGAACATCTGTTCCGGAACATCCAGCGGAATGAGTACCATAATCTGTATAGCTTCATCAGGTTAGTGGACTGGTGTTTTTCGTTTATAGAAATATTCTGGTTTCTGTATATCAATTTTTTGGCTTTACTTTGTTCTTAGTGGGAAGGGTTTGAAGATAATGAACTTTGGAGATATGAAAGCTGCAAATGGGGTGGCAGCTGTTCTACAGAATGATGATGATGATGACGCGGTTGATCCTCATCTCGAGCGCATTAAAAATGAAGCTGGTGGGGAAGATAGTGATGAGGAGGTATACTATTTTTCCAAGACCTCAATTACATTGATCTGTGCACGAATCTGCCATATGCTTATTGATAAGAGTTGTGAATGATAGGGAATCCTACTTCATCATTTGCGCTCCCATGGAATTATATGAATGGTGCATCTTTATGCGTGCATTTTGTCCTAATCCTTTAAAGTTTAAACTGATTGAAAATGGTACACATGATAAGATTTTGCATTAGTTGATATTTCAGAACTTTCTAATTCCTTCACATGTTTTTCATTTCTCCCTAATCCATTAAAATGATTGAAATGTCTCTCATTATAAGATTTGGCACTAGTTGGAATTTCAGTAAGTCCCCATTCCCTTATACATGACATCTGGAAGCAAATTTTGAGGTGTTTTACATCTCTCCTTAGTTAAATCTAAGTACTTAAAGGCAATGTGCAATCTCTGTGGGGTTGAGTGTCCAGTTGTACTGACAAAATTAGGGATTGATATCAGTATCCAGAGTATTGAAGCATGCACTGCACATAAACTGAAGTTAGATACTTGATTGAACATTCTACTATAAAGTCGAAGATCTTATTTATGTTTGTGAATGCTTATGTATGTCTGATGATGAACTCCCAGGATTCCGACTTCGTTGCTGATAAAGATGACGGAGGCTCACCTACAGATGATTCTGGAGATGATTCAGATGGCAGCAACAGCGGAAATGAGAAAGAGGTGAAGCCTTCTTAAGTTCTTATCACTGCATTACAGTACTGATTCTCAATGGTAGTGTATGGTTGGAGCTGACATTTGTGAAATAGGGTGCTCAAATGCAGAAGCCTATTAAAAAGGATTCTGCAAAGGAAGCTTCATCTTCCAAGCCCATGTCAAAGGGAAAGAAAGTCAGAGAAGGGGAGGAAGACGGCTCGAAGAAGAAGAAACCGAAGAAGAAGAAGGATCCCAATGCACCGAAGAAGGCTCTGTCTGGTTACATGTTCTTCTCCCAAACAGAAAGAGAGGTAAGTTTCATCAAACGGCGTTTACAAGCTGTTATCATCGTCTTTGTTAATGCTCTGCTATATCCTTAATTCTGCTAAATTGATAATCGGCTAAAACAGAGTGTAAAGAAAAGTAACCCTGGGATTGCATTCGGGGAAGTTGGCAAAGTGCTCGGAGATAGGTGGAGGGCGATGTCAGGTTTGTGTTTCATGTCCCGACTTCCCCTTTCTCGGTGTTTACTAGATTGGTTTGTCGGGGTTGGAAGATAATTGTGCTCAATTCTGTTTCTGTTAACATCCTTCTATGTCACCATCGTGCAGCCGAGGAAAAAGAGCCATACGAAGAGATGGCTCGAGCAGACAAGATACGTTACAAAGACGCATTGAGTGGTTACAAAAACCCACAGCCGATGGACATAGACTCCGAACACGGCTCCGACAGTTCGTAATCAGTAAGAAGGTTAGTTAGCAGTCCGTTTCGAAACTGTTGTGGGAGCTCCGATCCTTACACCCCGAATGATATTGTTAAACCGGTTCTGTTTTTCGGTGGAAACCTCGGTAGTCGTAGCATTAGTCGTAGTAGTAGTATTGCTTATTAGCTATTTGGTCTGTTGCATAGCTGCACTTGTTCCGTCTTGGGATGGTTCCTTGCTTGCAGAGAAAATAACGGTAGTAAGTAACATGTTCCATGATGCATAGCGGCAGAGGCAAACCTGTGAGCAATTAAGTGCACTGCCCATAGATTCCACAACGTGGCATATGCTGAAGTGTTGACTAGGGACATTTCATAATTTAATGTTTTTCCGTATATTAGTAATAATTTATTATTGATACCGTGTTGATGTTATCCATTCGGGGAGCAATTTCTGTACTGGAATAAATTGATACGTACGGGGAAGCTAAGATGAAGGAGAGTTGACTTTCAATAATGGAACTCGCTTATCTTATTAGATAATAGATACATTACACAGTATTAATAGCTCATAGATGGAATCGATAATATTTCTCTAATTTGACCAAATTGGGCGCCCACTGGCCACTGCATACTGTACACCTTAAGTTTAAAATTAGCTTCGATCATTGACAAAAAATATATATATATATATAATTGTATTCGCTAAATATGAAATTGTGTAGACTTACTTCGTATATATTTACAGTCATTATATAAATTATAAAATTATACCAAACAAGTTTTAGGAATACATAAAATACAAATAAAATCGTAAATGGCATTCATATGGATGAATACATGTTTTTGTTCATTGTTCTACAACTGTGTTATACCCCTAATTTGAGAATGACTTAGGGCTGCAAACAGAGCCGAGTCGAGTCGAGTTTTTGCTTAGCTTGAGCTCGGCTCGTTTATAAATTTTTCAGTGACGAAAATATAGAAAATTACTACATGGGAGCAGAGCAAATTAAGCATGGGAAAGCGGAGCCTCTGGAGGAGACCAGTCCCATGGAAACCAGGTTTGAATTTTGCTCAAAATCCTGACAATTTGCACTTAAACTAATGCCACAATGAAGAAGAAAAAAAAAGGGAGCAGCTCTCTCTGACTGACTGACAGACTTGGTTCACCAGCATGAGAATCCGTACTCGGCGCCTAATTTGGTGGGTTGCTAAATTAGTGTTCTCCCTCGAACATGCATTGGCTGAAACGAGACAGCCACCACCACTCTTCTTCTTCCTTCACATATAAATACCACCCTTCTTGTTCTTGCCAAGAAACCATCTCTGCCTTCACCTTCAGAACAAAAAAAAAAAAACCCCAATCTTAAAAAAATGGCCCTCTGGTTCCCTTCCCTCTGCTTCATCTCACTACTCCTCGTCTCCCTAGCTGCAGCCGCTTCTCCTTTCCTCGACGGTAAGCACTCGCATTGATCGCATTTTTTATAGATCACCTAACACTCATCGTATTAGTAAACCATATAATGTTCTTTACTTTCTTACTTTGTCGATTTTCGGAGGATTAGTATGCCACTAACCGTTTCTCTACAAATGCAGCGCTGCTCCCGAATGGCAACTTCGAGCAGTCCCCGCCCGCATCCAAGCTGGTCAAGCGGGCCATCATAGGCAGGCTCTCGCTGCCCAAGTGGGAAATCACGGGCCTGGTCCAGTACGTCTCGGGCGGGCCTCAGCCCGGCGGGTTTTACTTTGCGATCCCGAGAGGGGCCCACGCGATCAGGCTCGGGAACCGGGCCACCGTCTCGCAGCCCATTAAGCTCCCCGCCGCCGGGATCTATAGCCTGACGTTCGGGTCCACCAAGTCGTGCGCGCAGGACGAGGTGCTCCGCGTCACGGTGGCTCCCGCTGGGAAGAGCAGAGCTGCTGCCTACGTGGCGGCGGATCTGCCGCTCCAGACGCTGTACAGCACCGACGGCGGCGACACGTATGCTCTGGCGTTCACCGTTCCTTACAAGGGCGGCGAGGTCGTGAGGATTAGTTTTCACAATCCGGGCGTTCAGGAGGATGCTGCTTGTGGGCCTTTGCTCGACGCCGTTGCCATCAAGCAGATCCCGCCTCTTACGTACACCAAAGGTAAACATTCTTTTGTTACCGAAAGTTTAACGAATTTGGCACCTAATTCGATCCAGCTCGATTAAAGTGGGTAAAAATTCATTGTTGACGAGTTTATGGTCGGATGTGGGTTCTACCCGCTTTTGGAATTGGCGAGTTGGATCGAATTTGGGTGTGGTCAAAACTCAACTTGCTTCTACCCGACCCACACACATAAAGCAAGATGACGTCATTAACAATGTAAATAACTTATGAATGTTATTAGTCTTTCTATGATAATATAAACCTAATAGTATAGATAATTTATCGATGTTTTACCGTTGGTATGATTGGTACGAAGATATGTTTGTAAGGAAAGTTTCGATAGCATGACGATGTGGGTGTTCAAAAAATATACGCATATGTTTGTGAACCCATGGATACCCATGCATCCATGAGTACACGTTGCGTTTGGTTGGTTTTTTATTTTACTTTTAAAACCCAATGAATACTTTACCGGGGGTTTTAGTGGGTTCAACTCTTGAATTATGTTTGGATTTCGAGAAATTCAAACCCAATCCAACCATTGCAATCCCCGACAACAATCGCGTATGAGATGTAAAAGAAAAAAACCGATTGTAGTAAATTTAAAATTCGAACCTATCATATTTTTTTGTTATGTTTTAAACGTTTGTAATTATTTTGTCACCGGCTCAAACCTATATGAATATTTTACCCGAAACGTTTCGTTTATAGGCAACCTGGTGAAGAACGGCGGATTCGAAATCGGCCCCCACGTGTTCAACAACTTCTCCACCGGCGTCCTCATCCCGCCGAAATCCATGGACAAAACCTCCCCACTCCCCGGCTGGATCGTCGAATCCCTGAAACCCATCAAATACATCGACTCCCGTCACTTCAACGTCCCGTCGGGCCTCGCCGCCGTGGAGCTCGTCGCCGGCAGGGAAAGCGCCATCGCCCAGATCATCAGGACCGTCGCCGGGAAATCCTACAACCTGTCCTTCGTCGTCGGTGACGCCAAGAACGGCTGCCACGGCTCCATGATGGTCCAGGCCTTCGCCTCCAACAAGACCCTCCAGGTCCCGTTCGCGTCGGCCGGAAAAGGCGCCGTCAAACGGGCCAGCCTCGTTTTTCCGGCGGTTTCTAACCGGACCCGGATCACGTTCTTTAGTAATTTTTATCATACCAAGCTGCGTGACTTCGGGCACCTCTGTGGTCCGGTTCTCGACGATGTGAGAGTGGTCGGTGTACGGAGCTACAAGAAGTTGGTCTAGTGATACGATGATATGAAGATATTTAACTCGCGATGTTGGTTTGATAACATGATCGGAGTATACATTATATGTGTTTGGGTTTGGAACAATGATATATGCTAATTTGAGTGTTTTAAGTGGATGAATTGCTTGTTTGATTCGTCTTGGTTGATTAACATGCAGTTTGGTTCCTTACAAGATATTTAATTTCTTACCGAAATATATGGTTGTCGTTATGTGATAGATATGTTACCTGTTCGTATAAGATTTCATGTTTGAATGTAATGAATTTTTATTAAACCTTCTTTAGAAAATCTTTCGACTCGTATTATCTCCTTTGATTATCATACTGGTTTTGACTCGACTACAATTTGAAGATGATAGACAAGTCAGATAAATCGTTCGAAAAAAAAAATAAGAGAATGCATATGTAAGACAACCGATAGAAGAAGAAAAAAAATGCTTTTACATCGAGTTAAACTAAACCACTCTTTTTGTCATTAATGGTATAAACCATCCCATCTCCCATATCTATGTTCAAACTTCAAACCCTCTTTTGGATCATAGCACTAAACATGGAACCCTACCACCATGGGATATGTGTGCAAACCTCCAAGTTGTAAACGTTAGGCTTCAATCAAAGAGAACGCACATGACAAGCCCTATTCAGTCAACAATGTCTCATGTATATACAATCCCTCACGCCAAGTCCTTTCATTCTTTTATTGGTGTGTCCAACTCACATTTGGCCCTTTGGTGGGTGATCTCTACTTTCCTTCTCACTTAAAATTAACTACTTCTCGACATGATCATCATTCCAATGAATTTGTAACATTTTTCGGTTTTCAGGATATGCAGACTCGTTAAACTAAATAAATTACTCTTCCAGAAAACCTCTCTAATAAACTTCCTAATGTTGACATTAGCCACCGCATCCCGAATCGGAAATTTGATTTTTCGAGTCCATTTCTGGCTCTCTCTATCGTCGTTTACAGACTAAAACAAGAGACACAGGGGGGTGATGAGTTTTAAAAACCAGTTGATCTCAATAACTCGAATTATTGGGAGATGTTCTATTATGAATCATACACCATTTATTAACACACTCATTCAAACGAAAAACCGACTCATATGAGATAGAAGTTTGTAAAGATTCGGATACCATGTACTTAGCAGAACATATGGGGTCATCGGGATTCGTACAGAAGACTCCTCGATCACAGAAGGCTCTGATATCATGTAAAGAACTAGTTGATTACAATAACTTGAGTTATTGGAAGATGTCCAATTATAGACAATTTACCATTTATTAACAACAACAAAGAGAAGGTTAATGTGTAATAATCTCTGCCGTTGAATTGTTGGGAATAGGGCTGGAAGTTTGGTACCGGTATTTGGGATATACAGAATACCGTACCGAATTTGTCTATATTTGGTATTACCGAATACACGTATTATTTTTTGGGATTGGGATTGTGATTGAATTTCAATTGTTATTCGGTATAAGGGATTACGGGATTGGGATCGGTATATACCGAAATACCGATCAATACCGAAATATAAGCTAGTGTGTATTTTATCCTCTCAACTAGACTCTCTCATTCACTACTACACGACCCTAAACCACCAAGAGTGTCATTTAATTATACATAGATCATTCTATCACTATTAATAGTCGTCTCTCAACCTCCAATTCGTCAATTTAACGATTACCAATGACAAGAACTTGAGAAGTATCCTCTCCTCCATTTTCCTTAATAATATCTTTATTCAAGACACTTTACTTAGTCTTTTACCCCTAAATTAAACAATAAAATCTAATTTATATATTAATTTATTAATTGCAAAGGTAATTAATTTTGTATTCGATAATACCGATTGGGATACCGAACTACCGATTGGGATACCGAAATATTTAGGGATTGGGATTGGGATACCGAAATTATTTAGGGATTGGGATTGGGATTGACTTTAGAGTGTAATTCGGTATTCGGGATTTCGGTATTTGGTATTGGGATACCGATACCGTACCAATTTCCACCCCTAGTTGGGAAGTTGGACCAAATCAGTGGTTGGATTTGGTTTTCTTGGCGACTAAACTACTGAAGTGTAGGAAGGTCGACAAGCCGACCATCGCCGTCCATCCACTTTCTTTGACATGGTGGCGCCGCCGTCAGTGGAATTGGTGGTGTGGCATCAATGAATGAACGACATGACGGCACATAATATATTTGTTGAGATGGAGTTGTGACGTTTCATGGTTGTTGAGGGAGGCACTTCTGGATTGGTTAATTAGAAATTTATAAATGTCACAAGATTGTATCTTTTTCAACTATCAATTCATAAAAAATGTTTATATGGTATTTGCTTATCTTATGTAAAATGTATTTGTAAGGTATATTGTGGTAGAAAAATGAAATAGTTTGTGCAATGCTATTAAGTCAACATAGGCATTACTAATTTCTACAACCTTATCTTTGTGAGGCGTTAATCATACCCGATTAACCGATTACTATATATAACTGAAGTGAGAACATTAATCAATTCAATTTCTCGGACTAAAAAAGAAAGATATAAGATTAAATAAGACATGGATAATACAACTAATGTATCAGAATCATCCAGAGACATGAGATCTTGCTCATAAAGGATACTAGGAGAAGAGCTTGGGTTAATTATAAAAAATATCATTTAGAACAACTATGTATAAATTGAAAGAATGATTCAGATATCACACCTACAACTTGTTGTGTTTTATCAATTTGTGATTCCGGTTCTCCCAACGTTTAATAAGTCAAGTCAGACTAATCGTAAAAGACTCTCTCGTCATAGGTAACCCAATTAACTAATTTGGTACACAGAATTAAATTCTAAAACTTGGGTGGTTTAGTTGCTGCTATAAAGTTAGATCGGTTCAAAATTTGGTGGCAACCAGAGCAAATGTAATTAACCCAAGACCATGAAAGTTTGGAACTTGGAAGCCATGGAAGGTAAGGCAAGAGAGAGCAATGAATGAGAATGGCAAAACATGGCCGGTGGGGGATCGTCACCGGATCTTCAGTAAGCCTTAAATAGCTCATCCCCTCCATTTTCCACTACTTTTCTTTTCTCTCTCACACTCCTCCATTTTGCCCCTCTTTTCCACTTTGTAAAATTGGAAATCATCTTCTTCCTGCTTCCAATCCAGTCAATACTTTTCTTTCTTCCACCTCCGAAAAAGTTTGAGAGAGAGATTAGAAAACTCTGTTCCCATCCCAGAAAGCAATAATTCATCCATCCCCCTTTTCCTTTCTTTTCCTTAGTTTTTTCTTTTCTTTTCTCCTCCTCCTCTCCCGTCTTTCACAGTACATCATCTCCCCCTTTTCTCCTTTATTGCCAGCTCTGCCACTCCTTCCTCTCTTTCCCAATTCCCATACACATACGCACTCCGCATATCCCCTTTTCCCCGAGTATTTCCTCCTCGGGCCTCTTTTGTTCTCCCCTTTCTCAGCTCTCTCCCGAACTGCGCCTCATCATCGTGTTCATCATCAATTCGTTGTTGCTGGGTACGTTTGGTTTGTCCTTCTTTCTGTGATCGCCCAAGGTTTTCAAGCTGTGTGGATTTGTAATTAATGTCAGATCTTTCTCCTTTTGCTTGCTGTTTCATGATCTGGGTATTCGAGATTACCTCCTGACATTTGCTCATTGGGTGTTCTGTGCCTTGATCTGATGAAAAAGTTCGTTTCTTTTTGTCGTTTTGCTGCTTGGTAGTTAAAAAATGTCATCTTTTCTCCTGGGGTTTTGTTTGATTTAGCAGCTCCAGATTGTTTGGTTCCTTGACGTGTTGATTTCCTGCTCGTCTTTGGGTTCAATGTTTGTAATTGGTTGCAATTACCATAGCCAATAGCCAACGAATGAGGGTATTTATTCGTAGAAGAAGCTGAGAACGTCATGACCTTAATAGGTAGCATACTAGCATTAGGTGATGTTAGATGGTAGTTTCTGGTTCTCATAATTTCAGTATTCTGGTTCTTGATTATTCTGAAGAACCAATGCATACTGATACATTCATGAAGTAAAAGTTGCATGGAGTCGTGTTAATGACATTGGGACAGTTGGGGTAAAAAGGTGTAGTGATTACGCATCCACAACTGCAACTGGCATTGCAGCTTGGGACTATCCAATGCACAAACATTAGTACCTCACAGCCCTTTCTTTATTTCCTTGCATATTGATATTTGGAGTACAAATGTGACTGGCTGTAGAAGTATGTGCACTATTTCACCATAGGATGAGTGTTCGACAATGTAAGTTTGGAGAGCTGAGGAAATGAATGAAAGCTGCATAACCATTTAATGGATCGTTAGAATATGAGAGGAACAGGACAAGCTTCTAGCTTCATGGAAAGCATGCAGCTCCTGGAAGGTCTGTCTAATTAGAGTGACAAGGAGGATGCACCAAACGTTGAAGCTGAAGAATTGTTTTAACTTAAAGACAACAATGGACTTGAATCTGCACACTAATTATTGGACTATTGCAGTGTGTAATTAACCTAAAATTATTCACTCTTGCTGCAGGCTGTGAATCACTTGAGCAGTATTTACAAAGAGGATCGAGGCAATGTCTAGCGCTGCAAAAGTTGTGGACCCTGCATTCCAGGGAGTGGGCCAGAAACCGTATCCTCCACGATGAGACAAATTTAAGGACTATTTGATGTTCAAACTTAGTTTGTTTTTTTCGCGATTATAGATTATGTGAATGTATGAACTCCTTTCTATGCAACTCTGTGATACTTAACCTTGTCTTAGTGGGATCGAGATATGGCGGATTGAGAATTTTCAACCAGTTGCAGTGCCAAAGTCGGATCATGGAAAATTCTACATGGGGGATTGCTACATCGTCCTTCAGGTATTGGCCTTTTTTTAATCTCTCTCTAGCTTATTGGTGAATGGTATGACATGCAGTCTTATTTGGGTTTAGTTTCCCTAACCAGTACATTAAAACTTAGTTTTCCTTGTCATTTCTCTGTTTATTTTTTGGTCGATAAGAAAGTTCAATGGTAACTATAATGGTAAATTCTTGATAAAATGATACTCTTTAAGTAATCTGTGAATTGGATTTGCATTATACCCATAACGATAAACTGGAATTTCATTATATCTATGCCATTGGATTTTCAGTAAAACCACCTTACTGTTGCTATGTTGAGCAATTGTTGACATTAATGGCCTTTTGTCTCACCTTCTTGTGTTCTTATCGTAGACAACGCAAAGCAAGGGAGGATCTTATTTGTATGACATTCACTTCTGGATTGGAAAGGACACAAGTCAGGTGCCCTCAGATGCTTTTCTCTTATTCTCTTGTCATAGGATCTTTACATCATGGACCTGTAATGTTTAGTATTGTTTTCTCACTGCATAACTACTCATTGCAGGATGAAGCAGGAACTGCAGCGATAAAAACTGTTGAACTTGATGCAGCTCTAGGAGGGCGTGCCGTGCAGCACAGAGAACTTCAAGGACACGAATCTGACAAATTTTTGTCTTACTTTAAACCATGTATTATACCGTTAGAAGGGGGTGTTGCATCTGGCTTTAAGACACCTGAGGTAGAAGAGTTCGAGACCCGTTTGTATGTTTGTAAAGGAAAACGGGTTGTCAGAATGAAGCAGGTATTATTTACTTGTGTCAAATTTTTGAATTAACTATAGATAGTTATATTGATTGAATGTGTGGATCCTGGAAGCCTAACTTTGCTTCTACGTTTTATAGGTTCCATTTGCAAGGGCATCTCTCAATCATGATGATGTGTTCATTCTAGACTCTGAGAAGAAGATCTTTCAGTTCAACGGGGCAAATTCCAGTATCCAAGAAAGGGCCAAGGCTCTAGAAGTTGTGCAGTTTCTGAAAGATAAGTATCATGAAGGAACATGTGATGTTGCAATAGTTGGTGAGTGCAGCAGCTGTGTGAACCAATGTCCCAGAAAAATTTGTTCTTTCTAGTTGATTACTTTCTCACATATGCAAATCTTAAGGTTTTCCCTTTCATGTCTATAATACTAGGGATTGCTCACTTCTGTGTGTTGGTCGTCACTCTGCAGATGATGGTAAACTGGATACTGAATCAGATTCGGGTGAATTCTGGGTCCTCTTTGGTGGTTTTGCTCCAATTGGGAAGAAAGTTATCACTGATGATGACATCGTTGCAGAGAGGACTCCTGCTAAATTATATAGGTACTCATTTTTAGTTCTAATGAGTTAGTTTTGGACAAGGAAGAAATGTATGTAACTGAGCAATGCTTGTTTTTATGGATAAAAGCAAGGACTTCCTATACAATTGTGGGAATTAAATGTGCATATGTTAATAGTTAAAGAATGTTCATGTAGACACAGTGCTTAGTTTTACGCGTATTATAACTTCTCCCCATCATTTAGTAGCTGCTTTTGTTTGCTTCCACTAATTCTCCTACTTCAGTGAATCCATTGGTTCCTACTGATCCCATATGCATGATAATCTTGGTCTGTCAGTTTAAACTATGTACTCCTATCTGTTTCCTTCCCCCCCCCCCCCCCCCCCCCCCCCCTCCCCCCTTTCTCTTCAAAGGAGCACACTCCTATTTTACTAGACTCTTTGATATATTTCTTGATGCTAGTATGTGTTGGAAGTCGACATAAGTTGCTGACTTTTATCACTTACTGTTTTAGCATTCATGAAGGCGGTGTGACTGCTGTTGAAGGGGAACTATCCAAAGGCATGTTGGAAAATAACAAATGCTATCTCTTGGATTGCGGAGCTGAGGTGTTTATATGGGTTGGCCGTTCAACACAAGTGGAGGAGAGAAAAACAGTGGGCAAGGTGGCAGAGGTAATGTAAATGGTGTCTGTCTCTTCTTTTTGGCAGTAAATAAATGTGCACAGTCTCATATCAGAAAGAATTTTGCAGGACTTTATTGCCAATGAAAACAGGCCAAGATCCACTCGTATAACCCGGGTCATTCAAGGTTATGAAACACATGCATTCAAGTCAAACTTTGGTTCATGGCCTGCTGGGTCTGTAGCTCCAGGAGCTGAGGAGGGAAGGGGAAAAGTAGCAGGTAATTATATATTCTTCAAAACTTCGTTAAGTTTCCATTAATCAATGCCTTTAATGCTTAGTTTGTACTGTACATACTGTCAGCTTTGTTGAAGCAACAAGGTGTTGGTCTCAAAGGTTTGGGAAAAAGTGCTCCTGTGAATGAGGAAGTTCCTCCTCTGCTTGAGGGGGGTGGAAAATTGGAGGTCTAGTTTATATCTTACTCTCATTGGTGCTCTTATAGAAGTTAATTTGTGCATCAGAGATCTTCCAGACTAAAGCTTATTCATGTATTTGTTCGTTTGTGCAGGTATGGTGTATCAATGGCAGTGCCAAGACTCCTGTGCCTAAGGAGGATATTGGTAAATTTTATGGTGGAGATTGCTACATTGTCCTTTACACTTATCACTCTGGTGAAAGAAAAGAAGACTATTATCTTTGCTGTTGGTTTGGGAAGAATAGCATTGAGGTAAGTTACATATTTGCAATTTAATCCTGAAGGAGTATTCCTTTTCTATCTCTATACTTTAGTAGGTATCATTTACAATGCTTTTTTGTGATGTTGAAGTGCTAGATCATGTCCTTAATTAGACGCTGTTGATGGTGTGGTTTGACTGATCCGTTTGTTTTTGTTTTTCGTCAATGGTAACTTAATTCAGGCAGATCAGCAGATGGCTACTCGTTTGGCTAATACAATGTCAAACTCTCTGAAAGGAAGACCTGTTCTGGTAAATGAGATTGTGTGTGGATTAAAATTTGTGTCGCGCGCCACTTTGTGGGTAGAATTTAATAGATTAAACTTTCAGGGTCGCATATTTCAAGGCAAGGAGCCACCACAGTTCATTGCCATTTTTCAGCCTATGGTGGTCCTCAAGGTACTATAAATCAAGTGGTCTTTTCGTTGATCCTCAAGGATTTTTCTATTCACTTTTGGGGCTTTTCCCTTGTTCATTTCGTTTTGTTATTATTATTTTTCTAGGGTGGTTTGAGCTCAGGCTACAAGAAATACATAGAAGAAAAAGAAGTGACTGACGACACATACACTTCTGATTCTGTTGCCCTGTTCCGAGTCTCTGGAACGTCTGCTCATAACAGCAAGACAGAGCAAGTAGATGCGGTATGTTTCTATTACTTGAGCTTATAAAACTATTAGCTGGTTATGAGATTGGTATTACTCTTATGCAATGTAGTAAAAAGCGAGTTTCTATGTAGAAACGTTTTGGTGATCTAAAAACGTAAAATCGTAAGTTTTTAAGTTTCAAAGCGGAGTTTTTAACCACATAAGTTATAAAAACTGAGATTTTGTGTAGAAGCGTTTTTAGTGACTTAGAAACGTAAAATCGTAAGTTTTTCAGTTTAAATCGCGATTTTAACTACATTGCTCTTATGAACTAGTAAGGTGTCTGTTTCTACTAGATTACTATTTGAGCTTATAAAACTATTTACTGTTTATGAGATTGGTCTTACCCTTACGAACTAGTAAGGAGTCTGTATGCCAGGAGGAAAGGTTTCTCTGATATTTCATTCTTGGGCCTTGTCTTGCATATATATTCCAAGAAGACATGCTGTACATAATTCCCTTTATTGTTCAAACATATTTCTCATATAGAGCCATGCTATAACCTGGTTACATCCTTTGTGAATTTGGTAATAAATGTTTATTAATAATTGATTTTTAAGCATACGATATAATTTTTTTCCCTTCTTTCTTCAGGTGGCGACCTCCTTGAATTCCACAGAGTGTTTCCTCTTGCAATCCGGCTCTTCACTTTTCACTTGGCATGGGAATCAGAGTGCTTTTGAGCAACAGCAGTTGGCAGCAAAAGTTGCTGAATTTGTGAAAGTGAGTTGTAATTTCAATTTTCAATAGTGACTTTAATTTGAACTTAGTAGCAGTTATGCTATTGCAGAAATTCAACTAAACTTTGTATACACTTGGGAGGATACCCTGCAGATCCATTTTTCTGACTGTTATTTGTACCACTGTTCAGCCTGGAGCTACAATGAAACATGCTAAAGAAGGGACTGAAAACTCAATTTTCTGGTCTGCTCTTGGAGGAAAACAAAATTACACTAGCAAAAAGGTGTCCCCAGAAAATGTCAGAGAACCTCACCTGTTCACAGTGTCGCTCAATAAAGGTGATATTATCTGCATTTTTAGTTTGCAGTACATCTGCTTACATTCTTCTTTTCTTCATACCATGACTTTGAGGGATCTTACAGTTGAGACCTACGAGTGCATTGAATAAGATTCTGACTTTCTTTCTTATGGTCAATTTGCTGCTATTGGATCCCGCAGGAAAATTGCAGGTGAGTGCTTGAGCCTGAGTGCTGTGGATAGTTTACGTATTCAGGTACTTAACAAGATTTTTGCATTCCTTGAGCAGGTTGAGGAAGTGTTTAACTTTTCTCAAGATGACCTGTTGACGGAGGATGTATTAGTGCTTGATACGCGAGCTGAAGTTTTTGTTTGGGTCGGCCAATCTGTAGACCCCAAAGAAAAGCAAAGTGCTTTTGATATTGGCCAGGTTTTTGTTGAGCAATCTTTACTTTTTTGCATTTCCTCTGTAGATGTCCAAGTGACTTACTGTACTGTATTATTTGCAGCAATACTTAGAGATGGCTGCAGCTCTTGAAGGTTTGTCACTCAATGTGCCGATGTATAGAGTTACTGAAGGAAATGAGCCATCATTCTTTACAACATACTTTTCATGGGATTCCACAAAAGCCACAGTATGTTCCACTTCAGCTTCAGGCCTTTCTTCTAAATTCCATTAGGTTCAATCCCATGAGTGCTTGATGTTGCTTCAGAAGGCTTAAGATGTATCATTTAACTTTACTTTTTGGACCTGGAGAAGACATATGCAATGGGAAGTAAATGTTAAAAAGGGAGACATAGATAGCTAGAATCATATCACCTGAACAATCAGTGTTTTTTTATAGTGGATCGAAGTGCAGAATCCTAGAGCTAGTAACTGTTGGCTTGTAAAGTGACATACTTGCTAGCTTTACTAGTTCTGTTCTTATTTGGTATGAATTTCATGGGTTTGCAGGCTCTTGGAAACTCATTCCAAAAGAAGATGGCGTTGCTCTTTGGAATCAAACATGAGGTAAGACCGTAAGGCCATGATTTTGGACATGTTGCTTCTCGTAAAATTGGATCTCTGGATACTATAACAACATTGAAACTTCTGCATGTGAACCCTGTTTTTGGGTGCCATTTTATCTCACTTCTATGTGAACCCTGTTTTTTCCTGCAACCAGAAACCCAAGTTAGAGATCAAGTTTGTTTGTAGTTTTCAGTTTCCTAGTAGAGACTAGGGAAGGATGATTTATTTTCCGACTAAAAAACACCAGAAAACATGATCTGGTTATTTCTGGTTCAGTTAGAAGAGTGGTTTTCAGCCTGAATCCTAGCTACCACATTCTGTTAGCTCTTCTTACAGTTTAGCTCTTCGGTTCCCACCCTTTCCTCTTTTTAATGCTTACATTCTGTTAATTAAAACACTAACTAATTTTATAGATACGCCTTTTCTTTAGTCATCCTCGCCTTTGTTGGAATTTTGCACACTGTAACTCATCATACTGAAAAAATGGGCTAAATTCATACATAATTGCTGGAAATTAAAAGTATATACACTTTCCTGTGACAGGATAAATCAAATGGGAATCAAGGAGGAGGAGCAACCCAAAGGGCTTCAGCTTTGGCTGCCTTGTCTTCTGCATTTAATCCTTCCTCTGGGAAGTCCTCCCCTAGAGTAAGAACATAGTCAACCCCAAGTTCAATTAATATTCTTCTTTCCATTGTGTCATGCATTACACTTTCAGACACGTAAACAAAAGTTTGCCCTCTGTGGGCTTACTTCTTCCATGGCTTTCATTAGTATTTATCTAAAATTTCCCCCTTGAAATACGGGTACAACATCACTCACAAACTAGGGCTACTTCAGCCTCTAAAGTAATGTATTTTCATTGTTGTAATGCAGAGCCAGGACAGGACCAATGGTTCAAATCAAGGACCGACTCAGAGAGCATCAGCTTTAGCTGCTCTGAACTCTGCTTTCAATTCTTCCCCTACCAAAAGCCCCTCGAGGGGATCTTCGGGATCTGGACAAGGCCAAAGGGCCGCTGCTGTTGCTGCACTTTCACAAGTTCTTACTGCTGAAAAGAAGGGACCCAACGGTACCCCTATTCAGAGCCCTAGCGCCGAAACCAAAACTCCTGCTGGTGAGGAACAAGTCTCATCAACTACTATATTTGTTTGTCCTTTCAAGCATTAGTTAGGATACTATTATGCTATTCTGCCTGCAATATTTACGAGCATGTGTTCATTCCAGGTGAAGGAAAAAGTGAAAATGAAGCCTTTGAAGTAGATCAAGGGTCTGAAGAAGCTGCTGCAGAAGGGAAGGAAATCGATGACACCGGGTCTGCATCTGGAAGCAATGCAGGGGGTGATTCTGAACCTAAAACCGAGTCTGAACAGGACTACGCCGACATTGGTCAGGTTGTGTTCGGTTACGATCAGCTGAAAGCTCGTTCAGAAAACCCCGTGACTGGGATTGATTTCAAAAGGAGAGAGGTTGGTCTGGTGTGATCTTTTGTTCCTTTTCAGTATATTTAGAAAATGTGTTTCTGAGTTTCTGCACCAAATTCTGCAGGCATATCTATCACCTGAGGAATTCGAGTCCATATTTGGGATGGACAAAGAAGCTTTCTACAAACAGCCCAAGTGGAAGCAGGACATGCAGAAGAAGAAAGTTGATTTATTTTAAGCAGCCAAGTTACTATTATCTTGCATGCTGCTGGCTTTCTGGTGCTTCAATTTTTTTTTTGTTTCAGTTCCATGTTTTCTGGCTTGCTTCGATATGGCATTTTATTATTTTGCCTCTAGATGTGGGTTAGTATGCAAATTTTTGTGTTGTGGGCTGAAGAGTGAGCTTTTGTTTTGGCCTTTTGAAGAAGAAAAGGAGATTCTTTGTTTCTTTTAAACCTTTCCCTGAATTGAGTTGTAAGAATGTCAGGTTGTAGTGTTCCACTGAGGAAGGTTGGAAGGTCAAAATTCTTTCATTTGGGTTCATTTGTGTATCTGATTTGTGATTATTCTATTTTACCTTTCCATTTCTTGGGAGGACTATGTATATGCATTGATGTGTGTTATTGTACTCTATATAAATACTTATACTCAGTAATGAAGGTTATATATGGTGTTTTGAATGTTATGCTTAATCGTCTTTGATATTAACATTTGATGTAAGGATGTGAAATAATAAATGTGCAGACTTCAAACTCGTAGATTAAAGTATTGTAGTAGTATGACCACTCCAAGGACTAACATGATTTTTAGCCATGTGAGTTGCCAAATGATAAGGGCATTTTGTAGGAGCATGGCCAGCCCAAGAACCAACATGATTGTGAGCCATGTGACTTGACACATCAATGATAAGGGAATGTAAAAAGAGGTGTGTTGTTGATTTGGTCGGTTCAAATGAATCTAGATGATTGGTGCATATCGAATTAGATGATTGGCGCAGTTCGATAATATTAAATGAAAAGATATGGGTAAAATTAATACATCTCGTATGCAAGGATGAGACACCTGGATTTATGACTGGTTTATTTAGATGAATTGATTATAGTGTGATCACTTAGGGAAAATATACTATAATCCTAATTGGTTGATATTGATTATGCATCAATCTTATAACAAGTTAGTAGATAATACCATGGAGAAAGAGATAAGGGTATATGTCACATACTAATAACAATAATTCATGCTAAGGGTCCTTTTAGTTAGCATTATTAGGGAGTGTAGGGTTTGTTTTTGCAATTGTGGCCCTACTAATTAATTAATCAAGTACAAACAATATGATGATAGTTACATGTTGGTTTTAAGGGTCCCCCTCAAAAAAATCCCTAAACCTACCATTGATTCTCTTATTCTTTCTTCCCCTATAATCTTTGTCCCCAACCCCAAAAAAAAAAAAATTGGTCCCAATTTGATAAGATGAGCATGGAGGAACCTTTCTTGTGGCATAAAAAAATTTCCATTTTTCTTTCATATTGTTTTTTAATAGATATATATATTCCATTACCTTTTCCATCCCTATCACTTTCATATACATAATAACTTTTCCCCTTCTAAAAATTAAAGTAGGTTGATGATTATTTCATGTACATGGGTTTAATTAATCAATGGCTTTTGTTTAGGTCATCTTATTGTTTTCTATGTTTTTAATAAATGTACTTGTGTCTTCTAGTATTTGCATAGCCTCTCATTCCTTCATCCAACGGGAATATACTAGAATACAACAAAAAGGAGGATAATCAAATATTCTAGAGCAACCAGCCGAGATCGCAATAATTTGAATGTTTAGATAAATTTAGGACTTTTATATTATTTTTTTACACCCTTTTCAAACCAACAATCTATGCATAAGTTTGAACTTTACATAACCTCATAAATAAATTTATTGATACGAAGTCATCAGTATTCGAACACGAAAACTTCTTCTGTCGTAGATAAAGTATCCGCAATACCATCTTTGGATGACTTGTCTCTATCACATGTTTGACATTATTCTTCTCCACTCTCTCTCTCTCTCCCCCTGCTCCTTATGAGGACGAAGCTAGAGCTTGGTTGATTTGTGGAAGAGCCATATATATATAGAGAAATAGAAGCACGTATAGGAATTAGATGCTTCGTTTCTGCTTTGTTCTCTAGCTTTTCTTTAGTTTGTTCTTTAGCCGCCGTCTCGATTGTTCGTTTTTCGTCCCTATATGATGTCGTATTCACGCATGTTACTTCTGAAGTTCTGGTGGCAATGAACATTCTAACCAACTCATCAAGCTTATCGCACATATACACTAAAAGGGAATATTATTATATAGTTATAACCAACTAACTAGTTGAAATTTTAGGTGCCAGAGATTTCAAGATTTCTTGGGGGAAAGTTAGTTTTAAATGGTTATCATGGTTCATAGTCCGGTTTCGACCCAAGAACCTGTTGGTTATTAAGGATAGAGCTATAAATCGTATGTGTGTTACATTACTCAATAGGTCAATAATTTACATAATACTTTACGCACAGGAAAACAAATAAGCATATATATGATCGTAACATAACTAGGATAAAGACTTATCCCTAATATAGAGAACGTTTACATGAGTACTCGTCAGCATCGGCGGATACAGGGGGGGCCAGACTGGGCCCGGGCCCAGCCCCCCTGCCTCCCCAACCCCAAGACCCAGGCACCCAGCGTCCCAGCCCCATTGCCACAGCCCAGCCCAGCCCCACTGACTGCCACAGCCCACAGCCGGCCAGCCCAATCTGAAATCTCAAGACCAAAACTAAAATCTCCCGCCCCTATTCTAGCTTCCCCTGCAAGTCTGGACTCTGGGTACAAAAAAAAAAAAAAAAGGCGAACAGAAAGAAGACGAACAGACTGTTCGCACTTCGCAGGCGCTACCCACCTCCCCGTCCCGGCGTCCCCGACCCCGAGACCCTCAGTCACCGGCAGCGGCACCGGACTGCCGCGTATCCCCTCCCCTCCGTTCTTACTTCTTTCTCCCCAGGCCGAGTCCCCAGCGCCTATAATCAAATCAAGTTCCCTTGATCCCTTTCCCGTCAATCCTTCACAGAATCACAGTGACAGTAGTCAGTTTTCAGTAGTGAATAGTGATTAGATTTTAGACGACAATTCCCTTGATGACTTAGACGACAAAGGCAACAGCAAGTCAGCAACAGGTAATTGCAATTTGCCAATTGATCTTACTGTCTTAGACTCTTAGTTTACTTAGAAACTAAGTTTGTACAGTGCAATTATGCAGATTTCAATATATTTCATCATGACATCTTCTCAACCACCAAATAAAAAGGCGAAAACAACATTGTTTTCTTACTATCAACGTAAGGAATCTGAAACGTGTCAGACCGAAGAAGTCCCTCCTAATGAAGGTCAACCATCTTCCTCTCCAGTTCAGAATGAATCATCTACTTCTCTTGTATCCGGTAATCTACTTCCATCATCTCATAGTGGAGTTGAAATTGAAAGAGATCCAGGAAAGAGGAAACAAATATGTGATTGGGCTCTTGAGTTGAGAGATGAGGTTAGGAGAAAATACCTAATACACAAGGCTTATCAACCTAAACTCGCATACTATAAGCCGCGAGAATATCCAGATAAAATTCGTCACTTTCAAGAAGCATGGTATTCACAATTTGATTGGTTGGAGTATTCTCCTACAACACATAAAGCATATTGTTTCCCATGTTTTTTGTTTAGAGACAAGATGAATGGGAATCAAACTTCTGCACTAGTCAAAGATGGATTTGATAATTGGAAGAGGGTTAATGGTAAGAAATGTGTGTTCCTTGTTCATGTTGGTTCATCAGCTTCTTCAAGCCATAATAAATGTGTTACAGCGGCTGATGCCTTGATGAAACCATCCGGTCATATTGATAAAGTGATGCACAGAATTGGTGGAGAAGAAGTTCTAAAGCATCGATTGCGGTTGAAAACAACAATTATGGTTGTCAAACAGTTGGCTTTACAAGGAAGTTCTTTTAGAGGGCATGATGAATCTGATGATTCTTTGAATCCGGGGAATGTTCTAGCTTGGATTGGTTTTGCAGCGAAGTTGAATGATCAAATCAATAGTGTAGTTCTTCGTAACGCACCAGGAAATGCGAAATACACTTCACCAAGCATTCAGAAGGAGATATTGGGAATCATAGCAAATAGAGTGCGTTGTAAGATACGCGAGGAGATTGGAGATTCTTGTTTCTCTATTCTTGTTGATGAAGCAGTTGATGAAGCAGGAAGGGAACAAATGTCTATTATTTTGAGGTATGTCAGTTCTTCTGGTATAGTAACTGAACGCTTTTTCGCTCTCAAGAGTATAGCTGATACTTCTGCAGAAACATTAAAACAAGCTATTTGTGACGTTCTCTCTCAGTATGACCTTCAAATTGAAAAATTGAGATGTCAAGGATATGATGGTGCTAGTAATATGTCAGGACAGTTTAATGGAGTCAAGGCATTATTTCTTAGAGATTGCCCATATGCCTATTTTGTCCACTGTTTTGCTCATAGATTACAGTTGGCATTGATGACTTCTGCAAAGGTATGTGATCCTATATGGGATTTCTTTTCCATATTGGATTGTATCATAAACGTTGTGAAGGCTTCTCCTAAACGGATCAGGGAGTTGCAAGCAATTCACAAAAAAGATCTTGATGGTATGTTGGATGTTGGAGAAATTCAATCTGGACAAGGAGCTAATCAAATGACATCCTTAAAGCGTTCGGGGCCAACTCGTTGGGGATCTCATTATCATTCCATATTGAGCATTATAAACATGTTCAATGCAACATGTGTAGTGCTAGAGGATCTTTGTCGTTCTAAAGAAGGAGAACAACGAGCTCAAGCCAGAGGTGCTTCAAAAAATATCAAGACTTTTGAGTTTGTGTTCAATCTTCACTTGATGAAAGGGATTATGGATATCACGGATTTTCTTTGTCAAGCATTTCAACAAGAATCTGTTGATATTGTAGCTGCAGTTGGATTTGTTTCCATGGCAAAAGTTAAACTTCAAAAGCTACGGGATGAAGGATGGGACAAGCTACTCCAAGAGGTAAAATCTTTTTGCTCAAAACATGCCATAGAGGTACCTAATATGAATGCTACACTTGGACGTGGTGAGAAGCAAACAACTCTTGAGCACCGCTACCATTTTGAATACTTTAATCAATGCATAGATTTTCAGTTGGGAACATTGAATTCAAGATTCAATGAGTCATCAGTCAGATTGCTTCAGTTGAGTGGTGCACTAGACCCTAAAAGTTCTTTCCGGTCTTTTGATGAAGAAAATATTTACAGACTTGCTGAAGAGTTTTATCCTCGAGACTTTGAAGGCAATGAGATGAATTGTTTGAAGAATGAGCTAGGATATTATGCTGATCATGTGGTTCATAGTCAGGAATATGATGTTTCTTCCCTTGCAAAATTACTAGAGAAGCTGGTGGAAACAGGGATGGAGGCACGGTACAGATTGATTTGTCGGTTGATTCGTCTAGTGTTGACATTGCCTGTTTCAACGGCTACTACAGAGAGATCCTTTTCAGCAATGAAACATGTGAAGACTGATTTGCGCAACAAGATGGGCGATGAATTTCTTGCTGATTGCTTAACTATTTTCTTTGAGAGAGAGTATGTTATTGGTATGGATGAAGACTCAATTATTGACGAATTTGCTAAATTAAAAGACCGTCGTGTACAATTGACATTGTAATGCAAACTATAATTTTTTTTTTTTTTACGGTATCTAATTTTATGTTCGAATCCGGCCCAGTGCACTTCTACATCCTGGATCCGCCGCTGCTCGTCAGTCGTCTCGTCTTACCTAAAGAACTCATGTGCATTCCAGCCAATTCTCATCTTCTCTCTCAGCTGGCCCACTCGTTAAAATTAAACATGCACCCATAAACTCGACTTAGAAGCTCGATCTCCTCCCTTGAAATATATTTTTTCTGTTGATTGAACGTAATCGCACGTACGTACGTCTCAATCAGTTAACGTATTGGTCATTCCTCCATATAGCCAGATCGATATGAGCTGGTTGATTTGTGCGTTACGGATTTTACATGCAGTGAGAGAAAAATACGGCCGGCCGGCGTGCACGTGGGTGCTCCGGCCGGGACCAGCGGAAAGGAAGGAATTTAGGCGAGATATATATATAGTTGTCATTCGTTATCGGCGTGGCAGAGTGGTCGGCAACGAAATTAGAGCACATGCATGGTGACGAAATGAGCTGCGGCAACAAGGGGAAAATGAAGGGGAAATTCAACCAAGCTCGTGATTATATAAGCAAAGTCCAACAAGCTGGCATGGGCGCATGGCAGATTTCGTTGTAATACAACTGTTGCTATGAGTTCGAATTTTCTCTCTGTCTGTGAACATATATCGTGTTAGTGAACCATTGTATTTTTTCTTTTTTTACTTTCTTTTTCGATAAGGGTTATACATGTTTGTTTGTTTTTACGGTTAGATAAATACTGCTCAAAAGATTCGAACCTGATACCTCCAGATTTAAACCTGATTATATTACCACCAGACCAAACATTTGCATCTGTGGATTTCTCGTTAGGCTCTAACAACAACTCCTAGGGCTAGTCTATGCCAGGCAAGATATGTTGAAATTTTGCGTGTAAATCACCCCACCTGGAATAAATTAAACAAATGAGATTAGGGATTTTTTTTTTTTTTTGCCCCCCAAGTTGTTAATCGTACGTGTTGCTCTTTCTCTCATGTTATAACTTAATTGCCAATTAAAGTACACCACTGACTGAGAAAGGAATTTGGACAATATACTAAATGATATGAAAGTAAGAAGGAAAGATTAATTCACTTATAATCACGCCACGTGCGTGTTGCAGCAATTCCCGCTTGCTAACCAACTTTTAAAGTACCTTAACTATTATTATATTCTTCGTCTACGACTAACTATACGTGACTTAAAAGGCTCATTAGCGTCTCCTAAGTGAATGGATACATTGTCTGTAATTACAAGATTGGTAAATTCTATTGCTGATTAATGAGTTCCTTTTCAGCTAATAGTGACACGCTGGAAGGTAATTAGTGGGGTGGGTTTTGGGCTTTTTGGTGGTGGACGGTAAGTGGGCCCAGCTGGGAACATTCCCCATGGTGCTCGAGTTGAGCGGCTAACTAGTCAAAGGGAGAAAGAAAAGGTGGTGATTAATTGGTGAGGTGAAGCAAATTGTCTCACATGGAAAAAAAATAATGGGGACACGTGGCACATTATGATTGTCGGTGGTTTGGCTTATAGCATTCATCATCTTCTTCCATTATCATCGTCCCCATTGGGAGGATCCAAAGCCCACCTTAAATTTTGCTTCCCACACAGCAAAAGTTGACTTCTCTCCACTTCCTGTGTAGATGCACATCCCACATCTTTACCTTTGATATACTTCCTTCATGCCTAAGTTTGGGTGTAAACAGGTTGATTTATTGGTCCATCTTGTCGAACCGGTCCATCACTCAGTCAACAATCAACGTCGAACAGGATAACCCGTTCCTCTTTTGGTCTTGATTTGGTCGTTCAACATTTGTAGCGAGAGAGCTTGAAGGTGTCAGTGTGTCACGCGATCGACGAAAGAGACAACTACATACAAAAACAATGAATTCTCCGTAGAATAGTGTCTGCAGGTCCTTGTTGACGTTCCATTCCAGGCGATCGGTCATAAGAGTTTCCTCTCTCTCTCGAGATATTAATTTCGCCCGGAAATAAAAATGTCCACCCAACAGTTTTACCGAAACCATGAAGTAAAATGTAAATCAAATACTCGGAAAGATTACACCAAGTAGCCAGCTATGATCAACACAATCTAGTCTCATAATTAGGTTGGGGTGGGATTAATTAACCAAAATCACTTGCTGATTTCAGCTGATTTGACCATTTGGAGGAAAACTTATCCCTAATTAAAGTCATAATCATCATTAAACCTTCCCAATATTTGATGATTACATTATATTATCAACCCCCCTGGCCATATCTTGCAAACACAACCAGACAATTCCCACGTCTTGATTAAGTACACACGCACCAGATATCCAGCCAGTAGCAAGAATTCAGGTTTCTTGGGCATCCTCTGCTTTTTCTGCCACAACAACAGAGAGCTGGCTGAATATCAGTGCAATATGGTCTACATGAACAATAGAAAACAGACAATATATTATGTATCAATAATGCCTGCAATCAAAACAGTGTCCAGGGAGTCGTCAACCAAGTGTATGGCCCTCGAATTGGAAAAAACCACAAACTAAAATAAAAAGATCGATCGATCGATGATCATGTTGATGTGACTTGAATCGGACTATCAGCCGCTACGACTGGTAATCGGGGGTGTTTCCTTTGTCAGATTGGATTAGGTTTAGACCCACATGGAGAAAGTACTATAAATACTTCACATACTCCTCTGTAATCTGTAATCTCCTTGATATAGTGAAATCGGCTCTCTCTCGCCCGTGGACGTAGCTAACACACATCGTGTTAGTGAACCACGTAAATCGTGTGTCGTGTTTTCGATTCTCGCTTTCGTATTCTTGCTTTGTCGATTCCGGCGATTTCCCGATCCGTAGCAGCGCGTTTGTAACAGATCAGTTTATTATGGAGAGGGATGGGCGTGACTGTTGAATTCTAATCAGCTATGAACTAAGGATATGGAGGAAAATGGGATCAGCCTTGGGAGTGACAATGGGGCGGAAAATCATAATTAAATCATGCACATTGTAACTGCTACACACCCACCTCCCTCCATAGGGTAGGTGTCGGCACGAGCCGAACTCATCGAGTCGTGCATAGTTTGCGATTTTAATTGCTGGATGCATACATATCTACTGTCGAAACTCGGATCTGATCCAAACGTGCATGTGGTCTGATTCGGTCCAGTCCGCGGTTCGATTTGATCCGGGAAAAATTTACGGAATCGAATTATATTGCAGTAGATCAAATTCGATTGAATTGTTCTCGTTCTGATCGGATACGACGCGGTATTGCATAATCGTCGAATTGGGCACCGGAGCCTGGGTGTCCTGCCCCTCTTTGGATGAACGTAATGATAGATTAAATTACAAATTGTCATTGCATCCATCCGACCGACGCGATATTCGACGGCTATATATAATATATCCCCCTGTAAGCAAGTTTTCACGGGTAGAGTTGTGAGCAATTTCGCAAAATCGGTGCGACTTGTTACGTCCAATTATAACTTGATGAAATAATAACAAAAGAAAAAAAAAACTCTTGGCCAATGAAAATCCAGAGCATTGTGTAGCTGGCTGTGCTTAATTGGCTGCCGCTGCTTTATTACTCTACCGGCATGTTCCTGTTCCCTTCTCTTTTTTTTTTTTTTTTTAATATTATTAATAATAACTTTTTTCTCCTTTTACGGGCCTAATAATAGTATTTGGTGTCTGGCTGCCCATGTGAATTCATTTACTATGGCCTCTATCGTTGTTTTAATGTAAACCAGCAGGGCTTTTAGTTTGGCCCAGGCCCTTTGCTGGCAAACTATTTATAATATTTATTAATAATTTCATTCTTATTACTATAAAAATGTAACAAATAATCAATTTCATCCCGTGGCGGGAAAAGGGAAAGCAAACGGCGGTTAAAATAGGGTGTTTTAATGCTTTTCATGCAGTGCAATCCCCAACTCCCCAACCAGCACTTGAAGATTTTCGGATTACGACCCAATCCCATGATTTCACCAACCTCCTTCTCACCCTTTTCATCATAAAAACTAGATCTTTTACATGGTAGCTGGAGAGGAAGTTGTAGTTATGACTAGTATGGTAGTTATACAAAAAAAAAATTATATGGGAATTGGTTTGGATTTGGAGAAGTTCTCCATAACCAAACCTAATTGAGTACATACATTTTCGTTAATTTTTTTTTTTGGGTAAATACTAAGGTTTGAAAGAGCATATCAATTGACGGGTGTTCGTGATTGTACGAGTATTCATGGGTTCACGAAGATAATTGCTACACATCCTTATATCATAAATTTTTTTATCAAACAACTATATATCATAGAGGCTTATAACATCCATACACTCCATATTATTAGGACAATGTTGTGATAAAAACTATTCATATTGGGATTATATGCAAAACAACGTTATTTTGCTTTTCACGGACGGATTTGATGTAAAATGGCCAGAAATTATTACCATAAATGCACCGGACGCAATATGCCAATTTGAAAAGCGGGAACTGACCCAAAAATCACCGATGCCATGTTCTAGTCGGCTTTAGCGAGTCGGGGGTGATTGGGTACACCGCGATACGAGTTCAACCGTAATCTCTAATTATAATTAGGATATAACTGCGGTACCAAACTTACAATTAGTATGTGTTTCCTTCTATGCCAAAATAGATGATTGTGCTTTTTAATACCGATTCTCAATATCGATAATGATACTTATATGTTCTCTGTTACTCGCCCAGTACCATTCGACACGTTGAGTAACGATAAATCAGTTGTCAACCACCCTTTATATCGGATTAATGTCGCTCAGAGTTCTATGTGGAGCTTCTCTCTTGTGATAAAACCCGTTATTGTGATTTTGGTCAATCTGTACGTGTTGGGGTGTAGAAGAAGGAAGGCATCATGTATCGTTTGTGGGAGCAAATTGAGCACTACGAAGCAAATGGGAAAAGAAGAGCCCAAAAAAGTTTCGAAGCAAATGTGAGCATGAAGAAAACTGGCCAAAAATGTGAACAATAACAACTGTAAAGAAAACTTTGTTTACTACGATCTAATAGTATAATGAGTATAACGATTAAATTAATCCAAGATCAGGAGGGAGATGAGAATATAATAAGTTGACTACAAACTATTAATTAAGGAATAAAGAGGGGTTTTGTTTTCAAAGATTCAATTGAGTTGAGTTGAGACGGCACACCACCACAAATCCCCAAATCTCTTGACCGCTCTTGGTGGTTATATGTGTGGTCTAGAAGTTTAAACAATATCAATGGTGCATAAAAAAATGGTGGATGATAAGATTATTTAATTTTTGGTGCTTATAAATTAAGTCTATATTGATTTGAATTGAACTATGTCAATATAACGATACATGAAAGAATGAAAGAAAGACGAAAAATAAGATATTGTCGTGATAACTCTTGTTGAACTTGAACGTATCATTGTTCGGTGTCGAACCAGTGACACGGTTGCTATTATTGAATATGTTTACCATTGGACTACAATACATATTTTTTGTAAGAATTCAAACCTAAATACATTTATACTTTAACCTTTACATCCAAATATATTCAAAATTCTCAATTTTTTTCTCGATGGTTGATCACTGAAATACCGAGTGTGTTTTACAATTTTTTCAGAAAATGAAAATAAACAGTGGTATTTTGTAATAACTTGTAGTCAAATATTATTTGACGGTTTTTTATTATTAATTATTTTTTTAATGTAGTACTGCTTGTAGTTAAAACCCAAAGACCCCAATTTGAGGTGGGCAGTACAAAACAAAAGAACAAATCATTTCTTAATGTGTTCACGGGATTGAATTAACATGCATGAGAAATAAATAATCAAACGAATAAAATATCTCTCCATACTCCCTAGCTATTGTCTATGGTATTTGCAATCTTATATAATAGAAAAAGGAATCATACTAGCATCTATATTTATATACTTAATTAATAATAATTACAGAGAATCCCCATATCTTTATTGCTGTCACTGTTTTTGGCTACTTATCTAACCCCCACACGTAGACAAATATGGCCTAATCCCCCTGTCCACATATTCGCCCCCACAATGTCCCTCTCCGTATTTAAACCAACACCAAATACTACTACTGGGGCCATGCTCCAAGTAACAAAACACGGTATGCTCTCGAGTTCAATTTTCACAACCAACTACCCGTTTGAAGTTTCTTTGATCGTCATTAGGCGCTAAATGCTCGATCAAAACACCAATCGTTGTAAATTTGTACAAGTTATTCATGAAAATCGACATGATTCGATTGTCACAAAAAGAGTTCGAAGCAGTTTCAGACGTATTCGTCGGAGTTGCCATCACGAAAGAAGAGACACCAAGAAGGGAGAACTTGTTGAATTCATACATCTATCCTTTTTTTCCCCATATATTCTTCACATGTAGAAAGAAAGAAACAAAAGCAAAAAAAAAAAAAATGTACACTGCAAGGTGGAAAGAAAGAAGAAGAAAAAAGCAATGAAATGCCAAAACTATGGTGGTAACTGGTAAGTAACAAAATAACAAAATTCTTCTTTTTTTCTTCTTCAATTTTGATTATACATTAATCTCTGGCTTAATTAATCAACTAATAATAATAATCAAATTTCCCCCCCTCATAATAATTCTCTACTACTGCTATGGCAATCCTTATACACAGGCGGAGAGAGAAGATCCTGGTCGTCACATGAGCAGATTCTCTTCATGATTACGGAATTTAGATCATCATCATGATCATTATTATTGCTGCTAATTCCCCCGCTGTAGTAATTACCGCCGCGTTGGATTACTGGGTAACGCCGGCCCCACTCTTCCTCGGCCTCGCCGGCGCCGGGGATGGTGTCCGGCGACGGCATAAGCTTGATGTTCTTCAGAATATGCTCGCCGCTGCTCCCCATCAGCAGGTGGGTCAGGATCCCGGACTCCGTCACTCCGGTTTTCCTCTTGCCGTTGTGCTGCATGGCCGCCCGGACGATCTCCGTCAGCATCGCCGCCGAGAATCGCCGGATCCCTCTCCCTCCGCCCATCAGAACCGCCGGGTTCGCCGCCTGTCCGGACCGGGCGCTCTTTTTCCCTCCGCCGCGCTTCCCGGTTTCCTTATTGGTGGAGAAGTAGATGAGGGACTCGGGCGCCCGGCTCCGGACCCGGGCGAGCGGGTCGGGTCCGAGGATCAGCGTGGACTTCACGTCGGCCAGCATTATGTGCTTGAAGTTCCGCTTGACCCGCCCGAGGAGCATCGGGTAGCACGCCCACCGACGGAGTGAAATTTGCGGGTTGGGGAGGAAACCGGATAGCGAGTTTTCCGGGTCGAGCTCGCTCGCCTCGAACCCGACCACCGACCCGTAACTCACCCGAGTCCGCGGCGGCGAGTCGCCATCGCGACTCGCCGTGGGGGAAGAAGAAGAAGTAGTGGTTGGACTAGAACTGCCATTAATAGTAGCATTGAGTCGAATTTTCTTACCCCACAGAAGAGTCGTCTCCATCGGCCCCGCAGCCGCGGCCGCCATTCCCCCCTTGCTGTGATTCGCCCTTTTCACGAACCGACCCGCGTCGAATCTGGACCAGGACCATTTCTCCTTCTCCACCTCCATGGAAGCCGCGTTATTCTTCGATTCGGAGTGATTCTTGGCGGAATGCTGGCGGAGGAGCGCGGAGAACGAGTCGTTCTCCTCGCGAATTACCGCCTCGAAACCGGATCTGGAGGCAGAGGAGGAAGGGAAGAGGAAGACGGCGTCGGCCCTGGATGCGAGGCCGGAGCGGTGGAACAGCCGGAGGAAGAGGCGGAATTCGGCCTCGGTGGTGTCCTCCGCCACGTGGCCGACGAGGAGGTCGGCCATGGATCTGGTGCCCCGCCGGTAAAGCCTGCCCATCCCTTGGAGAGCAAAAGAGTGTGGGGAAGAAGAAGCAGAGGAATACTCGTCCCCTGCTTCTTCCCTCTTTCTCCTCCCGACAATCCCGCCGGCGGCGGCGTCGAGCCAGTAGTAGAATCCCCCTCCCCCGGCGACCCCGCGGTGGTGGTTAATCGGCCTCTCGGAGAGAAACCGGCGGTGGACGGACACGGCGGCGACGGGGTGGGGAGGGATTGGGGGCTCGAAAGTGGAGAGGGCGAAGAGGAGGAAGGAGAAGAGGACCAAGAAGGCGCAGACGGAGATGGTGGATTGAGTTTTGGTAAGGATTGGGTTGCTGGAATTGGTCCGTTTCATGGCCGGTTTTGCATTCCCCGGAGAATCGGCTGGGGAAGGGGAGGAGGACAGGCTGTAATTATCATACCGGTGAGCAATCTGCTTGGCGTCGGAAACGGGACTCCCGGCGCCGGGAGAAGAGGAGTTCTTGTCGTCGGGGAAGAAGACTAAAAGGAAGCCCATGCCACGGTTGTTGTCGGTGGCGGAAGAGGAAGAAGTGGCGGTGGTGGTGGTGGTCTTGGCACGGCTGGATTTTGCTGTGATGCCCATAACGCTCTGTTTGGCTTTGTTGGGGAGAAAAGAGGGAAAAATTGTAAATTGGGGGAAAAGCTAAAAAAGCGTGAACCCTAATAAACAAAAAAAAGCGCGAGCCAAACACCACTAAGGAACTTATTAAGTGCACGCGCTCGCTCGCTCTCTGTGCTTTCTTTTCCGTCTATGCCCACTATCTTTCCCGTGTGTGTTGCTAAATGCTAATCTTATATTTCCTTTTTCTGATTTTTTTTATTTTTATTTTTTTAGGGTGTTGGCCTTATAATTGATTTTACGAATTAACTTGGTTTTTAGGTCTTGGAGAGGATATTTTGGGTTAATTAATTGGGGATGATTGCCGGTTAATTTGTTTGATTAGTTGGAAGCAACAGGGAAGAAGAAGATTCCAATCTTTGATTTTTTTTCCGTTCTTATGGAATAAGGGTGTGCAACGGTCCATGATAATAAGGAAAGAGTTTTGGAAATACAAGTGATAATGGACACGAATTATAATATAAATTTTTTATTTTGTTTGAATGATGTATTTGGTTTTTTATTTGGACAAAGGGGCACAAAGCTTTTCATTAACATCGGCAAAAACCAAAGATTACAGAAGGGGGAAACAACATCGAGGATTTGAATCCATTCCGAGGGCAGCTGGTTCCGCGCGCAGGACCAAGCCATCCAGTCAGCCTTGGAGTTCCAATTCTTATTAATCCATTCAAATCTGATGTCGGGATGGTCACTAACAATTTGCAAGATACGACCCAGCCAAGCCGCAGCCCGCCATGGCCAGAGACATGGCTGACCTTGAATAGCCTTCACTAGGGTCAGGCAATCCGAGCGCACAAGGCATGGGGCATTGAGATCCAAAGCAACCAAAGCCCCTTCCAGTAGAGCTTTCGCTTCCGCCTCAATCGGTGAGAAGCAGTGCAGGGGCTCAGCCTTCCCATCAACCACTTGACCATGGCCGTTCGTGATAACGACACCATATGCCGCCTCCTGGGAATCGTGAAAAACGATCCATCACAGTGTACCTCGAATGAATGGGTACTTGGCGGTGGCAAAGCGGAATCAGGGGGGTGGAACAGGCTGAGGGCGAGAGGAGGCGGTTCTTTCCTTTTTCTGATTTTTTTTATTTTTTTATTTTATTTTTTTAGGGTGTTGGCCTTATAATTGATTTTACGAATTAACTTGGTTTTTAGGTCTTGGAGAGGATATTTGGGTTAATTAATTGGGGTGATTGCCGGTTAATTTGTTTGATTAGTTGGAAGGAACAGGGAAGAAGAAGTTATCACTTGTGAGTCTTTCGACAATATCTTGTAAGATATCTTATTAATGATTTCAACTTTACTGAGTATTTTTCGAGGGAAACATGTCTTAGTGATGTGTTGTAGCCCGCGTTGGTATGGTCAAAATGGCAAGATATATGTTACACTTAATCAACCTCTATCTCTAGCAAATTGCACTTAGGTTCGCATAAAGTCGATCTATCTTTGTTCGTAATCCATTATTCATACTCATTTAACAACCTAGCATGAACAAATATGCTTCATATTTATGATTTTTGAGCAACAATCGAACTTTTATAGCCATATGCAGTCATATCTATTGTTTTATAATGGAGGATATCGATTTCTATTCGCCAATTAGCGCTGTAAACCAACAATTCCCCTAGGATTTCTGGAATTAGTTGCATGTTCTGGTTTTTTGCTAATGCTTGGCCCAAAGAGGAGGAACTTGGAGAGTGGCCCAACTGAGTGTTCAAGTTACAGTTCATGGCCCAACAAAAGTGGTTTTGTTTAAAGCTTTTTGGTAAATATACCCCAGGCGGGAATAGTTTGGCAGTTCACAAATTACTGAATTACTACCTTTTTGGTAATTCACTCTACTTGGCTCGTCTTCTCCCTCGGAAAACCCCTTCCTAAACCCTAATTCCCTCCAGTAAATCCATGGCGACGCCAGCCTCAGAGAAGCCAACCAGGCATAAGCGCAGGAGCAGCGCCATGAAACCTAAAGCTAAGCGCCAGCGAGCCGAAGGAAACACCGAGCCGGCAGCTGAAACCGAAGTTGAGAACGCATTCAAAGACGACACTGATCTTTGCGACCAACTCATGTCCCGCTACTCGACCTCCACGGCTCCACACCACCGGCACTTACTAGCCACCGCCGCGGCGTTTCGGTCCATCCTTTCCGCGGAGTCCCGGGACCTCACTCCCACGGCTTACTTTCTGGCGGGAATGGAGAATCTATCGGATTCCGAGGCTCTTGATTCCACTGCCGTTGCCGCGCTCTCGACCTTGGTTTCGATAGCGACGCCTTTGATTCCGGAGAAAGGGATGGCGAATGACAGGGCGACGGAGTCTGTTGCAGTGCTGGTGGGAGCAGTTTTGGGGAGGGAGGAGGCATTGGGCGTGTCGACTTTGAGTGGTGTGGTGAAGTGTTTGGGTGTTCTGACTGCCAAGTTTTGCGATTTGGAAGATTGGAACTCGGTTAAGCAAGGGGTTGAGACTTTGCTAAAGTTATCAGTTGATAAGCGTCCTAAGGTACATTTTCTGTTTGGAACTTCTGTAAATTTGTTCAATGTAGTTCTGTTTGCAGTCTGTTTTTGCTGCTGCAGGTTCTTGCCTTTGAATGAACATTGAATGTTACCATTTGGTTCAACTGCATTTAGGAATGAGTAAGTATGAAGAGTATGAGTTTAATATGGCAATCGCCTTGTTTCAGTTGCGACGGGCAGCTCAAGAATGTCTCGTCGAGGTTCTGAAATCGTTCAGTTCTTCTGATACTATTAAGGAGGCAAGCAAGTTGGTGCTTTCTTTGCTCAAAAGTTACACTCCCCTGGCAGTTTCCTTAAATGAGTCGGAAACTGTGGATGCGTCTAATGCTGAAGCTTCTTTGAATTCTAAACATCTGGAGCTTCTTCATGTGCTAAATCTGCTGAAGGCTACTATTCCACATCTCTCCGTCAAGATCGGTTGTAAAATTTTGGCAGAACTGGTCAAACTTATGGCATCCTGTTTTTTGCCGCATACAAGAAATGTTTTCCAAATTGCTGAAGTATTTCTCACAACATCAACAAATGAAGTTATTGGTCCCCATGTTGAAGACATTGCAAACTCTCTTGCTTCATATGTATTGTCGGAGGAGAAGAATCCTGTGGACACAGTATTTTCTGCCGCTAGGTTGTTGAAAGTTGTTTTGGATAAGCTTCAGGCCAGAGGATCGTGCTCGTGGATGAAAACCTTTCCTACAATTTTGGGTCGCTTGACAGGTATGCTTCTTGGTTGGATAATTTTAACTGAGGAAAGGTAGTTACAAGGATAAAGTTTTATTATTGTGAATAGATTTTCCCTGAAGCTCAGGTGTGTGACAAGACTTCTGTTTCCGGAGTAGAAAAACATTTTTCAATAAATATAGATGTTAAGTGGTTGGATAGTCCAACTACAAGATGTTTATGGCTACCTGGATCTGATAAACTAGTTAGCTTAGTTGAAGGTTTGAGCTTATTGGTTTGCCCCCTGTAGATAAGGATTGTGATTATAGTTCTCATGACCTGTATTTGATTTTCCACTTTGTCTTTCCAATTCTAAATGTACTATTTTCCATGCTTCTGTCTACTTTTTTTTTTTATCATTTGTTATTTTAGTGCTTGCATGACTTGTTTGCATATGTTACAGTCTGATTCTTATGAAACAGGTCTTCTATCTTTGGAGGGTGACATAGCATCACAAGCTACTGATATCATAAAGGAGTTGATAAATCAATGTATTGATGTTAAAGTTCTCCTGGCCAACAAGGGAAAATCATTTGATGAAGTAAGGGAAGGGAGCCAGGAGGTTGACATGATAAAAGCAACATGTCATGTCTTTGAATTGGCTCTAAGTTCATGTACAGGGGTGCCAAATGAGCAGATTTTGTCAGTAATATCAGTTTTGTTCCAAAGGCTCGGTAGGTCATTATTCGAATCTCTCCAAGTTCAGCCGTGATATCTTATAATTATTAGGATGTTTTAAAGTCATTTAATCAATTATGTGCACCACATGATGCATTTTGCTGAAGTGAGAATTTCTGTAGTCATGCTGTTATGAAACCTGCAACTGAATTGTTGGCTGAGATGTTATTATACTGCAACTCATGTTAGAGGTTTTCCCATTGGGATAAGAAAATATAGGGAATATAAATTGATGGTGTTTCTTTCAAAATTATTCATGATAAGTGCAATGTCTCATGGTCATTACATATAGTGCACACTGAAATTGGAGTTAATGATTGTGTGCTTGTTGTATAGTTTATGAGGCTCCTGAATTCCTGAGTTTCTAGCAGCTGCAAATTGTTTTCGCTGCCGCTACCTTGAACTGAATTTCGTTTTTGGTTGTAGGGGAGTTCTCTTTTATCTTCATGGAGGGCTTTGTGGTTAAACTTGCCGACTTTATAAACCATGCTAATCCAGATTCTCCAGAGACAACTTATGTAAGACTCCAATGCTGATTGCTACTTTTATGCTGGAAAACAATTACTGCGACTTCCTTCGACTTTCCTTTTAATTCTTGAAGCCAAATGCTAGTGGTTTCGTACTGTAAGAGGTGATGTCTCGTAATCTTCTATGGCAAGCTTCATTTAATGCTCTATCAGAAGATTAGCATCTTTTTGTAATATGTTCTGCAACTTTCATATTGAATTTTTGCTGAATATGGCTGAGGAAGGTCGCTTGTATATTCTGAGTAATTAGCATCTTAGAGTCTTTTACAGTATTTATGGGGATATGATATTCTGATAAATTGGACAGCTGGCTGTAAGCAAACTTTCTCTTGGAGAATTTCCTCAGATTTGTATGCTATATGACCTTTCTGATTGTCTACTTACTAATTTCCATTTCAAAGATTTTAGTCCACGGCCATAATATGAATTTGCATGATTTTCAGCCCATATAGACTCGACTCTAGTCATATTCGTTTTGTGTTCTAAAATATTTTTCTTATTGCAGCTGCAGAGTTGTCTTGGTTCTGCTGTTGTTGCCCTGGGTCCGGAGAAGATACTTGGACTTATACCTATCTGCTTCGATGCTAACAGTTTAACCTGTTCAAACACCTGGTTGGTACCCATTCTAAAAGATCATGTTGTTGGTGCATCACTAGAATTTTATGTGGAGCATATAGTGCCTCTTGCAAAGACGCTACAGCGAGCCAGTCGTAAAGGTATACTATGGAAATACTTGCTTCCTGTAGAGATGAACATTGCTTTTGACTATTGGCCATAGTAAAGTTCTGCTGCTAATACCCTTCTCTTTGCAAGTATTAAAAATTTCTGTAGAGAGAAAACTGCTAGGGCACGTTTGCATGGCTATTTAATATCTCAAGTTTCCTTTTTGCTGATCGGTGGGATAACTTGAGCTTGCAGGTTTTTGGTCTTTTATATTCCCTGTTGGTCAATGCTTTAGAGTATCTGAGGTCTTCGAACTGTTGGGTTTCTTTTCATCTAAGCTTGGTCCTTTTCTTTTTTATTACAGTGAAAAAATCAGTACTCCGTGAAGAACTACAGGCTCTTTCACAGAGACTCTTGGCACTAGTTTCTGCCTTCTGTCGCTACCCTGTTGACACTCATAAGAAGTTTGAATCTTTGACATCAATTTTAATTGTTTTCCTCCAAAAGGACCCATCCATGCACAAAAGTATAGCTGTTGCCTTGAAAGTGAGCGTTCATTCCTCATATATACTGTGATATTTACCATATGGATTTTGTATGTCTTTGTGATTGATATTGCTTGATCATGTATAATAATATTGTTCTCATATATTCATTGCTTAATTGGTCTGTTAGGCTCTTGTGAGTCAAAATAGAAGCGCACTCGGCTCAGGATGCAATGTGGTGGAAATGACTAGCAATGGGAATAAAGATTTGGTTTCAGATTCCAGAAATATGGCCTCTTACTCAATTAAGGTGGCAAACAGAAATATCAAGGCGTTGGCATCACATTCCCGTGATCTGCTTCAGACTCTTATTGATGTATTCATTGATTCACCTCCACAGAAGCGACTGCATTTAAAGGTGTCTGCCTCATGTCACTCTGACTATTTTGTTTCCATCACATTGCAAAGCGTATTAGTAATTACTATTTGTCCCAGGAAAATGCTGACTATTATAACATGGAAATAGCTATTTGTCCGCTAAAGATGCTATGTTTCCTTTCTCGTTATGGTCTTCTTAAATGCAGAGTCCTTTTGCCTTATAAGCAGTTCTTGATCCTTCATGCGGAGGAGATGATCTATTTGACTTTTGAAATTGGTCCTTAATGCAAGTTCAAGAGATAGCGCTTAAGAAGTAGTACAATTGTCCTGGTTGTAGTTTTTGATTACAGAATAGGAAAGTGATAAATTGCTGATTACATCCTCACTCATCTTCTTTTGGTGATCTGGCATGGTATTAGTCTGCATTGCAAGAGGAGTAATGTTGTTGTCTAATTTTCTTAGGAGGCCATCGGATGCTTAGCTTCTATTGCCAAATCATCCGTTACCAAAAAGATATTTTTGTTGCTGCTTAAGAAGCTTAAGCTTGTCAATACTGCTGGTGAGTTTGAGGAGCCTGCAAGTGATACTGATGAATTGGTCAATGAAGAGGATAACACCCAAACTGACACAGAGAAGACAGAAAGGTGAAAATTGCATAAGCTTTGTCGGGAGTTGTCCTACCCCGAAAAAGAAAATATGCTGACAAGTTTTGGGAATCTGCAGGAGCGTAATAATGGACCTTGCATCTTGCTTTGTTGAGGGAGCCAGCGAGGAGCTTATCCAGTTGACTTATAAGTTCATCACTTACTTGTTGCAGGTAGAACTTTGAAATCAAGCTTGTATATTTCATCTACGAGCTTATATATTACTAACATCAAATTGGACCTTTTCCTTCTCCTTTCTGAAGGAAACCAACATGTCTGGTCACTGTGAAGCCTATTGCACCTTGAGTAAAATCTTAGAGGTTCGTTATTGGCATAAATTTGCTTTCATAGATTGCCTGCAATCACATTGTTTTAGTGGGACACCAACCTTTTCTTTTCTTTTTTGGTGCAGCATCATGGATGGTTTTGTTCTTCACAATCTGTGGAGCTGATTGACTTATTGGTTAATTTGAAGCCACCTGTGGATATTAAATCACTCAAGTATCGATTTAATTGCTTTCACATCCTCGTGGTTCACACTTTAGAGGTCATTATTGCTTATTCCGCCTTTACCTCCCTCATGACAACAACCATGATGAATTTTATCTTTCGAGCATTCTTTGTAAAGAAGCAAAGATCAGAAAATACATGCGACCAAAGACCTTGTACAGAGTGCTTTTTGAGTTTTTAACCTTATATTTGAATGTAAATATGTCCTATTGCAAAACGGGAGATGTCTTCTAAATTCTAATCATATGGGAGCTTTGTTAAGCTTATTCGATCCGGCAAGTTTCAAACATATATAAGCTATGAGTTCCATGATGAATTTTGTTGAATTCACTGCTAATATTCTGTCGTGTGCTTTCAGAAACTGGAACAAGAGGAGGATAATCCGAGGACATTTCTTATTCTAAATGAAATCATTCTGACTTTGAAGGATGTAAGTTCTTTGAAATACTTCATATTCTTCTTTTGAGTAGGCTCTTGAAGTTTCTCGAGTCTCATTGGGCTTCATGTGAGGTGCATCGTTTTCAATACTTGTGGCAGGGCTTCATTTTTTGCAAAAATCTATCCGCTTCATAGTGTTGAAAGATAAATTGGGGGGCCTTCCCTTGTCACTAATGATCATACTCGCATCATCTTTCTCTTATGGGATCAAATACTGCCACGCTATCACTGATTATTGTTCGTGTACTATATACTTCTTTATTTCAACTGTAGGAATTCCTTTGAATAACTAAGAATTGTTTTTGTTTTTTTCTTTCTTTCCATTTTAGTATTTTACTAGTATTTTGAAGTTGTTCTTTCCTACTCTGGATTTGGTGAATCTTCCCAGAAAACACAAACGATTCTCCTATTGCTTCGAAATACTTATTATACATTCTGTTTGTCATTGCTGCTGCTGTGTCTGAGATGTCCATTTTTTCATTTCTATGCTGGTCGATGACGCGCATCTACAACTTATTAATCAGGGGAAAGATGAAGCAAGGAAAGTTGCTTCAGATGCACTCATTGCAATAAGTTCTCAGTTGAGGAAGTCATCTCAAGTCATTTCTGATGAACTGTACCACAAACTGATCAGCATGGTTAGTGTCTCCAACCACTTTACTGGCTTTTCACTGCTTGTGTTTGTATCAGGGATCTAACATTGTCAGTTTGCGACTATGTTTAGCTGGTTTGTTTATATCTTTTGGCGAAATAGAGAACTGCCACCTTTATTGTTTATTGCCATGAGACTCACCGAGTGCCCGATTATTATGTTTAGAAGAGCTATATTCCTGTTGTAAGATTTGAGAACATAGTGGCATGAAGTGTCATGCAAAATCTGGCTCCAGCTTTTGGGATCAATCATAACCTAGCTTTATCTGTAGTTTTGTTTTATGCATCCTCCAAACTGACTATTTAGCTATGGGAAATGTTACAGTAGTTGGAATTGTTGTTATTCCTGAATTGTCATTCAGTGTTTTTTCTAATAATAAGCGCATCGCCTCTTTCAGATACTTGGTTACCTGTCTGGCTCATCTGCTCACATAAAGAGTGGAGCTGTCTCTGCATTGTCAGTTCTAGTGTACAACGATGCAGATATTTGCTTAAACATGACTGATCTTGTGCCTTCCGTATTGTCTTTGCTGCAAAATAAAGATCTTGAAGTGGCAAAAGTAAGTTTTGCTCGCTCAACTTGTTGAGTTTGTTGCTCCTTGCACAATAAGCCCAAGACGAATTGATTGCTGTATACCTATTTAAACAGGCTGCCTTAGGGTTTATGAAAGTAGTGGTGTCTTGCTTGGAGGCCAAGGATCTGCAGGGCCTTGTATCTGACATTCTGAATGAAGTTCTTCCTTGGTCATCTGTTTCAAGAAATCATTTGAGATCAAAGGTTTGTATCGTAGCTATATACATCTTAAATGCTTCATTCAATCATTCCCTCATCGTTCTTATGCTTTGAATCATCTTGTGCTATAGGTGACAATCATTCTGGAGATATTGTTGCGGAAGTGTAGTTCTGGTGTTGTTCAGTCAGTTACGCCAGATAAGTATAAGAGTTTCGTGAAGACTGTTTTGCAGGTGTTTCTCGTGCCCTCATTGCTACATTCTTTGATGGATTCATATAATTCTCTTTTTGGGATTACTTGAACTAAATTTACCTTCTTTGGGTGGTTAGTGGGTTGATATGCTAATCTGCTCTGCTTGGGTTTCCATGATTGGCTTTGCAGAGTCGGCATCAGAAGTCTGATTCCCAGGGTTCCGGGGTGAAGGATGACGATACTAGGATCGAAGGCTCGTCTTCCAAGGGGTGAGCGGATTTTTTCTTGTTCTTCATCCTTCCATCATTCATGCGAGAGCAATCTTTCTTTCCTTTTCTTAACCTTTCATTTCCCCCTGGAACCCTTCAGGTCTGACAACGAAGCGGGATTACCTGACAAAGGACCGAGACAGGGTTCATCAGCGCACAAGGACAGAAAGAGGAAGTGGGAAAATAAGAACGAAAACCAGAGGGCCGGGGATGGTGGTGGAAGCAACAGAGATAAGAGGCAGAGGCAGCAGCCGAAACATGCCTTTGGTGGAGGCAAGCGAGGAGGTCCGGGGCCTCGACAACAACAACAACAACAACGTACGGGAAGAAATAGCAGTGGTGGTGGTGGGATGGGGAAGAGAGGAGGTTTTAAGCAAAAAGCGAACTAACTTGTGATTCTGCGACTCGATAAAGTTCTGCCGCGGATGAGATAAAGAAGAAAAAGCCTTCATACCTGCCCTCTACATCAGGAAAGAATGGTGGATTGAGAAGAGATAGGTGTGTTTTAGAGTTGAGGTTAGAATGAGATCTGTTCTCCAGCAGCCACTGTGCAGTTGAAGATTGAGATGCAAAGAGCGAAGTTAGGGAAAGCTACATAGAGCTTCTCAATTTTGATTGCTATTCCATTACTTAGCAAGGACCTCTAAGTTCTTGTACCAAAATTTGATATTGTTTGTAATTTTGGAAGAGAGTAATCATATTTATTCTTGTACCATATTGTGCTCACAATTTTTAAAATACTTCCTCCTGATCTGCTTCCATACAAATACAAATACAAATAGAAAGTTTGGTGACCAATATGCTAGTGTAACAAAAATTAAGTGACCGTAATTAGCCCGCGAAAAAGTATGAGGGAAAAGTGTACTTTTCCAATTTTTCTCCTCTCCGCTGCTTTATCCAGTATCCACTCGAATGAAGGACGGAAAATAGCTTCATCTCCCTCTTCCACTTTGTGCTGCCGCTTCTCTCCCGCCGGGCAAACAATGGCGGTCATGCTAAACCATCATCTCTTCACCGCCTCCGGCGGCAGCAGCTTCGTCTGCAAGATGTCCAAGACAAACCCGACGGTCTTCGTGGAGAAGAAGACCGGCTCCGTCGACTACGACAAAGGCGAGCACCTTGTTTCCACTGAGCTCAGCGGAGTCAGGCAAGCCAACATTCCTAGACGCTACCGGCTCAGGGTCGAACGAGATAGGTTCCAGAAGGACTGGTCGCTCTCCCAGGTGGTCCAGAAGGTTCTCGCGCTCGATCCTCGCGGCGACGACGTGGAGGCCGTTTTGAACCACTGGGCTGGCCGCTTCGCTCGCAAGAATTTCCCTTATCTCATCAAGGTAGAATCAATTCTGGCCTGCGCTTTTAGCTAATCGAATTCCAGACATGGCCGGTGGAGATAATTTATAATTTTCCCGTCTTTTCCTGTTTTTGTGTGGTTATTTCATCAGGAGATAACGCGGAAGGGATCGTTGGACCACAGTCTATTGGTTTTCAGCTGGATGAAGAATCAACAGATTTATCGTGCTTGTACTGAAATCTATAACAGGATGATCATGTTGCTTGCTCGCCATGGCCGGATTGATCAGGCTCGCGGGTTGTTCTTCGAAATGCAGAAATGGAGGTGTGGTTTTATTGGGTTTCTCTGCTAGTATCAGTGCTTCATTTGCAAGAACTTAACATTTCAGTTTTATTGTTGAAAGGGCTCATAGTTTCTCTCTCATTAATGTTTTTGGGGCTGGCAGGTGCAAACCGGATGTTGAGACTTACAATGCACTTATCAACGCCCACGGTAGAGCTGGTCAATGGCGGTGGGGATTGAATATAATGGACGAGATGCTGCGAGAAGCTGTGTGTATTTGCTTTCCTTTTCCCAAATCAATCTTTGTGGGTCTGATTTGATGTGAGGTTCTTTATTTGTTTATGTTACTTCTATGCTACATTGGTTATCATATATGGTAGTCTCACCTAGTCCTTACAGATTGTCTCTTTTGGCCTACTCTAGTTCTGGGTTGGCCTTCTGGTTTAGTAGCTTTCGGTAATTTGCTGGCAATTCTCGAGCTGTTTGATTGCTCAAGCCAATGCTAGAACATGGTTCAGATAACTTCCTACATCTTAGTTAGATTGCAATGTAGCATTTATCAGCTTTGATCCCTCTCCCATGAATAGTAGCATGCGCATCCAGTAAGCACTTACATGGCTTTATTAAGTACTACCCAGAGTTTTATAGACATGTGAAACAAAATGTGCAAGATTGTCTTGTAATCTTTGTCCGCTGTTTGCAGATAACACCTAGTCGGTCCACGTATAATAATTTGATTAATTCTTGTGGATCCAGTGGTAATTGGAGAGAGGCATTGAAGCTTTGCAAGAAAATGACTGAAAATGGCGTTGGGCCTGATTTAGTGACTCACAACATTGTTTTATCTGCTTACAAGACTGGAGCTCAGTATGCAAAAGCCTTGTCTTACTTTGAGCTGATGAAAGGAACAAGCATTAGACCAGATACAACAACATTCAACATTGTGATTCATTGCTTAGTTAAGCGTGGCCAGTATGAGAAGGCCCTCAATATTTTCAATTCCATGAGGGATAAGAGAGCAGATTGCCATCCCGATGTTGTCACCTTTACAACAATGATCCATTTGTATTCTTCCATGGGGAAGATTGAGAATTGTTCTGCTGTGTTCAATACCATGCTCGGTGAGGGGCTGAGGCCTAATATTGTTTCATACAATGCATTGATTGGGGCATATGCTTCTCGTGGCATGGGTAAAGAGGCACTTTCAGTTTTTGATGAAATGAGGAAGAACGGGTTTTGTCCTGATGTTGTGTCATACACTTCCTTGCTGAATTCATATGGGAGATCTCAGCAGCCTGTGAAAGCAAGAGAAGTTTTTGAGATGATGAAGAGAGAAAAACTGAAACCGAATATTGTCACCTATAATGCATTGATTGATGCCTATGGATCTAATGGGTACTTGGCAGAAGCAGTGGGCATCTTACGTGAAATGGAGCTTGCTAGTATTAAGCCAGATGTTGTGTCTATAAGCACTCTTCTAGCTTCATGTGCCCGATGTGGCCGAAAGGTTAATATCGATGCAGTGATTTCAGCAGCTGAAATGCGGGATATCAGATTAAACACTGTTGCTTACAATTCAGCTATTGGTGCCTATATGAATGTTGGGGAATATGATAAGGCAGTTGCATTGTTTCGATCCATGGGGAAAAGAAAAGTACTGCCTGATTCTGTTACTTACAATGTCTTGATAAGTGGGTGTTGCAAGATGTCAAAATACAGCGAAGCTATAGAGTTTTTTGGCAAGATGATGGATTCGAAATTGCGATTGACTAAGGAGGCTTACTCATCTGTGATTTCTGCCTACAGCAAGCAGGTAAGTCGTTGAATATGATATTCCTCGTCTTTATATATGGTAAACAAATCCAGTTCTGCTTATTTATCTATTTAAGCTTATCAATTAATGTATGACAATCAGGGCCTAGTTGCAGAGGCAGAATCCGTGTTCAACATGATGAAGACGTCTGGCTGCTGTCCTGATGTTATCACCTACACTGCGATGCTACACACATACAATGCTGCAGGTGAGTTTTGCATATTGAAGGGGTGAGCTACTGAGCAACTGATCTGAAAGTAGAGGAAGAAAGAAACGGTTAACAAAAATCAACTGAAATCTCACCTTGACCTTTGTTTAATGTTAGAATGCTGGGAAAAAGCTTGTGCTTTACTTCAAGAAATGGACGCCTATAGCATACAACCAGATACTATTGCATGTTCTGCTTTAATGAGAGCTTTCAATAAGGGAGGTGATCCAGGCCAGGTCCTTGTCTTGGCACAGATTATGAGAGATAAAGGAATCCCGTTCAGTGATGCCATTTTCTTCGAAATGGTTTCTGCATGTAGCCTGTAAGTAAATCCACCTAGTTATGCTAAAAACTGAGTTTCTTAAGACGCAAATTTTGTTGTCATCTTCTGGAGTTTGGTCCCTCATCTTTCTCGCTCTGGTTGTAGGTTGAGAGATTGGAAGAAAGCACTTGAGTTGGTACAGCTGATGGAGCCTTCTTTCCCCGTGATTTCTGTTGGACTTCTAAATCAACTTCTTCATCTTCTGGGAAAAAGTGGAAAAACAGATTCTATGATCAAGGTACTCATTCTTTCAAGCCATTTCCATACGAAGTTTGGCTGAAATGATAATATGCTTCTTCTTTTCTTGACTTCTCCTATAATTTCTGGTTCTGTTATTGTGTTTGAATGCAGTTATTTTACAAGATTATAGCATCTGGTGCTGAAATAAATTTCAAAAGTTACTCCATACTGTTGAAGAATCTCCTGGCCGTTGGGAATTGGAGAAAATACATCGAGGTAACCTTAAGATAATATTTTCCTACCTATATTCGTCTTGGGAAGAAAAAGAAACAAAGATGATGAGTTCTTCAGATTGCCTACTATCTCATCCACCCCATTGTAACGGGCAATTATGGATGCATTATATTTGTAATGCAGGTATTGGAGTGGATGGAGAATGCAAAAGTCGAGCCTTCTAATGGAATGTTCGAAGACATACTCAACTTTGCTCAAAAGCATGGTGGGGAATTTGCTTCTACCATAAAAACAAGAGTTGGTATGCTCCTCCTGTTTCTTACCTCTCCTGCTGGAAAATCACACTATCAACTTTATCATGCATATGTATGATTATGTAATCACAGTGCTCGTAGTAATAGCGATTCTGGGTTTAGGAATATAACAGCATTAAGGACACTTCAATCCACACCTCCTTATCCTCAACTTTAACCGTAGACATCAGAACCGGCAATGGTTCATTCGAACACGAACTGATAGTTCGCCTGGTAACTAACCAGATAGTGCAGGTAGAGTTATTAACAAGCCTCTTCGTTTTTTTTTTTTTTCGTTTCTACGACAGAATCACTGAGAAGGCAGCCGGTCGAAAGCAACTTGTAATGCTGAGTAGATAGTTGAGACTTGAGAGAAGCTGTTAAAAGAGGATGGAATGGTGCTTCATTTCCTTAAGAGCTCTCAGTTGCATTTTGCAGAGAATTTATTTGCTGTATTATGTATATATGTAAAAAATAAATTGTAGATATAACAATTTTGTAACAGTTTTGTCTAGTTATATTCAGTCAGCTCTTGGGAGAAGTCATCACTCTATCAGTTGAGACTTGAGAGATGAGGAAGAAGTCTAATCAGTCGTTTGGTTAATTGGGCCTTCTTTTTCCTTGTTACAGAATTCGGGGATGGGCCGAATTTGTGCCTCAGGCCCAACTATCCTCCAACTAAATTGAAACAGCGAGTGGGCTTTGGGGATCAAGCCCGTCATCCACTTGAGTTTATCACTTCAGTGTTCTGATCAATTCCATTTCGACTTTTCTATTGCCAACCATAAGAACAGAGTTTACAGAGAAGAAGACAACAATGGCGGCAGCGGCGGCGGCGGCGCCTATTCTGAGCCACATCGCCAGGGAGTCATCCGACATAAGACGCCTCGCCAATTTCTACAAGGAGGTCAGTTATACTCGACGATGACTTTCAGTTAAGCTCGGTTTCTTTTCGTTCGATGATTTCCAGTACTTAGATATTACCAAGCTGTGCAGATTTTTGGGTTCGAGGAGATAGAGACGCCCGATTTCGGATTCAACGTCATATGGCTGAATCTGGCTAACGCTTTCTCGCTCCACCTCATCGAGCGGAGCCCCGAGACGAAGCTCCCGGAGGGTCCTTACAGCGCCGTGGAACCGATTCGAGAAGTTTCCCATATCTCCAAAGGCCACCATATCTGCATCTCCGTCGCCAATTTCGACGCTTTCGTTGGTTCCCTCAAGGTCTGTCTTTGTCTGGTCTTTTTACGACTCATCATTGTGGCTGTATGTTTCTCTGCAAGAATCCTGGAATTGAGTGTTTTCGATTGTTTGCTCAGGAGAAGGGGATAGAGACTTTTCAGACGGCGGTTCCAGGGCGGTCAATTAGGCAAGTCTTCTTCTTTGATCCAGACGGTAAGCATATCTATCTGTATCTGTTACAATGGAGTTCGTTGAAGTTTAGAATGGGAAGAGTAACAAGGTTTCAAATTGTAATATTGTTCAGGCAATGGACTGGAGGTGGCGAGTCGGGACGAGTAGGGGAAAGCTCGACTGCACTGCGCTTCGTTCGATGATGATCAACTGAACTGAACTGCGCTTCGCTTGATGAAGATCGTATGTACGAAAAGAACCCTAATAAGGAGGAATAAGATGATGTACAGATGCTGGCTAATAGGGCTGATTAGTTAGTTATAAGCAACTTTGTTCCAGGGGGTATTTTACTGTTTCTCCATGGATTCTATGTAGCTAAGCCATGAGTGTTGTAATCGAAATGAAATGAACAGCAGTATGTGCTTCTAGTTTTTTCATCTCACACCAGGTATGAGTAGCTTGAGCTGATGACACTGTCTCCATTGATACCAAGGCGATGTCCTTTCCTTGCTGATTTTCTACTTAGCATTTGTCTACAGCAAGTACAATGAGAATCGGATTGCGTATATTTTCAGGCTGAAACCACACAACATTCCACCAAGTTTTGAAACAAAAACAAACTGCACAGAATACAGATGCAGACGTTGTCCAGCAACTACCATGTTCAGCGCCCTAAAAAAGGGGTAGCAGTATGTAAAAGCTGTTCAGTGACATTTCTTTCCACCTCTTTCCCTTTTCTGGGGAAGGTGGAAGGGTTGATGTCTAGCATGATCCAAAATGTGTCCCTCTTTTCAGCACCCTCCGATTCGAAATGCCTTACGAGTGCACCAGGATGGTTCAATGCTACACTCCAGAAAACGCTGTAACTGGAACGGGGTCGCGACAGGTTGCCATACCATCTTTAGAACTTCAAAGGCCTAAAAGAAACATGAGTGCAAAGTTCGAAGTTCACGATGTAGATATACCATCCCGCTTCAGCAGTTCCTGCGATGATTGCATGAACTAAGAGTTACTCAATGTTCATACAAACTAAGCAATAATTATTTACGAATATATGCATGTACACCCAGGAGATAGATTATAGATACCATTTTGGTTGCTGCAACTGCCCTGTGCTGCCTTTCTTTTTTCCGACGAAGACACTCTCCACACCAACTAGAGAATTCGGTCTGATATCTCTTCAGCTCTCGATATGCCGAACTGGAAGACATATGGAAATGAACTTACCGACATTTGTATTCCATTATCCTCTCTCTTGGGAGGGAAAAGAGGAAGCTAGCTGGAAGTTATAAATGTTTTACCTTCTGCACCACAAAATCAGGTTTAACCGTTGCCCAGAAGTTGTGGCTCTGGCACCATGCCTATGGCGACCTCGATGAAGAACTGCACGTCCTGGAATATGGGTATAATCCCCTATTTCCTGTTGCAGAAAGTGAGATTATTAAGCCTTCATTTGGTGGTGTTCTCCATATCTAATGCTTGGGGGGGCTAAGGTGTTTAATCATGGAATGAACCATAGCTCTAGTCCTACAAAACAAAAGGCATCATGACAAAGCAAAATACAATAACTAAACACTAAACCTATTATTCACCAACTATATCTTCCAAACAGTAAAGGCTTTGTACTGAAGGGGAAAGTTCAAAAGAAAATAAAATAGCAAAACAAATCAACGCTCAGAATAAGGGGAAGAAAACAGAAGAAAAGGAGGGTGTGGAATGGGAGAAAAGACCATTAAACTTTGGAATTAATTACCTCTGGGTGGGGTACTGTGTTCACATGTTTATCACACCGAACACCACGGAAGTACAATTCTCCGCCAAAGAAGTCCTTACCCAAGCAAACATTCAAGGTGACTTCTGAATCATCGACATGGAAACCTGCCAAGAAATGGGGAACATTACATCCGCTAACAATAGGACAGAACACAACCAAACATGAACAAAATGGAAAGCATCAAGCAAAGCCATGGCAGTTTCTAACAGAATGAATAAGCATGTACCGAGCTCAACATCTTTATCAGCTCCATACTCGACAATGAAACCATGGTGAGAATCCAGAGCTAATCTGCTAATCTCGGGGAAGAAAACTACACAACAGTCAAACAATAATTTGTGAGTTGGATAACACTGCAGATCTAACTTACCTTTTTAAAGAAAGTACCAATAGAAAAATGTGTAACCTTTTGCCATTGGACGTAGATAAACATCCATAAGCTTATTAAGCATTGGTTCCAGGCCAAAGTCGTCAAGAACAGCACCATATTTGTTCATTGTGTTCGGCCGCATGATTTTGAATTTTGTATCATGCACCCACCTCTCAATGTTTTCCACCTAACAACAAGAACCTCGTAAGTAAAAAGAAACACATCCTCAAGTAATACTGGCAACTACACTACTAGCATGCAGAACTCAGAAACAAACAATAAACAACCTCAGAAATCAACATTTCACAGAAGTTTGGCTGAAGCATTTCAAATGAGTAGACTCCAGGTGTGGGTTCTATTATGATTTTTCTGAGACTCTCCTCTGTGCCTGCATTGACTGCTTGGAGAAATGACGGAACAAAAAATTTCGTCTCATCAAGGGTTTGAAGCTCCTTGTAAAGAGGCTGCAGCATGCAATTGCATAAGAGGGTGAGAGCTGGAAAGAGAAATGTAAGTTAAAGGGCTAAGATTAGAAGTGGGGGAAAACAGCATAAGAAGCCAAGAATAACAAATGGAAAATGTAAGGGTGAAATGTAAACAAAAGGATATAAACAAAATGCAGGGAGAGAGTAATGTGACAAACCAAAGCAGCATAAGCAGCTAAGTTTCCACCGTTGAATGACAATTTGAAAAACACACCAATAAATTGGTACTTTATTACTTTGATAATAGTACTTCACAAAACCAGTCTTCGACAACAACCACATCGTTTGACATGCACAATGCATTGGCAGCACCATAATTTCAGAAACCAATGCCTTCTCCCTTCGATAGGTATGGAAATAAAAGAGGAGTCCACATCTTCTTCGTATGCAGTAGATAATTGTGATTGGAAGATCAGGAGAGAAAACGTATGTGCTGGTTCATCTTGCAAGTTCCATCATCCAAAGGCCTATAAGATCATCTAAAACAATGTAGCGAAAGAAGGAAGAACCTTCAAACGCTGATTTTGTGGATAAAGGAGCAAACTGGTTGGCTGTCTCAAAATAATCTCAGCACCTAAATGACTGGACTAAGAAGTTGCAGCATGCAAGAAGCTAGTGAACCTCATTTCTGAACCAAATCCCGCTTGGGGTTCTATTATAAATTTATAATGCACATGGAGACCACTTATTTTAAGATCAGAAAAATGAAGAAAGGAAACACATCAAACCTTCCGCTAGTTGCAGTTTCTAGATGCCAAATGAAGAAAGGGAAGTGGCTGGAATGAAAAAAGAATCTAACTACTAACTTCAAAACTTAGGACTCTAAGCATCTAAGGAGAAATATGCAATGAATCAACTTCATACGAAAATAGCCAACAAACATAATTGGTCACGAATACAGAATGCTGGCAATAGAAGAACCTCAGCAGAATCCCATACAATTCAAGATACAAATGAAACTGTACCTGATAGTTAGACATAATCCTCTCCCTGTATTCCCTTTGCTTTTGGACCTGGCGTTTATAATAATGCAACAACATGAGAACAACAATACAACAACCTAAACAACAAAGCTTTCCTTTTTGATTGATAGCTACCACCTAGAAAAATCCAGCCCATGTACCAAAAACATCGATTACTAAGAGAGTCATGGGCAATAGTCAAGCTGCATGAAAATTGAAAGCTATCAGTTTTATGCTGTCCTAAACAATATTCCACAGATGGTATGCGAAAACAAGTAGCTCTCATTTTCTCCTTTTAGTAAGGAGGAAGGCAAGTCAAACAATCGTAATTGCCAAGATGTTAGAAAGAAGAAGGCTTTTTTGGTCCCAATGGCAATGGGTAACTACAGATCGAGCTATACCTCCTCCATACAACGCAACGAAATTTTAACCCGATCAACTAGGTCGAATTCATGCAACCGACTGGCAAAAACAATAAATGAAGGATCAAACTCAAAACCAAACAACACCCAATCAGCTTTCTTTCAAGAATTATCCTCCGCCCAAACAGACGCGAACACAGCGAAAGAAGCAAACCAACTCACGCGAGTTCGCTCGGCCTCAGGGAAGTAGCGAACGAGGATGTCTCTCATGAACTGGATTTTCGCATCACGGGACAAATTGAGCATCGCCGGAGGCAAGTAACGCTCCAGTGAGCTGAAGAGCAGAGGGCTGAACTCCAATTGCAGGTCGTCGTAGGCTTCCGGCTTGTGCTCCGAGTTAGGGCTCAGCCTCAGCCTGCTGCTGGTGACCTGCAACATCGCGGGAAACAGGACGCCGTTCCCGTTTCCGGTGGGCATAGCCATGGGTAGACTGCGAGTGTGTGTGGGTTCTGATAGTAAGCAGTGGAGTTCTCCCGCGTTTCGTGAATCAAATTCTCATTGATTTTCTTCTAGCTTTGATCAGAGGAGCTGGGGGATTAGGGTTTGCAGAGACGACGAGGGGGAAATGCTGTTTTGATGTTTGCGATGCAGGTTAGGGTTTTGTTTCTCAACTATCCGAAGGGGGGACCCTACTTGTGTCAAAAGCCAGTTTTGCATGAGCACCAAACTTGTCGTTTTGAGCCAGCAATTTTATTTTATTTTTTCTCTAATAAATGAGAAATATATAATAAAAATGTGCATTTGTAGTCGAGCTTGAATCAGAGTAAATAGAATACTTTAGCACATCAATAAGGCGGTATTTACTTATATTACACCGCTTTATAAATGAAAAAAAAAATCAAATGTCATTCCTTCCCTCGAACATTTGTCCATAAAACGATGGAGAACATCATGTAAACTGCTATGTGTTGTGGTACTAGTGAGCAACCAATACCAAATTTATGTTAACAAATCTAAAGCGATGAACTAGGTTGTGTTCTATGCGTGATAGCACTCTCCCTAAGGTAGGAAAATCGAAAGTAAATTTGTGATTCCATCCCACTCAATCGTAGTATGGATGACATTTTGGTTAAAATAGACTCCTTGGGATGTCATTACTGAAGTGAGGTTTATTGTATTTCTTATGCAACAACAACATGCGATGAGTTGGTGGATAGTTAATGAATCAAAGTAATATCTAGTAAGTAAAAATGATCATTTGATAAGAAAGCGAATTTACGGTCAAATAAATTTCGCATAATAAAAGCGAAAGATATCATTTTTATTTAAATTCGTTTAAGATACAAATATATAATCGAATTCATCGTTAAAACTAATATGAGTTCTAAACAACATTTGTCTTGTTAGATACCCCAATGTCGCCAACAAGTTTCAATTTTTCCTCTCTTTCTTTGAATATTTTTAGTTCCATGGAGCAAAACGATGAAACGGAATAAGCAAAAAAGAGAAGGGAAGGAAAAAAAAACGAACAATCAAAGCCCGCAAGAGAGAGGGAGAAACGACTGGAAATTCCACATCATCAATTCATCATCTCAAGTCGAGTGTACGTATTGGGTATTGAAATGGTGGATATGGCTTCTCCTCTCAGGATAATAAAAAACATCGGAACCGGAGGAGGACGCCATTCCCAGCTGTTGGACTCACTCCATCCTCCTCCGCCGCCGCCGCCATGTCCTCAACGGCAACCACATCATCCGCCGCCGCGCTCTCTTTCCCACCTCATTCCCTCCTCTCCCGCAAAACCCAACTCTCTTTCCGGACTTACCAACGCTCTTCCCCCTTCACCAGCTCCTTCTCACCTGCCGCCGCTCTCCGAGTCAAAGCTTCTTCCTCCGACCCTTCCTCACCTTCCCCAGGTCTCTTCCTCTCTTGCTTGGGTTGTTTGAACTAGATAGTAATGGCGGAATTGTCGAAATTTCCATGCCTCGGCGTCAATTCATAGTTGCCGATTGTGGGGTTTTGATGAATTCTGTGATTCTAAACTTGCCCATGTTGAAGATTGCTCGTACGATCGTTTTGATAGCGTTGAAAGTGAAGTTTTTTTTTTTTTCTCTGCTCCATTGCTGAAGTATTGTGGTGATTTGTTCCTGCAGCCAAAGGCGGGGTTGAGAATTTGGTAATCATAGGTTCAGGTCCTGCTGGATACACTGCAGCAATTTATGCAGCTCGAGCGAATTTGAAGCCGGTGGTTTTCGAGGGATTTCAGGTTGGTGGTGTGCCTGGTGGGCAGTTGATGACTACCACTGAAGTGGAGAACTTTCCTGCTTTTCCAGATGGAATCACCGGTCCTGATTTGATGGATAGGTAGGAAATGAAGAATGGACTAACTAACTATCTCGAATTTGTGATCTTATGATACATAGAAGAGCTTGCTTGGCTTGGTTTGGTACTGTTGTTCACTATCATCTTTCTTCATGTTCATATTTTAGGATGCGGCGGCAAGCTGAGCGTTGGGGAGCAGAACTGTACCAGGAAGATGTTGAATCTCTCAACGTTACGACCCATCCGTTTGTTGTGGAAAGTAGTGAACGTAAGGTGATGTGATCTCCCGTTCTTTATTGGATGATTGTTAGGTGATGTGGGCTTAATGGCATGTTCTTGGCAGATAGCATCACTCTGTAATTGTTAAAGTATAGAACTTGATCGATTTTTCCATTGTCTACTCAAAACCGTTAATCTGCTTCTTGAAGCTGAAGTGCATTTAGCTTTGAATTTGTGTGAGAATTTGTGAATAGTAGAAAATGGCGACACTGTACCTCGGGAATGTTGCTTTGCCCATGAGCCAAATAAGTATGAATCATAAAACTTGCATTAATTCGTCCTATACTTTATTTTTAGTTAAAATGGCATTGGAATTATATTTAAAACATAAAGAAAGAAACGAAAAATGATATCAATGAGCATGAGGTCGGCAAGAGCTTCCATACCATTTCCAGGCTAAGTGCAATATGGGTCAATGCCTGTTTATTGCATTGCTGCATTGAACTAGTCTTTGCCACCAATCTGTCTAATATAATAATGTCTCAGATTATATGCCATAGTCTCATTTATGCCACTGGAGCTACTGCGAAAAGGCTCAGCTTGCCTCGCGAGGAAGAGTTTTGGAGTAGAGGAATTAGTGCTTGTGCAATTTGCGACGGAGCATCTCCATTATTTAAGGGCCAGGTTCTAGCTGTTGTTGGAGGTGGTGATACAGCAACAGAGGAAGCAATATACTTAACCAAATATGCCCGCCATGTTCATCTACTTGTACGTAGGGAGCAACTCAGGGCATCTAAAGCAATGCAAGATAGGTGAGCTTTTTGGTGGACTGTTCCCTGAATTGCCTTCCCTGAAATCTTTGGCGTGTATATCTGTGAACTTTGCTGTTGCTTAAGAGTTTTCCTGCATCCGTTTTCTGTTTCTATTTGTCAATGGTTGTTTGATGTCAGAAGTTATACTTGTAAACTTGTACGTTGAGTTTTTCAACTTCCTGAATGTTTGTTTAACAGGTTGATTATCACGAATGTTTCAGAGTGTTCAACAATCCAAATATCACTGTCCACTTCAGTACAGAGACGGTGGATGTGGTAAGCAATACGAAGGGCCAGATGTCTGGTGTATTGACTAGAAGAGTTGATACTGGCGAGGAAGTGGTTATTGAGGCAAAAGGCTTATTCTATGGTATTGGGCACTCACCAAATAGCCAACTGTTAGAAGGCCAAGTTGAACTTGATCACACAGGATACGTGTTAGTTCGGGACGGTTGTGCAACAACTTCTGTGGAAGGTGTATTTGCGGCTGGAGATGTACAGGTAAATCTTGTGACACATCCAATTTACTGTGCTGCGTTCATTTGTTGGTCATGTGATAGCTGATAAGGTGCTTTAGATGTGCGGCATTTAGCTACTGTAATAAAAATGTGTTGTGTATTAATATAGGACCATGAATGGAGGCAAGCTGTCACTGCTGCTGGATCAGGATGCATTGCAGCTTTATCAGCAGAAAGATATCTTGTGAGCAATGATCTGCTTATCGAGTTCCATCAGGTTAGCTTCCATGCCTTTATATTGCTTATAGGTTTGTGATGAACCTTTTGTTTTGATTTTCGTGAGGTATTTCTTCCCAGTTTGTGCTGCGATTGATAATCGAGCCAACTCTCTCAATGAGTTGTTGAGAAAACATAGATTAAGAACTTGTACTCCAGTAACAAATAAAATTTGCCAAGGAAGAAACCAGGCTCTTGCTCTAGCTTTAGATGTTAACTGGAGTTGCTCAATTCTTAATTCAGCTTGGTCTATTTTACTCTAATAGACTGGATAGTTTCGTGGCCCTGGATTGGTAAAAGTTCTATTGGGGTGAATTTATCCATTAACAAGCTAAGTTGAAGATAAAATTTCCAAACCCCTGTCAAATTTTGAAGTCTCAACAATTTTCTTGTTCTCGATTCGATTGTTCCACATTCACGATTGATCTTGTATCAAATCATACACTATTAATATTCTCTCCATGTTTCTGCATTTGACAGCCTGCAACCGAAGAGGTTAAGAAGGAACTGACTGACAAAGATGTTCAGGAGGGCTTTGACATTACCCGCACAAAGCATAAGGGCCAGGTGCTTGTTTTAGCCTGAGTAGTTACTATTGTTGCTATTATGAGTTATGTCTGTATCTCTAGATAATTAGATTAGCTGTCTGATACTATTAAATTAGTTAGCTCTTGCTAGTTCAGCTGTTCAGGTGTTAAATGAGTTTTGATCTCCAACAAATAATCTCATCTCATCTCATAGTGGATAGTAATATGGCTTAGCATAGTCGATAAATGTACTAGTAATTTCCATCTGTCAAAAGAAATCAGGTAATTGTTCAAAGTGGGAACTTCATCCGGAGGAAGATGCATGAGTAGGGTATCTTGATGTTCTAGCTAATCGGTTACGTTGTTATGCACAGACACACACACTTGATATATTGATCTATCTTATAGCTCACACTCTTCTTTGCTTTTCTTCTTAGTATGCTCTAAGGAAGTTATATCACGAAAGTCCAAGGCTTGTATGTGTGTTGTACACATCACCAACTTGTGGTCCATGCAGAACTTTAAAGCCAATTCTAAGCAAGGTATATTGTTTTCTATTTTATGCATTATTTATACCTCGTGGTCAGACCTATAGTGGATATTGTCAAGTTGTCTGATCTATATCCTGCATAGATACGAAGCTGTTAAATGTTCATTTATTGGATTATCACGAGAATGAGAACCTTCCGTGTTTGTTTTGGTCGAGCGTAGATCCTCCTTCATGACAAGCAAGGAAAGCAAACTTTTCATCAAACATAGTCTCCTCAATTTATTGTCAAATATAACTGATTATGTTGATTAGGTGTTAGTAACCACAGAGGTTCTAATGGCAGGCTTTCATTTTGTTATTTTAGCTCCATGTTGCCTCCATTTGTAGTACGTCATACATGATTGGCTGATTGCAGGTGATTGATGAATATGATCAAAATGTACATTTTGTTGAAATTGACATCGAGGAAGATCCAGAAATAGCTGAAGCTGCTGACATTATGGGGACACCATGTGTTCAGTTCTTTAAGAATAAAGAGTTACTCAGGTGAGTTAATTCGTACTTCTTTCATTTCTCTGTCTAGTGGTTTGACTACTATTTTCCTTAATCAATGGTGGCTAGGAAACATAGATCTCTATGACTGGATTAGGTACAAACTATAACATTTTCTTTTATCTGCACGCAGGAAGGTGCCCGGGGTGAAGATGAAGAAAGAGTATAGAGAATTCATTGAAGCAAATAAATAAGATCCCTTAGAAACCTTTTTCAGCAGGGCCCCATTTTGTGAAATGTGATAGTTTAGTTGAATATTGCCCCCATATTCTTCATGCTGTGATCTTTTACATCAGCCCCTCGCATTGTGCCATTATTATACATGATGAGATCCAATGCAATTTTTAGGATGCCATTGTGCAAATTTCTTATATCTACGCAAGATGTTTGGCAATACTTCCATGGGAAGGGTGTCTTCTCTAATACAGAAGGGTATGAAAGCGTGTGTTTTGGGTTTCAAAGCTTGTCGCAGCTTGTATCATTCAAGAACTGAATGTAGTTGTTACTTCTGTTTCCCCTTCTGTTACAATATGATAATGACCATATTTTGCCCTTGGGGTTAAAACTGGTTGGTGTCTCTGCTACTAGGTAACTTGATTATCAGTTGAGACCTCCCTTCGGGTAAATTCTGCGGAATGGTGATGATATTCTCTGCTTGCAGCGAAGTGTAATGACTAGGAATAGCCTGTAACATAGCAGCAAGGAGAAGAGAGCTATTACATCCCACCATTTCGAGTACTGCAGGTCGTAAGTATCCTGCAGAATAACTTCACCTTTTATCTTTGCTTGTCCAGGTACCACAGCATCAACCTCTAGTCTCATCAAGTCGATCTTCAGGTTCCCCTGTGTTCCCCATTGCTTTGTAAGTAATGACATCACAGTGTCACTTTTGTAAGTAGTGACATCATGTCACTGCTCTAAGAGCCAATCTCGACAATAAAAAAGAGGAGCGCTTTCGGGATTTCATTTCAGAGCTTGTAAGTATTGCATCACACAGTAAAGTTCACAAATTTGGCAGTAATTTCAGTTCAAAAAACTTAGCATATTATGCCCTACATCACAGTGTCACTTTTGGGGGTTCTGTTCGGATGTTGAGTCTTCGGTTTATCTTGCTGAATCTTGGTGGGTTTGTGACCTATCTTCACGTAAGTTCTGCGGAATGGACCTCGATATTCTCTGCTTGTAGCGAAGGGTAAAGACTAGGAGTACCCTGTAACCTAGCAGCAAGCAGAAGAGAGCTGCTACATCGAGCCACTTGGAGTATCCTAGGTTCACACCGTAAGTGTTCTCCAGGATGAATTCGCCAGTTATCTTTGGCCTTCCAGGTATTGCAGAATCGAATTCTAGTCCAATCATATCATTCTTCAGATTACCCTGTGTTCCCCAGGCAGCATAACTGATGTAGGACAAAGGGTACCTCCAGATGATCTTAGGAAGGTCGGGTAGTGGTCGAACGACGATAGATGGCATTAGATTGAGCACCTGCAAAATAAACAATGCAGTTTTCTGGTCTGTTACAAATGGCTTTGGCTGGTTCTGTGGATGATGTTGCTGACTAGTATAGATGGCTGTATAAGAGCTTACGGTGACGCCAATGGAAGCACCCATGGCGGGCAATGGATTGGATGCTAGAGAAGCAGTGACAAAGACACAGGCTTCTGAGACGGAGATGCTGAAGAAGAGGTTGATGCAGAAGTAGAGCAAGTGCGAGAAACCCGGGTGGAACTTCACCATGCTGTACAGTATGGATCCTGATGAGAAGGAGATGAATATGGCGAAAGGTAATGAGGAGAGGAAGTTGGACAGCACATAAGCTGCCTCGTTGTAGTACCCTCCCTGCCTCTCTCCACGGAAGGCCTGCAGAGATTTCGACAGCGAGGAATCAAGCCGAGGAAAAGTGAGTTTTGGTTGCACATTTGAAGTACTTGAGAGCAAGTCTCGATTCCACTCCTCTCATCATGTGATCTATACCTTGATCTCGTCGAGGAAGAAAGGTAAGCCGCCTACGGACAAGCAGATCATGAGGCCATAGAGGAACCCGTCTACCTTGCCCCGGTCCAGGACAGCAGCGCTCGAGGTCCCAATGTCGAACTCCAATGTTCCAGTGCTGAGTGCCACCATGATGTAGAAGAACATTCGAAGCCAGTAGTAGCCAAGGTCTCTGCGCATGTGCAAACTGGAGCGGTGTGTTAGTGTGCAGAACTGCCTCCACCATTGATGGCGCTGCTTCTTTACGTGTACAACTTCACTGACACTCTGGCTGTCGCCATCACCATGTTTTTCCTGATGTGTTAAGAAGGGAAATTAATGTGGGAAATGTGATCAGCTAGCTGAAAATAAAGGATGCAAATTCATGGCAGGATTGCCTCTAGCAGCATACAGTGAGTGGTGATGCGAGTTGTTGAATCTTTTTCGTCGCAGCGTCTGCGAAAGTGGACGATCTGTACTTGTTCACTAGGGTTTCCCTGGTCTCTGCTGTTGTCCCGTTCAGCAAGCCCTCTGCTGCTGAGAGCTCCTGTTTCCATCATTTCAACCATGTTGCAGCCACGGTCTGAGTTAGGATGTAAGGGAAATAAGTATAGTATGTGACTTGTAACTCACGGCATCGTTCAGTCGCTGTGTCTGCTTCAGAGCGGCCAAGACTTGATCGAACTCCGGGGTAATGCACCGGAGGAAATGGTCCGGCGGGTTTCTTCTAATCGGGCATGGGAACCCGGAATCTGCAAAGAACTGGAAACCAGAAAGGTTATAATGATGGTACACCATGTCCGTGATAAACGTAATGAAATCTATAGCACCACAAACATTCAACATGAAAATTTCTGACGAACATCAAATAACAAGAACAACAATTATAAAAAAGTATCGTCCACACTTCAGTAAACGGTCACTTAACGTAATGAAATCTATAGCACCACATTTTCCAGCTCAGTTAACGCCACGGTCACTTAACGAAAAATTAGATGGAAGGGTAAACTTGTTATGATTTAATATTAGAAGGGTATGTTTGTACAAAAATTTAGTAGAGGGGTACGTTTGTTAATTTATCATAGTAGAGGGGTACAAAATGCTATTAACCCCTTCAATAAATGAGAATGTGTAAAATCATATGAAACTCCATTAAAGTTCTCCAAACTGAAACCCATAAAAAAACCCATTGATAAATGGGAGAAAATGCGACATTTTGATTCCCAATCTCTCATTTTAAGCGATTTCCAAATGCATAGTATATATGTCAAGAAAAAATATATCACGTTTGAATGTCGTATTTCCATGAATTAATTTTAACCAGATAACTTATTGACTTTGGAAAAAAAATGGGAGTGCAAATCATTCAGGGAAGGAACCGACAACCCACCCACCATCCACTCAAATAAGTGTGGGGTAAATTTAGCGACCCAAACCCCACCTACAATAATCAAATACCTTCATCGGTTCGAATTATTTCAGAGTAGATCATCTTGAAAGCACGATTCAACCACTCACATACCCAACCACAATATCTCAATTCAGCAAAAAAAAAAAAACAAGATTTCAATAGGATTACTCTAACCCAAATAATTCATTTCCTTTGACAAAAACACGTGACATTTTTGTACTGCGATATCCATTAAAATAGATAAATGACTTTTCGAGATGTCACCATCCAATCCTCACCTACACTTCATTTTCTATGCCCTAAATTGGCTTCTTTTTCGAGGTCCTCCAATGAAAGATCCACTCATATGGGCCTAAATCTAGCCAAAAATGTCTGGACCAAAACTAGCTATTATGAGGTTCCTGTCACTAATTCAATGCCATCATCCACCACATTAATAACTAATAACTCAATCACTTAGGCTCCTTTCGTTTGGAAGTTGGGATTCCTGTCACTAATTCAATGTCATCATCCACCACATTAATAACTAATAACTCAATCACTTAGTAGGGTTGTTTGGAAGTTGTGATTCTTCAAATTGATGTATTGGGTCAATTAGTGTATTATCATTTGATGTACTGAATCAATTGATGTATTAGACAAATACTTTGTTTGGAGGTTTAGATTGTGTTTTTGTTGTAAAGGCATAAAAGTTAATTTGAGTCATTGTGAACAATCTCAACAAAAAGTAAAGATTCACAATCCCTCAATTTTGAGTGATTGTGGTGGGGCCTCCAAAAAGTGAATGCATGTATTCTAGTTCAATATAACCTAAAAAAACGACTTAATCTCACAAATACATGAATTAGCTCAATACACCATTTGAAATCACAACTTCTTAACGACCCCTTAGGTTCGTTTGATAAATACATCTATTGTAAATACAAAGATTGTAATAATTAGACGATTGGAAGAATGTCATGTTTGATTGTAGTCATTCAAAAAATTTAAAGAAAGGAAAAAATCACTTTATGAGCTAAAAGTGGAACAAATTAAAGCTCATAATCTCAAAAGAAGAATCTCACCTTTTTTTTAGATTTAAAATGAGTGATTGTGGGTGATATGAGATTTGACGGTCCACCTCAAATGCATGTATTGAATAAAGTTTTGAAACAAAAAAAAATCATGAATTCTCTGAAATACATGAATTCAAAAAAATTATTCATCTAGAATCGTAACATCCAAACCAAACCTTAATAGCACTACTGATTACCTTGACAGCGCCCTGACATTCACCAAAATAGACCGCTTCCCCTGAAGAAATGAGCAGCAGATCGTCAAAAAGCCTGAACACGTCGTCGGCGGGCTGGTGGACGGAGCAAACCACGATCCTCCCGTCGCCGCCGTCGCGGGCGACGTTGCGGAGGGCTTCCACGACGAAGAACGCGGCGGCGCTGTCCAGCCCCGACGTGGCCTCGTCCAGGCAGAGCAACCGCGGCTGGGCCAGCAGCTCGACGGCGATGCTCAGCCGCCGCCTCTCCCCGCCGCTTATCCCCCTCAGGTGCCAGTTCCCGATCGTGGTGTCGGCGCACTCCTCGAGGCCCATCTTCGCCGCCGCGTCCTCGACCACCGCGTCGAGCTCGGCGTTGGTCAGCTCCGGCAGCCTCAGGCGAGCGCCGAAGCGGAGCGTTTCCTTCACCGTCAAGGTTCCGAGGAAAACGTCATCTTGTGTGACGTAAGACTGCAAAAAGGAAACCGCGAAACTGGTGTGATTGGCAATTTCGGACTTAATTAACCTGTGTTCGTATATGATTCGACCTGTCTCGACCTGTTTTGAGTGATATCACTAGACCCGCATCAGCGTGAGGCGAGGCCAGGCATGCGTATTGCTTCCAACTTATAATTTCTTTCCATTCTATTGTAATTTGCATCAATAACTCCTTTATGTATTTCTCCTTTTGTCAACTTTTTGAAATCATACCCTTCGTTCGATGTGAAGAAATTTCGAGATTCTATCATGCAACTATTTAATAAACACAATTATTCTTTTAGTATTTGAAAATGTATTTTACTAATAAAAGGCGTGGTATAGTTTACGAAATTCGAACTAGATGAATATGCATATATATATATATATTCTGTTATGTAAAGCTTTGGTCTTCATTCCTCTCATTATATTCAACAATGCATAAATTCATGATTTTTTTTTCTTATGTGGGTGGTAACTTGTGGTAAACAATGACGAAGGTCGTAAATGACAGTTAGTATACTCCTACTATCATGTATTCAACCTTCCTACAGTCTTGGTATGCTTTCTTACCATATGGTATTCAGTATGAGCATATCATATGGTATTGACCGGTAAAAAATGACTCAAATTTTTTTTTTGTTCTAAAAATATATCAAAAGGGGTATCATTTTAAAGAGCACAATTAATCTGATTTATCTGTGCAAAAAATTTAGATTCCGAATCGTCCATTAAAAATCAAAAGGGAAAAATATAAAAGACTTTCCATGAGAGATGGGGTTGATGTCATGCTGATGTTAACAGATTAATCATGATTACTCACCGTAAGGTTAGTAACCTGATCCACTCCCCGACTCCCCGTAAAACACACATATATTGTATATAAAGCAGTTACTATGTATTATATACCACATCTCGGCAGTTGATGAGGGAGCTTGATCTTCCGGTCATCTTGTCGCCGTCCCTGAGAAGGATCTTCCCCGCCATGGAAGCTTCCGGTGACAGTCTTCCTGTTCACCCCCACGGCCCCACAGAAAAACGTAAAAATTTCGAGTTTCGAAAAAAAAAAAACAAACAGAAAGTGGGCTACGTATTTACCAGCCAAAGCGTCGAGGAAGGTGGATTTGCCAGAGCCAGACGGGCCCATAACGGCCATGATCCGCCCAGACTCTGCAAACCCACTAAGCCCATTCACCAACCACTTCTTCTGCTTCTGCTTCTTCCCTGTGTCGGCGCCATTGGTGACTGTAACTGTAACATCCTCCCAAACAAGGTAGCTACTGCGCCTGCTGCTTCCCTCCATCTCCATGTGAGATATCCCTGTTAATTCTCCAGCTATATAAATATATCATCAAATGAAAAGCCACAGAGAAAAGAGAGAGAGAGAGAGAGAGAGAGATGCCAGTACTGTATTGTAATCAATGCTTATTGTAGTGGAACTATAGCTAGCTAGTTGAACATTCATGACTATGGGGACCAAAATATTAATAACTGAAGCCCCCTCGGCTTCATTGCCTGCCGGGCCCCAACTCCTAGTTGGTTAGAATTCAGACGACGATGATTTTCAATATCTTCTGTTAATTATGCGTTTCCAAGTAAAACGGTTTGCTGTTCATGCTGATAACTTCGATGAATCGATACTTTTGGTTTCTGAATAGTTACTAGTATGACTTGAGGTTAGGTTATATGAATATGTTACAACAATATTATCCCCATACTAGATCACCCCACCCGCGTGTATTTTGGTGGGTTGGTATACGGAAACATATGCCACGCGCACCCACCCACACTAGGGCTGAAATTCTGACCCTTAAAACCCGGCGACCCGTCCCGTCCCGAAGGGTCGGGCCGGGTCAATTTGCACAGAGGGACAAGTTCGGGATGGGTCTTCCTCTTGACCCTATAAGGGACGGGTCAAACTACACTCAGACCCTAAAAAACCCACCTGACCCTGTGACCCGGAAAACAGACCCGTAGAAACTAGAAATTAATCGGGACGGGTCTTCTCCTTCTTCATTCTTTTCGCCCTGAAAGAAAACCTACACCCTAAAATCTCAATCGATTCTCGACGACTTCCATCCGGGCGTCCAGCCCAATCGTCGCGCTTCCTCGTCGGCGGCGCGGTTGGAGAATCCCTTCACCGCTTCACTATACCTCTTCTCCATTCTTCTCATCGACTGAAAGGGAAACCTACAGCCTAAAATCTCCACCGATTCTCGGCGACTTCCATCCGGGCGTCCAGCCTAGTTGTTGTGCTTCCTCGTCGGCGGCGCGGTTGGAGAATCCCTTCACGATACCTCGTCGCCACCAGGACCTTGGAGAAGAAGTTGTTGGTCGAAAATCTGCATCAATTACAGGTATGTTTCTTCGGTTTCCTTCTTTCATTGTCTCTGTTTCAGCCCCAAGATTGGTTGTCTATGGCTACTCTTACTGCTTTGATTTGCTCATATATGTGTGGTCTGAGTTTGGTATTTTGGTTACCCATATATGTATGTGGTCTGGGTTTGGTCTTCTGGGTGTTTTCGTGGACAAACCAGGTCGTCAGCTATGGTCAATTTGGGTTGTGGGTATTGCTGTTATCTTGTTAACCATTACTGTCCTCATGGTTTAAGTACAGTAGGTAGTATCATATCCATATCAATGTTGAGTCGATGCAATGATTCAGCTGGCTGTGTTAAGGGACTAGATGAAATCTCATTACTGTGTTAAGGGAACACAACAACGCCAGAGGTTAACAAGTAAGCAACTTGGCTTTAGCAAAACCAGCACCAATTAGAGAGACGTTTAGAGTGGTAGATAAGATGATACCTTCTCTTTAGTTCCTATGAAAAACAGAAACTAAGAGAGCTGTGGCTTCTGCTGCCCACTTCTAACGCACTTTAACAGCAAAGGCAAGTGAAGCCGCAGCCACCACTGTAGTCACAGATGAAACCATAGCCCAGAAGCTCTTCTTCTTCTCTGCTTCTGCAACAGAGTTCTCCAGAGCTCCAACTCGCTGCTTCATCTCCTCCACCTTTGCATCCTTGTCTCTGAAACAGCTCTTGATCGCTTCCATTTGTTCTTCAACCTTTTCCACTGTGATTTTAGGCAAGGTGAAAACAGATTTATGCGCACTCTAGAAGGATGAATGATAGATTTCTCGGCCAATCTTGGAATCCTAGGCTTTATGGTTTCGGGGTTAGGGAAGCTGATAAATGAAACATGATCTACTTTGTTGAAATCAAAGGTGGAAGCTACATTAACTCACCTTTTCCTTTTCCTTTTCCTCTGTCAAGAGAATCTATCTCTTGACTTACACAACACAGAAAATGAAAGAGAGGAGATGACACTGTTTATAAATAATGCATCATGCCAGAGCAGTAGTGGCTTCTGTTTATAAATAATGCTTTGATGTTGAAGTTGATAAAGGAGGGATCAGTTGCATTTTAATGACTATTTATGCTTTGAAGTTGACCAAAGAGCAGCTTGCATCTGTACTGTATTTATACTTAGAATAGCTAGCAAAGTCTTGGAGAGGGCAAGAATTAAACAAATGATAGGATATTAATATTTGATTCATTAAAATGGCAGGATATGGATGAAGCTAGCAGTAATCCCATGGAGGTCTCCACCAATGCACCTTCTCAAGTAAATCTTCCATTGGAAGTTGATGAAAATGAAGAAGGTACATTCGGAACTTCAGCTGTATGGGAGCATTATAATAGACAAAATTGGTCGGATAAGGAAACTAGAAAAGCTGTTTGCAAATATTGTTCATCGAAGTTAAAATGTCCATCTACTTTTGGAACAAGTGGTTTGAAAAGGCATTTGCAAAGATGCAAAAAGTATCCTTATAGTAATCATAATCAGAAGAAATCTAGAACTCCTAGCGCTCAAGGTACCAATACTACAGCTCAGGGTACTAGTAGTGCTTCTCTTACTTTTACACCTCACACATATGATCCAGTTGTCTCAAGGATGAAACTTGCTAGAATGATCATTATTGACGAGTTACCTTTTAGGCAAGTTGAGCATGAAGGCTTCCGTGACTTTGTCTATTCGCTAAGACCTGAGTTTCACATCCCTTCTAGGATCACCATAGCCAAAGACTGTTTTAAGTTGTTTTTGGCCGAGAAGGAGAAGTTGAAAAATTACTTCAAGCAGTCACAGATTAGAGTTTGCCTCACAACCGATATATGGGCAAGTAGACATCATTTGGACTACATGAGTCTAACTGCTCATTTCATTGATAATGAATGGAAAATGCAGAAAAGAATTATCAACTTCTCTCCCATTCCTAATCACACGGGTCTCACCATTGGAAAAACGGTTGAAAAACACATGCTTAATTGGGGAATTGATGATTATTTAATAATTGATGTCATTTCATCCTTTCATCAAGCACATATATTATGGGAGTTTGGTAAATAATTTGGTAAATAAATAATTTTCTGAAATTATTTTGGCAATTGATTAATTTTCTGGAATTAATTGGGTAAATAAATAATTTTCTCGAATTATTTTGACAATTGATTAATATTTTGGAAATATGTTGGTGATTGATTAAATTTTTGGAATATTTTTGTGGTTAATTAATTTTTTGGAATTAATTTGATGAATAGATAATTTTATGAACAGAGATACGTAAATAAAATGATTTTTTGAAATTAATTTCGTAATTGATTAATTTTCTGAAATAATTTCATAAATAAATTATTTAACTAATTAATTAATTAATTTTCTGGAATTAATTTGATAAATAAATGATTTTCTAGAATAAATTGGGTAAATAAATAATTTTCTGGAATTATGTTGGTGATTAATTAAATTTTTGGAATTATTTTGGTGATTAATTAATTTTTTGGAATTAATTTGATGAATAAATAATTATCTGAAGTGAAATTCGTAAAAAAATTATTTTTTGAAATTAATTTCGTAATTGATTTAATTTTGTGTCGGAGAGGGTCGACCCGCTGACCCGTCCCGTCCCGACCCTAAAGGGTCAGACAGGGTCAAGAAGAGAACAGGGACGGGACGGGTCGATTATGCAAGCTGTCCCTTTAGGGACGGGACAGACAGGGTCAGGGACGGGACAGGGACGGGACAGGCAAATTTTCAGCCCTAAGTCCCACACTGCATCAACCCGCACACGTTACGGTGGGTTGGAGTTTGTTGAGTGGATTTGGGTGGGTTCGGTAAATAAGATCCGTCCCGATGCCCATTTTAATAATGAAAGCAACAAACAACACAAGACGTACTGATTTACGTGGTTCAATAACACAGTGTCTGTTAATTAACTAGTTCACGGGTATGAGGGAACCAATTTCATTATATTTCAATGAGATACAGGATTACAAAAGAGTGTAAGAAGTGTGTATAGTACTTTCTCCATGTGATCTAACCCTAAACATGTCTTGTAAAACAATGAAGTTACAAATCAACCCCATGACTTTCAATTCTGGTCAGCTATCCGATTCAAGTCATATCGACATATTCATCTAAATGTGTCATATCTATCTGTTGTTGTTCAATCTTTTATGTCCTTTACCATTTGCCATTCATCCTCGTTGCCATCTCGACTCCCTCTCCGAGAATAACACATCATGTGTGATCTACACATTGTATCGATCGAGGAAATTAAGTATATTTTGCACGATTCTAACGTGTTTTAAAATTAGAAATATTTTTCACCATTTAAGTTTTGTCGGTAGTCGGCACTCCTACCAAACATCGTCTCCGAGCTTTTGGGAATCCGATTGCAAGTTTATACACAAAAGACTGGGGTAAATGACACATTTGGTCACTGAGATTACTAAATCGTGTCATATTTAGTCACTAGAAAAATTTAATATCAATTTTGGTCACTCGAATTACTGAAACAGGTCACATTTGGTCACTCTTCTGTAGCCTCTGTCCAACTCCGGTCACTCGAATTATTGAAAAATGTCACATTTAGTCACTCGGATTACTGAAACATGTCACATTTAGTCATTCTCCCAAAAGTTTCCGTCCAACTACATTAATGGAGTTGGACGGAAACTGACGGGAGAGTGACTAAATTTGACCAGTTTCGGTAATTCGAGTGACCAAAATTGATATTAATTTTTTCTAGTGACTAAACATGACACAATTTAATAATCTCGGTGACCAAATGTGTCATTTACCCCAAAAGACTGAAAAAGAGGTATGAAACTGTAATATTTGCAACGCTCCAGGACATGTCCATTAGGTCCACGAACTTAAAGTGAACCCCGGCCCAGTCTTTCGGCCCTTTCAAGTTTGGCACATTGGGCCCGGCCCGGCCCTCTCCTTTGTGCTTACTTTCTCTGTTTTCACGATGGCGCCGAACGAAGAAGCGTTGCGGTGATCGGAGATGAAGACACCATCGGCGGTATCGACTATCGAGCGGGAAGCCAAATTGCAGAATTAGGCTTAATCGTCATTCATGGCTGATAAACCACCAAGCGTTAGATCTACGAAATCGAAAGCTGACTACGGTGTTAAGCTCCTTGAAATTGGAAACAACGTCGATTGCTTCAAGTTTCGGTTTACGACACGGCAATTCATTCCGCCTTCTCATCTCACTGCTTGCTAATGGCGATAGAAAAACGAGGCCCGCTTCCGGGTATTTCATTTCACAGCATGTAAGTTTCGCATCACACAGTAAAGTTCATAATTTTGACAGTCATTTCAGTTCAAACAACTTAGCATAAGGGTTCCAATGTTCATTCTTCAGTTAAGCTTGCGGAATCTTGGTGGGTTTGAGACCTCTCCTGGGGTAAATTCTCTGTAATGGAGTCGATATTCTCTGCTTGTAGTGAAGGCTAAAGACTAGGAGTACCCTGTAAGCTAGTAGCAAGCAGAAGAGAGCTGCTACATCCCACCACTTGGAGTATCTCAGGTTCATGCCATAAGTGTTCTTCAGAATGGATTCGCCAGTTATCTTCGGCCGTCCAGGTATTTCAGAATTGAATTTCAGTCCCATCATGTCATTCTTCAGATTGCCCTGTGTTCCCCAAGCTGCATAACTGATGTAGGACAAAGGGTACCTCCAGAAGATCTTAGGAGTGTCGGGTAGTGGTCGAATGACCATAGAGGCCATTAGGTTGAGCACCTGCAAATAAACAATGCAGTTCTGGTCTGTTACCATGGCTTAGCTGGTTCTTTGGATGATACAGATGACTAGTATAGGTGTGATTTGTTAAACTTACGGTGACACCAATAGCAGCACCCATGGCGGGCAATGGATTGGATATGAGAGAAGCAGTGACAAAGACACAGGCTTCTGAGACGGAGATGCTGAAGAAAAGGTTGATGCAGAAGTAGAGCAAGTGCGAGAAACCCGGATGGAACTTCACCATGCTGTATAGTATGGATCCTGATGAGAAGGATATGAATATGGTGAAAGGTAACGAGGAGAGGAAGTTGGACAGCACATATACAGCCTCGCCGTAGTGCCCTCCATGCCTCTCTCCGCGCAAGGCCTGCAGAGTTTTTGACAGTGGAAAATCGAGCCGAGAAAAGTGAGTTTTGGTTGAACATTTGCACTTGACCAAGTCTCTTCTTATTCTATTCCTCTCATGTCTCTATACCTTGATTTCATCGAGGAAGAAAGGTAAGCCGCCGATGGACAAGCTGATCATAATGCCATATAGGAACCCGTCTACCTTGCTTCTGGCTATGACTGCAGCACTGGAAGTCCCAATGTCAAACTCCAAGGTTCCCGTGCTGAGTGCCACCATGATGAAGAAGACTATTCGGAGCCAGTAGTAACCGAGGTCTCTACACATGTGCAAGCTGGAGCGATGTGTTAGTGTGCAGAATTGGTTCCACCATTGATGGCACTGCTTTTTCCCAATCTCTCTCTTCTTTACAGCTACAACTTCACTGCTACTCTGGCTGCTGTTATCATCATGTTTCTCCTGATGTGTTAAGAAGGAAAATGAGGGGAATCTAATCAGCAAGCTGGAAAAAAATGATGATACTGATGGCAGGACTATCGCAAGTAGCATACAGTCAGTAGTAATTCAAGTTCTTGAATCCGTTTCCTTGCAGTGTCTGCGAAAATGGACGATTTGTACTTCTTCACTAGTGTTGCTCTGGTCTCTGCTGTTGTCCCGTTCAGCAAGCCATCTGCTGCTGAGAGCTCCTGTTTCATTTCAATTCCTTCCTTCATTAATAGATCTATGAACAACAAGTGCATTGTTTTATTTATTTATTTCTAACTCACGGTAAAGTTCAGTCGTTGTGTCTGCTTCAGAGCGGCTAAGACTTGATCGAACTCCGGTGCAATGCACCGAAGGAAATGGTCAGGCGGGTTTCTTCTAATCGGGCAGGGGAACCCGGAATCAGCAAAGAACTGGATATATCATGAAAAACCCAGTCACTTACTAGTTAGTCCTTATATATTGTCACAAACAAACACATTGTGCTGATCATGTTACCTTGACAGCGCCATGGGATTCACCAAAATAGACCACCTCCCCAGCAGAGATGAGCAGGAGATCGTCAAAGAGTCGAAACACGTCGTCGGTGGGCTGGTGGACGGAGCAAACCACGATCTTGCCGTCTCGAGCAACATTGCGCAGCGCCTGGACGACGAAGGAAGAGGCAGCGCTGTCTAGTCCCGTGGTGGCCTCGTCCAAGCAAAGCACCTGCGGCTGAGCCAATATCGCGACGGCGATGCTCAGCCTCCGCCTCTCCCCGCTGCTTATCCCTCTCAGGTGCCAGTTCCCGATGGTGCTGTCTGCGCATTCTTCCAGCCCCATCTTTGCCATTGTTTCGTCGACCAGTTCGTGGAGCTCCGTCTTGGCGAGTTCCGGCAGCCTAAGACGAGCCCCGAAGTAGAGTGTCTCCTTCACCGTCAGCGTTCCCAAGAATACGTCTTCTTGCGTCACGTAAGACTGCAGAACAACAGAATGAAACAACACCCCATATAGAAAAACTTGCTAGCGGAAATGAAACAACTATTTATGTATACATCTCTTGTACAGTTATACCACATCTCGGCAGCTGATGAGGGAGCTGCTTCGGGTCATCTTCTCACTGCCCCTCAGCAGCAGGATCTTCCCCGCCATGGCAGCTTGAGGTGACAGTCTTCCTGATTCACCACAGAAAACGACGAGGTACGACATTATTGTTTCTCACATAAGCTAGACAACTTAACATGTACAAATTCGTGTTACAGAAAACAAAAGCTACCAGCTAAAGCATCGAGGAAGGTGGATTTGCCAGAGCCAGACGGGCCCATAACCGCCATGATCCGACCAGACTCTGCAAACCCAGAAAGTCCATTCACCAACCACTTCTTCTTCTTCCCTGTATTGCCACTGCCAGTTGTGAGGGTTACTGTAAGATCCTCCCAAACCAGGTAGCTGCTGCTACCAATTGTCTCCATATTTTCTGACATCTCGTCTTCGTGATCTCTGTAAACCCTCTGCATGCTTATATATGATGACCTGAAAGCCACATACAGAGACACTGAGACAGGGAGAGGAGCGTATTTACAATCGATGCATACACTGATACACACATATGTCGTATAGTGAGGCGTCAATAGTCGTAGTAGTAGTAGTAGTCGTCGTCGACTAAGAACAAAAATACATGAACACGACAATAGATTAAACGAATGCAGCCCTCCAAAAATTTGCAAGTTGCTCTGCGGATAAACATCCCCAGCTAGCTAGGTAGCAAGCTCGCTTGCTGCCATCCCTCATAAATATTTGTCTTCTTTCTATTACAAACAGCCAACAGCCGTCAGCCTGACCTGAAATAACTAGCCATCACGGCTGACTTCGCTAGTCTCCAGGTCTTGTGTGTATCTGTGAGCCGGAGGAATGCTACAAGATTATCTCAACTATTGAATCAGTGAATTTAATTTCACAGCTTCATAAAGAATTTCAGTACACGGTAAAGATCTCAACTATTGAATCAGTGAAGTTCACTTAAACAACTTATTAGCATATACTGCGCAGACTGCAGTTGTATGTCGCCGTTCCACTTTCAGGGTTGCTGTCCCGATGTTTGATTCTTCAAGTTAGGCTTGCTGAATGGTGGTGGGTTTGATATCTCTCTGGGTTGCATTCTGCGGAATGGTGATGATATTCTCTGCTTGTAGTGAAGAGTGAAGACTAGGAGCACCCTGTAAGCTAGCAGCAAGCAGAAGAGAGCTGCAACATCCCGCCACTTGGAGTATCCTAGGTTCACACCGTAATTGTTCTCCAGAATGAATTCGCCAGTTATCTTTGGCCTTCCAGGTATTGCAGAATCGAATTCCAGTCCCATCATGTCATTCTTCAGATTCCCCTGTGTTCCCCAGGCAGCATAGCTGATGTAGGACAAAGGGTACCTCCAGAAGATCTTGGGAAGGTCGGGTATTGGCCGGAAAACCACGGATGGCATTAGATTGAGCACCTGCGAGTAACAATGGAGATTGCAGTATGTTACCAATTGCTTTGTTCTGTTCGTATGTCAACATTGACGAGTAGTATATGTAACATGTATGATGCATTGCATGTAGCTTACGGTGACTCCAACTGCAGCACCCATGGCTGGCAATGGATTGGATATGAGAGAAGCGGTGAAAAAGACGCAGGCTTCTGACACCGAGATGCAGAAGAAGAGGTTGATGCAGAAGTAGAGCAAGTGCGAGAAATCAGGATGGAACTTCACCATGCTATATAGTATTGATCCTGATGAGAAGGATATGAATATGGTGAAAGGTAACGAGGAGAGGAAGTTGGACAGCACATATATGTGACTTGTAACTCACGGCATCGTTCCTTCGCTGTGTCTGCTTCAGAGCTGCCAACACTTGATCGAACTCCGGAGTAATGCACCGGAGGAAATGGTCCGGTGGGTTTCTTCTTGTCGGGCAGGGGTACCCAGAATCTGCAAAGAACTGAATTTCATGGAAAATCCAATCAATTACTATTTACTTCCCTTATCTCGAAAAAGATTTGGCAAGAAGCTGGGCGGTTTGTGAAGCTGGAGCGAGGCGACTGTCTTTAGACCGAGGGGGGCGCTCCAAATACTCTGCAAAACAAGGGTCCGGGGCGGTCGCCCAGGACACTCTCCGAAGCTTTAGTTAGAGAGAGAAAGGGGAGAATAAGAAGATTTATGTAGAGAGATGAGTAGTAGTTGAGTTTACCATTAATGCGCACACTCTGTATTTATACCTGTTCTAAGGGTGGTTGAGGCATTAAATGCTGTGTCGGGCGCCCTGACTCGTGTCGGGCGCCTTTGACAGGCTTTTAGCCTTTTTGCAGGCCGCCTGTATCCGGCAATAAATGCTCAGTCTTACCTGACGTAAGATACGTATCTCCAACGGCTCCCTGCCCCTCTGCGACGCTCAGTTCGCTTTATGTCAGGCGTCCCTGGCTCATCCTCGGGCCTGCAGTCGGTCAAAGACCGCCGGTTGACCCGGTCTTCTGGTCTCCTCCAGGCTCTTCCCTGGGCCTTGTCTGTTGGTTTATTCTTCTTGGGCCCAAAGCCCAAATACGCTCAACTATGCGGCCCAACAATTGCCCCTTAGGCGGGAAAGCCTAGGGCTTTGGCGGCTACCCATAATGCGTTCTGCTAGTTGAGCGGTTCACGTCTCCTCTTACCTTACCTTGCCCCTGGTCGCCAAGGGCGTAGGTTTACCCCGCCTGGGCCGTGCGTCAGCCACTTCCCGTGTGTGTTGGCAGAGGCGCTTCGCACACGTGGCCGTGGTTCGGTTTCCGTGCTCTGACACCGGGCAAGCGAAACGTCCTTTCGCGTGCCCATTTTCGAATTTCTTGGCCAATGACCACATTTCGGGCACTCAAACGTCACATCAGCGTCCGCTCCGTCACTATATATACCCTTAGTGCGAATGTAGGGGAATCCTTTTCTCACTTTCGTCTGCTCTCTCCTCCATTCAAAATTGCTCGTTGCTCTCGGTTCTCTCTTTCTCGGTACTTAGAGGCTCGCCTTTCTATTTCGGCGGAGCGCTATCGATTTCTTTCTTCGTTGAGGAGGAAGTTGAAACGAGACAAGAAGAAAAGGAAGCATCTGCTAGCGATGGTGTCACAGGCGACTACCCCCTCTGATAGCCAGAACCGAGGTTTATCCAGCGAGTCGGCGCCGCCCTCTGCTTCCGGCGTTGCCACAAACACTACGTCTGCCGCCGCGACCGCTTCCGCTTCCGGGGCGGCGGGGGCCACCGCTTCCGGCGATGAGGCGGCTCCTCACCTGGGCGCCAGTGCCACACGCCCCGCAGCCAAAACCGCAAGCGCCGGCGGTCCCGTTCCTGGAGCAGGTATGCCCGCTTTCTCTAACCCTTTAAGCTTGTCCGACATAGAATGGGACTCAGAGGGTATTGAATTATTGTGTGGGGGCGGGAATGCGGTTAACGCGAACGAGCACGTAGATAGACCTGACGGCTTCATTTTAGGGTTAGGGGTTGGCACTTTAGCTGACACGGCTACTTCCGCGGCGGAGCGCGGCACGACCTCCCGAGTTGGGGACAACCTGGTCGAGCTGTCTTCCGAAGGCGTGCCGGATGACACGGCTCACGACTCGGCAGGAGAGGATTCCATCGAGGACTCCTCTGTACTTGCCTTGTCTGAGGCGCCGATCGTTCATCCATTCCAGGCGGTTTCGGACCGTGTATACCGTGTACGACTGCATTCCGACATGTGGGAGGGTAGTGAAGTTCCCAACGCGGTTTACTCATATGGGCCTGAATACAAACCCGCATACTCCCCCCTTCAAGTACTCCGCCAACTTCATCGTCATCAGTTGCCGGCGGATTGGGAATATGCGGCTCCTGCCCCGGGAGGCAGATGCGGTTCATGTCCCGTTGGGTGGATCACCATCTTCACGGAACATGTGCGATTGGGCTTGACGTTTCCTCTTGACCCGATCCTTACTGGAACTCTTTTGAGCCTTAACTGCTCTTTGAGCCGCCTTTCTCCCTCCATAATTTTTCATTCCCTCTGCTACCGCGCTGCTTGTGACCGTTTAAAGGAGGAGCCGTCCATGGACGCGTTCCGGTTGCTATATGCTATGACCGGTTCGAAGAACTGCTGGTCGCCTCGGAGGCGGTCCAAGAAGGTCGGCCTTGTGCATGGTACCCCTAAGTTAGATTCTCCCTGGTATGCTGAGTATTTCTTCGCTCGTCCCACTGGGAAGTGGTACTCGGGGAATGTGGAACCGCTAACCGCGTTCTCCTACGGGCGGACGGACGATTGGGACGAAGGAGTTAAGGAGATGCAGCACCTAAGACCGCATCTCGACCGAATCACGTCGACCGTCCAGTTTCGGTTTCCTCCTCATGGTCATGATAACGCGCTAGAGATTGTACAGCGTTTCCACGGTTAGTTAGTTCCACTTGACTTTTCTGAGATGTTGTTGGCTCATTCTTTTTACTTATGCATCTACTTCGCAGGTATCCGTCGGTATGCTTCTTCGGCGAGACCTCCTAGGGTTACTTCAAGCGGTTCTCCCTCCGCGGCTGCGTCCGTTCCCGCCACCTCTGAGGGTGCCAAGGTTGGAGGCGGTTCAACCCAGTCGCATCTGGCGATGGGTCGTTCGGGAACGCTGAAGTTGACCATTCCTAGCGGTCAAAGTGTGCCCCGGGTCAAGCGGTCGTTGGACGTTGTCGTCGCCAAGGACAACCAACCTTCGGGGAACCCGCCACAGCAGAAGGAGAAGGGTATCACGATTGACCCGCGTCCCGAGCAGCCAACCGCCCCAAAGAAACAGAAAACCACGGAGCTGTCTTCCAGCGCGGCGTACTCCCCCCATGTGACCTCTTCCGCCGAGCCGGCTCGGCGCGCCCTTCATGCGATTGCTGAGGGGTTCTCGGTTCCGAGTGAGTATGTGCGGGTGACGGGCGGCCTTCCTACAACTTCTGAGACGCGACATCTCGCCGGGACAACCGCGCGGTGCTTTTTCGCGGTAAGTATCCCAGTACTGCCGTGCCTTGTATGTTCTAAAGCTTCCCCGCGCTAACTTAGCCTTGATTTTCTAGGCTCAGTTTGGGATAAGCCAGCTCATCCTCCACAATGAGCGGTTGCTGGATGACCTCGGTGAGCGGGAGGCGCGCATCCTTAAACTGGAGAAACAGCTGAAAGAGGGTCGCGATGGATTCCGCCGGGAGCTGCGTGATGAGGTCCTAAAGGAGCAGGAGGCGGTCTCGAAGGCAAAGGAGGCTGAGTTGCTGACTGCCAAGGGGGAGCTAGCCAGGTCAGAACAGGAGCTTAAAGAGGCGAAGGAGAAGGCGGTCGAGGCGGCCGATCGGGAAGAAAAATTGCGGGAGCGGGTTCGCGAGTTGGAGGCGGTCGAGGCAAAAATGGAGGAGCAGCGGGAACAGGATCTGAAAGAGGCGCGGGAAAGCGCTCGGGCCGCTTTCTTTGACTCTGATGAGTTTAAAGCGGTGGACGAAGCCAAGTACCAGAAGCTGCTGAGGGACACAGTCGCCTCCATTCGCCACCTGTTCCGTCGGGACCACCCCTACGTGCTTTGGGATAGCAATGCGGTTTGGGACGCCGTGGAGTTTTGGGGTGACGACGATGTCAACTCCGAAGAGGCGCCTCCATCCGCAACCGCAGCGACCACGGCCGGGGAGGAGGTGAACCAACCTGCTTCCACTGAGGGCGGTTCTGCTTGAGTTGAACCATGACCTGATTAAGTGTTATCTCCTTTTGTGCTTACTTTGCTTTTCCCCTTTGGGGCGTATGATACATTCCGCCCTTGGGCGATGGTCTGTAATATTTTGGGTTGGATGCTTTTATTTTCTCTTGCATGTTGAAGACCTTGTTTGTGCTCCGTTTTTTGGAGTTAGTATTTTCTTCCTGTCATTCTTCACTACTCTGGCCTCGCCAGACTGCGAAACGGGACTTCGACGAGTCACGGTTCGATATCGGGCCGCATACTACACTAGGAGAGTACGAGAGGGGGGACCATCGACGTGGTTCAATGTGGCGAGGTTAGCCTGCGAAGGCTGTGTGAGATGGAGCTGGGTCATGGGAATAACTTAGCAAATTTTACAGAAATGGGTCGCTCAGCGGCAACTTGAAATACCAAAGTTTAAATTAGGGAGCGCGAAGCTGTGAAGCTTTACAAAAGTGCTACGACTGGTAGCGGCGACTCCTACCTAAATTCCTCCCGTAATCTCGTCCTACTCGCTGAAGTATTTCTTGAGATGAATTGCGTTCCATGTCTTGGGAACTGGCTGTCCTCTCATGGTTGCTAGAATGTATGTAGCGGTTCCGATCTTTTCGGCGACCAGGAACGGTCCTTCCCATATAGCTGCAAGTTTTCCATGCCCCTCCTTCTGCTCGAAGTTCCTTTTGAGCACCATGTCACCCTCTTCAAGTGGGCGAGGCCTTACCTTCTCATTGTACGTCTGGGCCACCTTGAACTTTTCCTGCACGGTCCGAGCCAAAGCCGCATCTCTCCTTGCCTCCACCATATCGAGCTGGTGGAGCAGCTTCCTGTGATTCTCTTCTGGGTCATATGCCTGGACCCTTAGCGAGGGCAGGATGACCTCGGTGGGCGCGACTGCCTCGGAGCCATAAGTCAGGGCGAACGGGGTTTCCCCGGTGGCCCGCTTGTAGTTCGTACGATGCGCCCAGAGCACGTGCGGGAGTTCGGCGGTCCACCCCCCTTTTGCTTCCTTAAGTCGCCTCTTCAGCCCACGGAGGATCAATTTGTTGGACGATTCCACCTGTCCATTGGCCTGCGGAAAAGCTACGGAAGCCATCCTGCAGGTGATGCGATTCCTGGCACAGAAGTTCTCGAACGGTCTGCAATCGAACTGCGTCCCGTGGTCCGTAATGATTGTATTGGGAGTGCCGAATCGGATCATCACGTTGTTGAAGAGGAACTTCTGGATCTTGGCGCTGGTAATGGTGTCTAGCGGTTCGGCCTCTATCCACTTAGTGAAATAATCGACCGCCACGACCAGATACTTCTTCCCGAGGGGGGCGGTCGGGAACGGGCCCAACAGGTCCAGACCCCATTGTGCGAACGGCCATGGGGCGGTTATGCCCCTTAGCTCTGCGCTGGGTAAGTGCTGCTTGTTGGCGTGGACTTGACATTCGTGGCATCCGCGGACCGCCTTTTCCGTGTCCTTTTTGACCGTTGGCCAGTAATACCCCTGCAGCAAGATTGTCTTCTCGAGGCTTCTTGGGCCGGCGTGGGAAGCGCATGTGCCCTGGTGGATTTCTTTAACAATCCATGCCGCCTCTGCTGGGCCTAGGCATCTCAGGTACGCACCCGAGAAGGACCTCTTGTGCAGCTGTTCTCCGACCATGCTGTAGTGGGCCGCCTTCCGCTTGATCAGCTTGGCTTGGGCCTCATCGCTTGGTAACACATCCCTCTGTAGGTAGGCGACGATGGGGGATCGCCAGTCAGTGCCTTCTTCTTCCACCGCCAGCACCTCTTCCACGGGTGGGGCCTCTTTGGTGACAACAATCTGTCGGTCGCCCTCGAAATCCATGGCGGTCGCCAGCTTGGACAGGGCGTCCGCGTGGTGATTGTCCTCTCTTTTCACGTGCTCTAGTTTCCACTCCTCTAGCTGAGAGATGATGCCCCTGACTTCATGAGCCAGCTTGATCAATGCTTCCTCTTTGGCTTCGTAGTTTTCCAGGACTTGATTTACCACCAGGAGGGAGTCGGAACGGATGTGGAGACGTGTGGCGCCCATTCCCATGGCGATTCTGAGACCGTTCAGGAGGGCTTCGTACTCCGCGACGTTGTTAGTTGTCAGCTCCTGGAATCTGTGCGAGAATTCATGTATGACACCACGTGGCGACTCGAGGACGATGCCGGCTCCTGCCCCGCTTTTGCCGGCGGCTCCATCCACAAATAGGCTCCACGTTTCGCTGTGCGCCCCTTCTGTCGTGGTGTCAAGGCTAAACCCTTCTGCCACGAAATCCGCAAGGACCTGGCCCTTTATGGAGGGGCGCGGAGCGTACGAGATGTCATACTCACTGAGCTCGACCGCCCATTTGGTCATCCTCCCGGAGGCGTCGAGGCTCCTGAGTATCCTTTTCAGTGGCAGGTTGGTGAGGACCGTGATTGGGTGCCCCTGAAAGTAAGGACGTAGCTTCCTTGCCGCTGAGACGACGGCCAGGACCGCGCGTTCAATGGGCATGTAGCGCCTCTCTGCTGGAAGAAGTGCTTTGCTGACATAGTACACGGGCCGGTCCGTGGCATCGGTGTCTCTTCTCACTAAGGCTGAACTGACCGCCTGGTCGGAGACCGCCAGGTACAGATACAGGGGCTCCGCTGGGACAGGAGCGCTTAAGACGGGTGGTGAGGCCAGCTGCTCAGTTAGCTGGGAGAAAGCCTTGTCACATTCAGGGCCCCACTGTGACCGCGAGGCGGACTTTTTCAGCATTTGGAAAAATGGGGAGCACTTGTCGGCCGCTCGGGGAATGAAGCGGCTTAGGGCGGCCATTTTTCCGTTGAACGCTTGGATTTCCTTCACCGTCCTCGGCGGTTTCAAGTTGAGTATGGCCTCGATCTGCTTGGGATTTGCCTCTATTCCTCTATGGGTGATCATAAAACCCAGGAACTTTCCCGCTTTCGCTCCAAACACACACTTCAGCGGATTAAGCCGGAGGCGCTCCTTCCTTAGTGTTTCGAACGTCTCTCTCAGATCGGAAAGGTGGTCCGACCCTTTCTTACTTTTGACTAGGACGTCGTCGACATACGCTTCCACGTTCCTTCCGAGCTGCTTGTGGAAGACCGCGTCGATCATTCTTTGATACGTAGCGCCCGCGTTCTTTAGGCCGAAGGGCATGACCGTGTAGCAAAAATTACCCATATGTGTCATGAAGGCCGTCTTTTCTTGGTCCTCCTCCGACAGGCGTATCTGATGGTAGCCGGAGAACATGTCGAGGAAGCTTAGCGTTTCATGGTTGGCCGTTGCATCGATCAGCTGGTCAATTCTGGGGAGGGGGTACGCGTCCTTCGGACAGGCCGCGTTGAGGCTGGTAAAGTCAATGCACATCCGCCATAGGCCCGACGCCTTGCGCACGAAGACGGGGTTAGCCAGCCACGTTGGGTACTTGACTTCCCTGATGAAGCCTGCCTTTAGCAAGCGCTTGACCTCCTCCTCCAACGCCATCTGCTTCTCAAGAGACGCGTTCCTCCTTCTTTGTTGCACGGGCCGCGCCTTGCTCTTTACGGATAGGGAGTGCTCTGCGAGCTCTCTTGGGACGCCTGGCATGTCCTCCGATGTCCAAGCAAAGAGGTCTTTGAACTCTCGCAAGAGCGACAGGAGTTCTCGCGCCTGTTCCTCCGCGAGGTGAGCCGCGATTCTGACCTTTTTCTCTGGTTCTTCGTCATTCAAGATAACCGCCACATCGTCCTCAGCCGCCTCAGGCCGGGGATGGTTTCCTCGTGCGTCAACCTGATCGACCTCCAGGCTCCGGATGGTGGCTTGGTAGCATTCCTTGGCTTGTTGGGAGTCGCCCAGGACGCGTCCTACCTTGCCCCGAGTGGGGAACTTAAGCATCTGATGACAAGTTGACGGGACTGCCGAGAAGGTGGACAAGAAACCGCGCCCCAAGATGGCGTTATACGCGGACGGGCAGTCCGCAACATGGAAGTCCATGAGGCGTGTCTTGGTCGTTCCTGGTTCTCCAATGGTTACCTGGAGGGTAATGGAGCCGAGGACTCTGACTTTGGAGCCGGAGAACCCTACCAGGCTGGTTGTGGACGGTTTGAGGTCTTGAATCCCTTTTTTCATGCTTTTAAGGGCAGAGTAAAACAAAATATCCGCCGAGCTTCCATTGTCGACCAAGGCTCTGGTGACCTTGAACTTTGTCGTCCTGAAGGATATGACCAAGGGGTCGTCTCCGCACTCCTCGGGTGCCAGTTCTGAGGGCGCGAAGCTGATCTCGACTTGCTCGTTCCTGTGCACGCTCATACACTGCACCAGGCGGTCCCCTTCTGTTCTGGGACGCTTGCGCCCTCCCGCGATGGTGATGATTTCGACGCCGTCTTCCTCCTCCCTCGCATGATGGCGTGGCGGGGGTGCGTGCCGGGGCGGGGGCGGTAAGCGTTCCCGATGGGGCGTTCGCTCCCTCCTTGGCGACCTGGATCTTCGGCGTCTGGGCGTCCGAGACCTTCTTCTCGGGCTTGGGGACCTTTCTCTTTCCCCAGCCCTTTCCCGGGGATGCGCCCGTGTGTCCAGGCGGCTTTTTAGGTCCCCCGGGGCCAGGTATTTGAGGCTGGCTCTGAACTCACGACACTCCGTGGTGTCGTGTGTTGGCAGCTGGTGCCAGTCGCACCATTTCTGGTCATCTTCCCTCCTCTGACGGGGGCGCGCCTCCTTGGTTTTCCCCCCTTCTCGGCGTCCTTCTTCTTCTTTCTCCGAGGCGAACACTTCGCGCCTTCCGTCCCTGTTATTGAACCTAGGCTTGTAGCCGCGCCTTTCGGGTGTGCGCCCCCTTCGCCTTGGCGACCCGTTCCTCCTTTTCTCTGTTTTGCCTGAGGAAGGTGGCGTCCCTTTTAGGACTTCGTCGGCGCCCAGGGCCTCCTCTAAGAGAATGACCTTTCGCACCACGCGGTCCAAGTCTTGCCATGACTTGATGCTGTGCTCCTTCTTTATGAGGGCTCTTTTCAACTCCCGGCTGTGTGTTGACATTCTCAGGTTTCCTGTAGCCACGCTGGTCGAGACGTCTTGGATTTCGCTTGCTATCGTATTCCACCTGTCGTAGAAGTCCGTCAGCGTCTCCTCTTCTTCTTGCTTGCAGTTGATGAGTGCTGAGACCGTCAGCTGCCTCCTTCGCTGGGACGCGAACTTGAGCGAGAAGAGGGTGGCGAACTGTTCGAAGGTCTCTATTATCCCTGCTGGTAGCGATGCGTACCAGCTCCTACATTGGCCGCCAAACGTGACCGGGAATGCCTTGCATAGGTCTGCATCGGAGGCGTTTATCAGCTGCATCTTGAGCATGAACGCGCTCAGGTGATCCGACGGGTCGGAGTTGCCGGTGTAAGCGGGCAAACCAAGCGACGAGAAGTTCGACGGTACTTGAGTCTTGAACAGACTTTTCGCCAAGGGATTGTGTAACACGTTGTACCCTTTGGGCTTCCCGTAGCAGGGTCGAAGGTGCTCCTCCAGGAGGTCTAGATGGGCACCCTCTTCGCTGTCTCCGCTCTCAGACCTCCCGCCTTCTGTCTGGGACGCGCTAAGCTGAGCCTCTTCTTCTACTCCTTTGCCCTTATCCTCGCGCCTCCTTGTGCTTTCTGGCTCCTCTCGGGTTTTAAGCATGGTGAGGATTTGGCTCAAGCTTTCCTGCATGCTCGTGATCTGCTGCCCTTGGTCTTTCACGCGTTCCTCCATATCCTTCTCTTCTTCGACGGTTGGCATCTCCAACCCTCTGATGCTTTCTCCGCCGACCACGTCTTTGACCGGAGTTCTGAAGTTCCCCTCCATCCTTTCTTCAGCGCTTCGCTCTAGCCCCACGGTGGGCGCCAAATTGTTTGTGCCTAGTATGTACTAGGCGGTTTGTGAAGCTGGAGCGAGGCGACTGTCTTTAGACCGAGGGGGGCGCTCCAAATACTCTGCAAAACAAGGGTCCGGGGCGGTCGCCCAGGACACTCTCCGAAGCTTTAGTTAGAGAGAGAAAGGGGAGAATAAGAAGATTTATGTAGAGAGATGAGTAGTAGTTGAGTTTACCATTAATGCGCACACTCTGTATTTATACCTGTTCTAAGGGTGGTTGAGGCATTAAATGCTGTGTCGGGCGCCCTGACTCGTGTCGGGCGCCTTTGACAGGCTTTTAGCCTTTTTGCAGGCCGCCTGTATCCGGCAATAAATGCTCAGTCTTACCTGACGTAAGATACGTATCTCCAACGGCTCCCTGCCCCTCTGCGACGCTCAGTTCGCTTTATGTCAGGCGTCCCTGGCTCATCCTCGGGCCTGCAGTCGGTCAAAGACCGCCGGTTGACCCGGTCTTCTGGTCTCCTCCAGGCTCTTCCCTGGGCCTTGTCTGTTGGTTTATTCTTCTTGGGCCCAAAGCCCAAATACGCTCAACTATGCGGCCCAACAGTTACCTTGACAGCACCCTGGCATTCACCAAAGTAAACCGCCTCCCCAGCAGAGATGAGCAGCAGATCATCAAACAGCCGGAAAACGTCGTTGGTCGGCTGGTGGATCGAACAGACCACGATCTTCCCGCTCCTCGCAACATTGCGCAGCGCCTGAACCACGAAGAACGACGCAGCACTGTCCAGCCCCGTCGTGGCCTCGTCCAAGCAGAGCACCTCCGGCTGGGCCAATATCTCGACGGCGATGCTGAGCCGCCGCCTCTCCCCGCCGCTTATCCCTCTCAGGTGCCAGTTCCCCACCGTGGTGTCCCCACATTCCTCGAGACCCATCTTGTCCATCGTCTCCTCGATCACTTCGTCGAGCTCGGCATTGCTAAGTTCCGGCAGCCTCAGGCGAGCACCGAAGTAGAGCGTTTCCTTCACCGTCAAGGTTCCCAGGAAAACGTCTTCTTGGGTTACGTAAGAGACGTCTCTGGAGGTGATGGGGGAGCTTCGGATCTTGGTTTTTCCGGTCCGGCCGATCAGCTCGACCTTCCCCTTCATGGCAACTTTCGTCGAGAGCCTCCCTGTATGTCGTCCAAAATTGCGCTTTAAGGTTAAAAACTTGCATTCTCAAAAAAAAAAAAAAAAAAAGGTTAAAAACTTGTGCTTTAATGCTTCAACGCGTAGTTAAAAACATACTTTGCAGCTTAAAAACTTATGATTTTTACGCTTCTAGATCACCAAAAACGCTTCTACTTAGGAACGCGACATTATATGTCATTACAACTAACCAATGCAGTCAACAGAAGCGTTTTGGTGATCTGGAAGTGTAAAAGTATAAGCTTTTATAAATTTTAAAGTGTGATTTTGACTGTAATCATTATACGGAATGCAATAAAAAACACAATTCTACATAGAAGCGTTTTTTGGTGATATGAAAGCGCGTATAAATGGGTAAACTGATACGTGCAGATACGATGATGTTTTTGTAACTTACCAGCCAAGGCATCGAGGAAGGTGGACTTGCCGGAGCCGGAAGGCCCCATGCCCGCCATAATCCGGTGAGATTGAGCCACACCGGTGAGACCGTTCACCAAGTACTTGGTCGTCGACGACGACGAGCCGACTACGTTACTATGGCTAGCGCCGAAGCTATTGCTTGCGAGGGTTACCGAGAGATCTTGCCAAACAAGGCAACTGCCTTCTAGTGTTTTGTCTGTTTCGGAATCCATACCGGAAAGCTAGCTACATAGAGATTGCTATCGATCCAGGCATATATGATTTGGGCTATATATATAAAATGGGAAAATTAAAATAGGAGAGAAGAAGCAATGATTGCAAAATTGTATCGTATTGGCAATCCGATCGGAATTTTTTTTTATTGGTGTATAAACTGTTAGAGCGGATTTAACGTTATACAATGATAAAACTACAGTTAAATCACGATTTCAGCACAAAAATACTCATACCACTGACTTCATATATATATATATAGGTGGCGTCTTCGGTACACTCACTTTTTTGTGCACCCACTCTAAAAGTGTTCATATAACATCAAATTTTGAACTTTAATTAGTACTCTCAATCTAATATGATGATATGACATAGAATCATAACAAATCAATCTATTACCCTAACCCCTTAACCTTCAATTTTGAATCCCAATCCAAAATCCCAAATTTTAAACCTAATCCAAAACCCTAAATTCCTAAATCCTAAATCCTTCAAATTAAAGTGAATTTTGAATGAATTTTTTTTCAAATTCATGTGCTTCTTGTTCATAATATCATAAGCAACAATTGATACCGTTTTGACATGAATCACATCTAACCATATAGTATACGCCTGGCGTACAATCCTTTCCTTAAGGTATAAAAATTGTTTTGCTGTCGGCGCTCTACCATTTGTAAACATGTGTGATCTACGTACATATTGTATCGATCGAGGAATTTAAGAATATTTTGCACGATTCTAACGTGTTTGAAAATTAGAAACATTTTTCACCATTTAAGTTTTGTCGGTAGTCGGCACTCCCACCAAACATCGTCTCCGAGTTTTTGTGAATCCGATTGCAAGTTTATACACAAAACTTAAGGTCCACGAACTTAAGGTGAACCCCGGCCCAGTCTTTCGGCCCTTCCAAGTCTTGCACATTGGGCCCGGCCCGGCCCTCTCCTTTGTGCTTACTTTCTCTGTTTTAGCGATGGCGCCGAATGAAAGAAGCGTTCCAGTGATCGGAGATGAGACACCATCGACGGTATCGACTATCGAGCGGGAAGCCAAATTGCAGAATTAGGCTTAATCGTCATTCATGGCTGATAAACCACCAAGCGTTAGATCTACGAAATCGGAAGCTGACTACGGTGTTAAAGCTCCTTGAAAGTGGAAACAATGTCGATTGCTTCAAGTCTCGGTTTGACGACTCGGCAATCCATTTCGCCTTCTCATCTCACTGCTAAAAGTGGTAATGCCGACAGAAAATCGAGGCCCGCTGCCGGGTATTTCATTTCACTGCTTGTAAGTTTCGATCACACTGTAAAAGTTCATAATTTTGGCAGTCATTTCAGTTCAAACAACTTAGCATAAGTGTTTCAATGTTGATTCTTCAGTTAAGCCTGCTGAATCTTGGTGGGTTTGAGACCTCTCTCGGGGTAAATTCTACGGAATGGAGTCGGTATTCTCTGCTTGTTGTAAATGGTGAAGACTAGGACTAGCCTGTAAGCTAGTAGCAAGCAGAAGAGAGCTGCTACATCCCACCACTTGGAGTATCTTATGTTCATGCCATAACTGTTCTTAAGAATGGATTCGCCTGTTATCTTCGGCCGTCCAGGTATTGCAGAATCGAATTCTAGTCCCATCATGTCATTCTTCAGATTGCCCTGTGTTCCCCAAGCTGCAAAACTGATGTAGGACAAAGGGTACCTCCAGATGATATTAGGAAGGTCGGGTAGTGGTCGAGTTATGATAGAGGGCATTAGATTGAGTACCTGAAAATCAAATAAGCAATGCAGTTCTGGTCTGGTACAATGGATTGGTTGATTCTTAAGATGATATTGATGTCTAGTGTAGGTGGTTTCTTAATCTTACGGTGACACCAATAGCAGCACCCATGGCGGGCAATGGATTGGATACTAGAGAAGCAGTGACAAAGACACAGGCTTCTGAGACGGAGATGCTGAAGAAGAGGTTGATGCAGAAGTAGAGCAAGTGCGAGAAACCAGGATGGAACTTCACCATGCTATATAGTATTGATCCTGATGAGAAGGATATGAATATGGTGAAAGGTAATGAGGATAGGAAGTTGGATAGCACATAAGCAGCCTCGCTATAGTACCCTCCCTGACTCTCTCCACGGAAGGCCTGCAGAAAAGTGAGTTTTAGTTGAATATTTGAACTTGAGCAAGTCTCGATTCCACTCTTATCATGTTTCTATACCTTGATCTCGTCGAGGAAGAAAGGTAAGCCACCGATAGACAAACAGATCATAAGGCCATAGAGGAACCCGTCTACCTTGCCTCTGGCTATGACTGCAGCGTTGGAGGTGCCAATGTCGAACTCCAGGGTTCCCGTGCTTAGTGCCACCATGATGTAGAAGAAGATTCGAAGCCAGTAGTAGCCGAGGTCTCTGCACATGTGCAAGCTGGAGCGGTGTGTTAGTGTGAAGAATTGGTTCCACCATTGATGTTGCTGCTGCTTCCCAATCTTTCTATTCTTTACAGGTACAACTTCACTGCTACTCTTGCTGTCATCATCGCCATGTTTTTCCTGACGTGTTAAGAAGTAAATGTTGGAAATCTAATAAGCTAGCTGTAAATAATGGATGATGCTAATGGCAGGACTGTTGCAAGTAGCATACAGTTTGTAGTAATACGAGTTCTTCAATCATTTTCCTTGCAGTGTCTGCGAAAATGGATGATTTGTACTTGTTCACTATTGTTTCTCTTGTGTCTACTGTTGTCCCGTTCAGCAAGCCATCTGCTGCTGAGAGCTCCTGTTTCATTTCAATATATTCCTCCCTTCATTAAAAGATCTAAGAGCAACAACTGCATAGCGTTTTGATTTAAAACTCACGGCAAAGTTCAGTCGTTGTGTTTGCTTCAGAGCGGCTAAGACTTGATCGAACTCCGGTGCAATGCACCGGAGGAAATGGTCAGGCGGGTTTCGCATGGCACTGCTAAGTGCTAATATTGACGAGAAAAAGGAGGCATGCTCTGGAGAATTTCATTCCGCAGCTTTATCAAGATTTTCATTACACGGTAAAGCTCTCAACTATTGAATCAGTGAATTTCACTTCAAACAACTTATTGGCATATTGCCGTTCCACTTTTAGGGTTGCTGTCCCAATGTTTGATTCTTCAGTTAAGCTTGTTGAATGGTGGTGGGTTTGAGATCTCTCATTGGTTGCGTTCTGCGGGATGGTGATGATATTCTCTGCTTGTAGTGAAGGGTGAAGACCAGGAGCACCCTGTAAGCTAGCAGCAAGCAGAAGAGAGCTGCTACATCCCGCCACTTGGAGTATCCTAGGTTCACACCGTAAATGTCCTCCAGAATGAATTCGCCAGTTATCTTTGGCCTTCCAGGTATTTCAGAATCGAATTCCAGCCCCATCATGTCATTCTTCAGATTCCCCTGTGTTCCCCAGGCAGCATAGCTGATGTAGGACAAAGGGTACCTCCAGAAGATCTTGGGAAGGTCGGGTATTGGCCGGAAGACCACGGATGGCATTAGATTGAGCACCTGCGAGTAACAATGGAGATTGCAGTATGTTACCAATTGCTTTGTTCTGTTCGTATGTCAACATTGACGAGTAGTATATATAACATGGATGATGCGTTGTATGTAGCTTACGGTGACTCCAATTGCAGCACCCATGGCTGGCAATGGATTGGATATGAGAGAAGCGGTGAAAAAGACGCAGGCTTCTGAAACCGAGATGCAGAAGAAGAGGTTGATGCAGAAGTAGAGCAAGTGGGAGAAGCCCGGGTGGAACTTCACCATGGTGTACAGTATGGATCCGGACGAGATCGATATGAATATGGTGAAAGGTAATGAGGAGAGGTAGTTAGACAGCACATATACAGCCTCCCCATAGTACCCTCCCTCCCTCTCCCCACGGAAGGCCTGCAGAGTTGGATGGACAAAGTGAGTTTCAGTTTGAAGTTTGAACCATTTGGACTTGAAGTGTAGCAACTTGTACCTTGATCTCATCCAAGAAGAAAGGCAAGCCGCCGATGGACAAGCAAATCATGAGGCCGTAGAGGAACCCGTCTACCTTGCCTCTGGCTATGACCGCATCGCTGGAGGTCCCAATGTCGAACTCCAAGGTACCCGTGCTGAGCGCCACCATGATGTAGAAGAAGATCCGGAGCCAGTAGTAGCCGAGGTCCCTGCACATGTGCAAGATGGAGCGGTGTGTCAACGTGCAGAATTGGCTCCACCATTGATGCTGCTGCTTCCTCTTCTTCACAGGCACAACTTGACTGCTACTCTGGCTATCATCATCATGTTTTTCCTGATGTGTTGAGAAGGAAATGTGTTCAGCTAGTTGAAAAGTTTGCAGCTGGTAATTAACAGGGTTACATGATGGAAATCGAGGAAGCGTACAGTGATCAGTAGTAATGCGAGTTCTTGAATCTTTTTCGTCGCAGTGTCAGCAAAACTGGACGATTTGTACTTGTTCACTAGGGTTGCTCTGGCATCTGCTGTTGTCCCGTTCAGCAAGCCATCTGCTGCTGAGAGATCCTGTTTCATCATTTCAAACCAGTTAGTTGCTGCCATGGTCTCTGATTTAAGACATAAGCAAAACAAGTACAGTATGTGACTTGTAACTCACGGCATCGTTCCTTCGCTGTGTCTGCTTCAGGGCTGCCAAGACTTGATCGAACTCCGGGCTAATGCACCGGAGGAAATGGTCCGGCGGGTTTCTTCTAGTCGGGCAGGGGTACCCGGACTCTGCAAAGAACTGGATTTCATGGAAAATCCAATCAATTACTATTTACTCCTTATTTTCGAACGGAAGAAAAATAAACACATTGTTCCAGCTGTTCATGTTTACCTTGACAGCACCTTTGCATTCACCAAAGTAAACCGCCTCCCCAGAAGAGATGAGCAGCAGATCATCGAACAGCCGAAACACGTCGTTGGTCGGCTGGTGGATGGAGCAAACCACGATCTTCCCGCTCCTCGCAACATTGCGCAGCGCCTGAACCACGAAGAACGACGCCGCGCTGTCCAGCCCCGTCGTGGCCTCGTCCAAGCAGAGCACCTCCGGCTGGGCCAATATCTCGACGGCGATGCTCAGCCGCCGCCTCTCCCCGCCGCTTATCCCTCTCAGGTGCCAGTTCCCCACCTTGGTGTCCCCACATTCCTCGAGACCCATCTTGTCCATCGTCTCCTCGATCACCTCGTCGAGCTCGGCATTGCTAAGTTCCGGCAGCCTCAGGCGAGCGCCGAAGTAGAGCGTTTCCTTCACCGTCAGTGTCCCCAGGAAGACGTCTTCTTGGGTTACGTAGGACACGTCTCTGGATGTGATGGGGGAGCTACGGATCCTCTTCTTCTTCTTGTTCTTCGCGCTCCGGCCCATCAGCTCCACCTTCCCCGCCATGGCAACTTTCGTCGATAGTCTCCCTGTACGTCATCAATGTAGTCAAAATTGCGTTTTAACACTTCAATACATACGTTTTTATGCTTCTAATTAAGTCACCGAAACTTCATTGTATTCATTATAACTAACCAATGCAGTCAAGAGGAGAATCTAAAAGTGCAATTCTACGTGGAAGCATTTTAATGATGACGTGAAAGTGTAAAAGGGTAAGTTCTTACGTGCAGATCGATACGATGATAGTTTGTGTAACTTACCAGCCAAGGCATCGAGGAAGGTGGACTTGCCGGAGCCGGAAGGCCCCATGACGGCCATAATCCGGTGGGATTGAGCCAGACCGGTGAGACCGTTCACCAAGTACTTGGTCGTCGACGGCGAGGAGCCGACGACATTACTGTGGGTTCCGAAGTTGTTGCATGCGAGGGTTACCGACAGATCTTGCCAGAGAAGGCAACTTCCTTCTACTGTTTTGTCTGTTTCCGAATCCATACTGGAAAGCTAGCTAGATAGAGATTGGTATTGATCCAAGCATATATGATGTGGGTTATATATATATATAAATAGAATAAAAAGGTCAAGGAAAGTAGGCAATGATTGCAAAAACATATCTTATTCTTATGACAGTACATTGGAAACTGTGGGCATGTGGCTGGTTAATTTGCGGGTTGATATCGATCTATCAACAAATGACCCGAATTGCAATAGGTGGACAATGACTGATGTGGGTAGACTGTAGATTGATACATTTTCGCCGCAAAATACATTTTTCGTTATATCTAATGATCTAAAGATAAAATTTTCTCATTTTTTCACCCGCTAATAATTTGTGTATAGAGCGAACACGCGGGTTTGGCATGGTAGTTATACCACTAGCCTTGAAAACATGGAGATATCAGGTTCAAATTCCTTCGGTAGCACCTAACTATAAAATAGTAATAATATGTATAGAGTATAGACCAAAACTTATGGATTTGAACAACAACTTTCATTTATATTTTGAAAGAAAAAAAACGAGTTTCGTTGATCATAACCTACATATATATATTTTACAAATCTTAATATCAACCTTTGTAAAAACGCTGTAATAGCGTGAATAACCATTCTCATATTACGTGAATAAACCATTCTCACGTTTGAAATGAATAACCATCATTATTGCGCCAATAAAACACCAACTTACGTGAACAAGCACTAAAGTACGTGAATAAATATCAGATGGCATGAATTAGGTGATGATGATTGATGACACACCTAAAAAAAAAATACAAAATACATTTCTCATGTATATTTATACGGTATATATACATGCACGTAGAAAGCAAAATGGCACCCGCTACGAAATCTGGGCCCAAACGCATGATGGTTCATTAAAGGAGGAGTTGTTATGGGCTTATGGATAAGGACCACCACATTAATGTGCTCCCTCTTCCTGATAGTGATGGCAATGGGGCGGGGCGGGTAGCTCAATTCTCATGTCCCGCCCCACGCTACTACGGGTCGGGGCGGGTAAAACTCGCGCGGGTACGGGGCGGGGCTGGTCGACCCACTCTTACATGTTGTTCAAAAAAAATACAAGTAAAATTTACTTGTTACAATAAAACGTAGGGAAAAACACTTTAAGAATGAAAAATATTGATAATAGAATGGATAATTGAGCCTAACAAGTTGAAAGATCGACTCTAACTGGTTGAAGAAAAGTCAAAATAGGAGAAATATGTATAGATATTGTAAGAAATTGAGATAAAATGAGTCTAGAACGGGGCGAAGCGGGTCGGAAGTAGATACCCATGCCCGCCCCACGCTACTGCGGGTCGGGTAATACCCGCCCCATCGCGGGTCAGGTCGGGTAATACCCGCGGGGCGGGTTGAAATTGCCATCACTACTTCCTGTCTGTAACACTACTGGACTGGACATAAATAAATGTGTATATGGATATACATACCTAATTAAATACATACCTACAAATCCTTTGGCAACAAACAAAAAAAAAACCCTACAAACAGTGCAAGTTATGGCCTAATGGGTATTGCTCTTGCTCCCATTACTGCTTTGATAGATGGGACTAGCTAACTATCTACATGTCTGTAGACTTCTTGATACTTCCTCTTTACCGTCTCTGCGTATAACCGCGAGATGGTTACGAAAACTGTACTAAAACTTTTCGTAACTCTGTTTTTATTTAGGTCTGAGTTTGCTCAAAACTTAAGATCGTGATCACAGAAAAAATTAACTCCGAAAAATTTCAATGACGTCTTCGGGCTCTTGGCTTGAGACATATTTAATTGTATGATACACAATGTCGATTCAGACAGTGTATCTCAATAAGAAGCTATATCGTACCGGGGGGAAAAATGACAAGACAAGTCATAAGGATTTTTCAATGTATTTTGCGATCCGGACCGACCGGTTGAACCGGTAAAACCGGCACCCGGTGGCCAATCCGGGTCGGCTTTGAAGGCCGAAGCAGGGAGCGATATCTCTCCACTGCCTCATCTGAACTCAGTCAGTATGCCTTAAGATATGCACTCTAGAGAATCCAAAAAGGGCATAGAAACCTTAAACAAAAGGAGTTTCCAAAGGACATAAAACAAGGTACAGATTTGGACTACTGCAAACGATAGGCTCGAAAGTTTTACTTACTACCTTCTAAGTCGATCGAGAGAGGTTTGCCATCGCCGTCTTTGTTTTTCACTTGGCATTGCCAGCTTTTTGCTTCGCTTTCTCGACGAGAGGCTTCAGCTGCTTCTTCTCGGCGAGGATCTTGAGGAAGTTGAACAAGAACGGGATGTAGTTGTGCTTCCTCCTCACGTTCTCCGTTCTCCACTTCTTGAACTTCTCCTCCTCCATCAGTATCTTTGCAGTTGTGGTCTCGATCCCGCTGTTCACCTCGGACAATGCCTCGGACAGTGACTTGGTCATCGATTCGTAGCTACCAGTGCCGCCACCTTCGGTTTGAGAAGCTGCCAGGATCCTTTCCCGCTGCCTCTGGAGCTCCTTCAGCTCGGCAGTGTACATCTCTTTCCTGTTCTTGATCACCGCCAAGAGGTTGAACCTTATCTCGCTCTTGGCATACCTAGGTGGTATTAAAAGGCATTTATGAAATTAGAGTTTGCATTAGCCAGACACACCAAAAAATACCCTCAGATATACAAAGTAATGACTCTTAGGCATACCTCTCAATGCGCTCCTGGATCACCGGCCCAACCATTTTGAGCCAATCAATGTCATTGGAGCACTGGCCGAGACTGATGGGGCCCTCTTTCAATCCATCAAGCTCGTAAAGCACACCATCAACAGGTAAGTAACTGATGAAGTGGTAGACATCATCATCTTTTCCAGCGACTTTCTGTTCATCGGAGATGAAAGGCTCAGGTCGTGCAAAACTGTTGTGAGCCGCACGTATAGCTTCACTGTTGTTGATGGCTAAGCCTTTGAGCTCTGGTGGGAAGTTCTTGGTGAATTCTTTTAGTTTTGATAATTCAGAACCGATATCTATGCTAGGAGAGTTCATTAGGATGGACAGGATTGCCTGGGTTGCGCAAGCATTGTTGATTACCTACAACGAAAAAGAAAAAAGACGAAGAGATAAACAATAGGTCACTGAAAGATGGAAAAGGATTGATAATCCATAATCAAGATGAATTTCTATGGAATTTACCTGACTTGCAAAAAAGAGGTTAGGATTTGGATCCTTGATTACAGGACGATCATCTTTCTCTCCAGGGCGCCACTTGAAGAGGAAAATCAAGCCATATACTGGTCTGTGAATGGAAGACGATAAACATATAGGAGTATCATGAATACGAGAAACACAAACTAGCGCACATTTACGGTTATAGGATAAACCAATAGTTCCTTATATTGAATACCAAACAGTTGAAATAAATAAAAAAGAAAACAAACCTAAGACTGTCAAGAGAATCAAGGTCCAATGAATACAACTCCTCAACCTGATGAAACAAAGATAATAAAGTTGACATACAGATACAAAAGCAAATACAGGTTTAGTATGATACAATAGTACCAAGGTCCAAGAGAACTAGAGTACGAAGATCCCAAGATCAATGAATCATTTCCAAATTTGGTTCTAAATGGAACCACCAACTAAGAAGCCCTAGACAACCACTAAAAACCGAAGATACAATCAACTATACAAGTAATGAGCAACATACATTTGAGTTACAGTAGTGTAACATTAACACTGAGACGATCTGTAACTAAGGGAGTGATTGGTAAAGGGATGTGGTCGGCATTCACTCCCAGCAATGTAGTACAAGTAAATCGCCCCCGACTCAGTTAGCATTCACATTTCACTACTTTTATACAGACAATGATTCCTGGAATGACATACTCTTGTACAACTCCCAACCAAAATGCATATGATGGCCATGCCTATCCAATTCTTCTCAGCATCTTACTAAGTTGCTCAATAATCCAAGTGGTATGACCATAAACAGATATCACTTCCTAGTATGATGTGCTTGTTTCACAAATACTGCTACTTCATAATGATTTCCGCGCTATATACAATTGAACAAAAAAGCATGAATCTTTTGGTTCACACAGATCAACTCATGTCATTCAAAAGAAGGTTTGTAACTTGCCACCTCGATTCCACTATCTTGTTTCTCGTTATATCTTTAGTAGGCATCACAAAAGACTGGCATTTCTCCTACAGCCCTACTGCCATATGCATTGATCTCGAGAGCATGCATGAAGTAGCAGCAGTACTATCAGCACAAGAGTACCTAAACTCTTCATCCACTACATGATTATTTGAAATGCAGAACAATGGTATTGGCGGCATAAACCTCAGATTCCTAAAATAAAACTTGTGAAAGGAAAAGATGGGCCGATTTAGTGACAATAAAGTTCATTATCCCTAGGACTGGTCACTGGTAACCCTTTGAGCTTATAATGTGGATAAATTATAACATAATGGTAACCATAAACACTCAACACTTGAACCCACGTGACAAAGGCTAACCAAGCTACACAGCCTATTATGTAATTAACTATATGGTAGCATGACACCAGTAGGAGAACACAATCCATACGGAGGCAATCCGAAATCGATATCGGGTAGTTACCCAATAGTTACCTGCACTCCTTTCACTTGCATTTGTTGTATGAGCTCCGTGAAGACACCTGAAATCAATGAAAGACCAGATAAGAGATTGCACCAGTACAAAGTAAGAGCTACCACATCACTATCGTTCTTCACAACGGCCTACTCAACATACTAAGCACGCCCTGTTGAATGGGTCAGTTCCAATGTGGAGTTTTGATAGGCAGAAACAACATTCCCGCAAATCCCAGAAGCTGGAAACGGGATTCTGAGAGGGGGGAGAAAAAAATAAATTGAACCCAAAAGAATACACACAAACCCAATGAAAAAACAAGCAAACTGGACGAAAAGAAAACAGCGGGGGAGCCGAGAATTGCGTACCGGGGTCCGATTCAATGGTGCACCAAGACATGACGATACGCTAAGATGCTACAGAAAAAGCAACGCAGAAAGTTAGGATTACTTCTTATATTCCAATTAGGGGAAAGCAGACTTCGCAAGCAAACACAGAAGGTGGAAATTGAAAAGTGGGGGAAAAAGCGGGTACCCTAAATTACAAGCGGCGGCGACGAACCGAACGGAGGTTTGCAAGCTATGACCGGCGCACGGAACAACCGTCCTCAATCGTTCGTCGGTCTCCTCTTCTTTCTCCAGAAGCTCTTGCTTCCGGTCTTTCTCCTTGCGTTTTGGCAGTTCAGTAAAATGTTGCGTCTTTTCTTTATATAGTACGCTGAGAATATTTTTTTCCCGGGAAAAGAAAATCCATGAATTTTTTATTAATTACCCACTTTTGAACTTCAATCATTTTCTTCATTGCCCATTTCAATTCAATCATTTTCTTCATTGCCCATTTCAATTCACAAACGTCAGATTTTAGAAAGTTTTCAATTTTATTTATTAGGTTATCATATTGAGAAGTTGAACAAACAGAACTTAACTACAGGGATTTCATCTCTCTGTCTCTCTATACAAATATATAAATTTGTATGCCTACACAGTACACACTACAAAGTTAAGGAATCACAACAGTCTTTGGATTCATATCCATAAAATTTATGTATATGATCGAATGCATATGAATGCGCTTAGGCGATGCATCGATGCAGATGACGACGACAACGACGATGATCGCTAGACAATGGAGGGAGCTGGAGCAGAGCTATCAGTCATCTGGTTGGCAGTCTTGTCGCAGCAGAGCGTGATCAGTTTGTTGCAGCACATGGACGTGCGATCGAAAGAGAATTTATCCCAATCGGCTGCTTTCTTCGCCGACGCCTCGTCGGGCGACGGAGCAGCTGCAGCAGAGCTGCCGGCGGCGGAGTCGTCGGCCACGGCGAAGCTGGTCTGCATGAGTATCAATGCCATGCAGAAGAGGACAGCCACGGCCTTCTTATTGTACCCTGACATGGTTAAATGATGATGTTGATGAAGAAGGCAGTGGGGGGAAATGTTAATATCTTGAATCGCTTTGATCTGAGTTGAATCGAATTGCTCATTAGGATGAAGATGGTTTGGATTTTATAGGTCTAATCAGGGAATCATGTGCCTAAAAATAGTTATCCGTTAATGGAGATTGAGGGGAAGGTTAAAAATAGACAGCATATAGGCTAATAAAAGATTAGGGAAACAAGAGGCAATCAAAAGGGACACACGAAACACATTCTTATAGCATTAAGTCACAATTTATGGGTATCAAGAAGAAGGATACAGATTCCAAACACATGCTATAAGTTATTGAGGGACATCATCTAGGATGAAAGGCCCTAATTTACCCGTTCTGAACAGAGTTAGGAGCTTCTTCGACACCATCAGCCGAGCTTCTCCTGCTTTGTGAGGGATCTTCATGGCCTTCTGCAGCGCGCCAAACTGATCTTCTATGAGATGCTCTAGGTCGCTTTCTTCCTCCACGTTGCCATCGAATTCGGTCAGAGTTCGATAAAGGGCACATTGGACTTCCGTCACCATATCCTAAGTTTACGCGTTCGATCACGATGTTACAAAGTGATGCATAGACGAGTAGTTATGAATTTGTTTGAGTGGGAGGAATGTTGGTTTACCTCGACATAGATGAGATCGGAGAAGTCGGGCTGCTTCCTTCTCTTTTGTCGAAGCTCTTTAAGGTTGTAGCTTTGTTTGTCCTCGGGCTTGTATCGGATCCCGTCCATTTTCCTGTTGTTCCAGTGCTTCCAGGAGAGGGGAGTGCCGCGAAGGTTTAGAACTGCTAACAAGTATTGAGCAATTCGCTCCTCACCAACGACGGAATCTTTTACTGATCCTGCAACAACAATTCGTAGCATGTTAATAGTTTCAACTCTATCATCAATAGAACATATAGACACCAGAGAAATATTCAGATAGTTCAACCTGCAAGGGCTAGCTTTAGCCCTGTTTCTATATCGGGAATGCTAGGGACCAACACGCCTGGTGTGTCTAGAACATATATGCTAGGCTGATGAGCAATCTGACGATTGAAATAGAACAGAAGAACGCGTGAGGAGACAAATACTTATTCAGGGACAAACCAAAATCACAAAAAAAACCTTCAGCTATTGTCGTTTAATGATAGAGAAAACAGCAACTAACCTTGTAACCGGCAATATCTTGTGTGACTCCAGGCAGAGGACCAACTGTAGCTCGCTTTAGCTTGTCGGGTGCTACATTCAGAAAAAGGTCTTTGTAGGTAAGGAGCTTTCACATCATCGCATAGAACTTTCACAATTGTAAGAATTGCCACCACATATTACTTACCAGGATAGCGAGACAACGCGATTTGGTGAATAGAATTGATGAGAGCAGATTTCCCGACATTAGGGACACCAACTACCATAACAAGGAGAGTAGGCTCCCTTGACATCACCTCCTTCAGCTTCAACTCCACTAGTTCAAGAAGCTGTTGCACATGAAATCGCATTCACAAACATCTGGTTTCAGTAACACAATCAAAAAAGAAAAGCTTCCAAGTTTCATAGATAGAACAACCAAGTAAGGCTGTTGGATGATACAGGTTGATAGCCTGGGGCATTGACTAATGCAACAGACACGCAACAACTGCTTCTATATTTCGTATAAATGTGATCATTAGGATCCTTAGATGATATCCATCCAGCAAACGGTCCTATACTGCTCTTAAATTAAAGTAAGTGACTGCATATCAGCTACTCATAACTGCAAGAATGGGACACTGTTCAAAACCGCTACAGTGACATCAAACTTACAAAAATGAATCTGCCTCGGCCACCAAATAGCCGTTCTACAAACAGATAAGGAAACTGTTTGGACATTATTTAACGACTTCATTCTTAACATGATAGCTAACCCCTCGAACATTCCTGTATCACATCATCTATTCTACCATTTCAACTACCAATCACATAGTTCAGATCTCAACTACAATATGAAGAATCAAAAGTTCAGCAATCACTGATAATAGTACTCACCTTCTGGACAGAGCTCTTGCTATGCGAATTGACAAGTATGCAGTCCTGCTTGCAGGAGTCGAAATAACTTGCCCATTTCTACCAAACAAAGAACCAAGACTCAACATTTTCAGTGGAGAAAAACAAATTAAAGAAGCAACCAACCCATAACAACAGAATGAGAGAAACACATTACATGCATTATATTAGGATTCGCCAAGTCCTTCTTGTTGAGAGCAATCACGCGACGTTTGGACAGCAGCTGAGGCTGCAAATCAGCATTTGCAGACGACAACGGTATCTATTTTTCCATCACACAGACAGCACAATTAAACCGGAATCAGCCACTGCAATAACGAAGCAACTCAAAGCTTCGCACATACGAGAAACGCCACCAGCGATGGACAGAGCGGAGGGATAAGAATAAGAAGAAAAAGAAGTATGACATACATACACGAGAGTCGCGGACTTCAATCACGAGGTCGGAAACCTTGAGGCGCTGGCGTATGGCGTGAGTGGCCGCCGCCATGTGTCCCGGGAACCAATTGATCACCCCGCCGCCGGCGGTGAAACCCATCTCCCCCAATCCCTTCTTCACCAGTCCCTTCAACCCTCTTCCCATTCTTGCTCGCCAATTGAACGCAACTGATGTCTGTGACCTATAACAGAAAAGCTCAAGTCCAGACGGAGAGAAGTTTACGATCGCGGGACTTACCGGCGCCGGAGTTTTCGCATTTACAAGGTGAATGATTCGCTGATTTGCCTCTGAGGATGAAGACCGAGGCGGGGGTTTCGTTTCGCCCGTCGGCTTTTAGAACACTCGACTGCGCCGCCGCCGCCGGTTAATACTGATGAAAACGGCAGATCGTTTTGCATGCCAGCGAGCGGCTGGGCTAAAAATAGGACCCCAAGCCCAATTTGTAAGTACTGAAACAAAACAAATTCTCACAGGATAAGCCCAATACTTAAATAAGGCTTTTTCAAATGAAAGCCCAATAATTTGCCTCTTCCTTCAACCACACGAAACAAAGTCCACAAATCCCAAGCTAGGTAGCGTCCGTGTTGGTTGTTCGCCTCTCGTCAATGGTCGTAAGATCGGGAATTTGATTTTATGCAGATTAACAAAGTCATTTTTTGTGCTCTCAAAACGCTTAATTACAGTTAAAAGTAACATTCGATCGCTATGATTATCGATCAAATCAAATATACGTATATATTATTATAGCGTAACAACGTGATAATCTAGAGATTATGATTTGTCGACTAAGTTCGTATATAAAGGTGATTTAAGGAAGTATAGTACACATGTGATGTGGACACTGTTTTATTCCTCCTTAATTGTACGACTCACGAGAAGGGGAATGTATTGCCGCTTGCATGCTTTCACAATAAATATGGCCTAGTCAATTTGATCGGTGCCTTTTTCATGCATGCTTTTGTGTAGTTGTTGAATATCTCTCAATCTCAATCTCAATCTCGTCACATGTATCTTGCTCTTAGCATTTAGTCCGATTTGATGATAAAACAATAGGATAGCAACTAATCCATGTGTTTTCCTAAGCCTAAAATTCCGAGCTCTAAACCCTAAAATTTAAATAATAAGCTCTAAACCATCAATCCCGAAACCCGGAAAATTTTCAAATAAAAGGAAATCTCAAATGATTTTTTTTTTTTGCGTAAGTGTATGTGTTTTCTTGTGTATCGCATGTCACAAGTGACGATTGGTATCGTTTTGACATATATCCATGATTGCAGTCCAAAACATCAAGATGTATTTAGTGAATTTTCTTTAACAGTAAAACTGAAACGAAAAACAATATGAATGATGACAGTTATAGACATTTATTAACGGAGGATTTCTAGCTCTTGGTCTAGTAACTCGTAAATTGCCTAATGTGTGAGCCACGTGGGACTCTCGGAACCTTCGGAACTATGTATACATGAGTAAGTGATTAGGAATGATAACGAGGTATATCGGGTACAGATCCGATCCCGGTGAAAGTATTATGTCATGAAAAGAAGATGCAAATGTAAAATGAAATTAGGAAAACATTTAAACAAGTTGTAAGTGGTGAGGTGTGTTTGGCACTTTTATTTATAAACTTAAGACGAAAAATATATATCCAAAGACAGCAGAGAGATCGCACTTCTTCAAGACGAAACCAATAAACAAACATATTATTAGAGGAACCAGTTGTAGTCTGGAAGGGGAGAGGCATGGCGTCTGTGAATCTCAATTAAGCAGACCTTTTTTTCCTTAATCAAGTAAATAAACCTTTCCCTGACCTTAATTAAAGCGACAGCCAAAAGTGATGGAGTAGATTATCCCTTCATCTAATGGTGAATTATTGTCAATGTCTAGTTTTTTTTTTTTTTTTTTGTGGGAATAATGTGTCCTGTTTGCGAATTGGCTTAGAGCAATTTGTGGTTATGGGTGTCCTGGGCTATAAAAGCCTTGTTTTTTTTAAGGATTTTGTGGTTGATCGATCAATATGAAACACACATTAAACATTGTACAACATTGAAGTCTCTCCAGAGATATGTCGAATCACAAAAAAAAACTTTGTCTGATCTCGTATTGTGACTGTTTAGCACCATTGCGTCTGTAGTTAAATATTAAGCTCGGATATATAACTATGTTTTTTTTTTAGTTTAAGAAGACTTGAATTGTTTAAAACGATGAGAGATCGATAATACTACGACTCAAATGCATGATTTTTGCAGTGTTAGATCTGATTCTAACTAATACCATATTATCAAACATTAGCCGAAACGTGAATTGTTTAAAACGATCAGAGATCGATAATACATTATATATAAACAATCAGTATCTATATGGATCATCTATATATATCCCCAGTTGATATATAGCTAAAATATCCTAGCAAATTGAAATATCTTCCAGATATCATTAGCTAGCTAGCAAAGCAAGGAAATATCTTCGAGATATTCAGCCAACCCTAAACCCTGAACCTGCAGAACTATCTTCCAGCTGGTAATCTTCTTCTTATATACAATTGCAGCAGCAGTAGTGCAGTTGGCACTGTTTTATCGTTATCCTTCTTCTGTACATCAACAACAGTCAAACACATGCACATCGGCAGTTGCATGGAAGCTAGTCAGCTAGCAGTGTGTTCATATTAAAGTATATATATAAATGTGCAAAGACAGCAATAAACCACCAGATCTGAAGTAATTATATCGTAATTGAATTAAATTACCTGATAGCATGTTAATTATGCAAATTCTACTCATTTAATTAATTATCAGCTCTGGTTAGTTTCAAAGGCGAGTTATCTGCCACGTAAACCCTACGACTACTAAGCTACAAACCGAATCTGTTGGTCGGAGAATTTGTCTGCCGGTAGCTAGATGGCACCTAATTATCTTCTTTGGTTTTTAATTATATAACGCTTTAATTAACAAATCAATGACCAATGGTTGGGTTGTCATCCCTAATAAGATCTCGGTCGGTTTGGTTTTTTTACTTCTACTATTTTATTTTTACCTTTATATATACTTTTTTTTAACCTTAATTGGCTCTGTGTGGAGTAACTGAGTTGTGCGTTTGATTTGGTTTTGTTTTGTGCCGTTATATTTGTGGATTTCTAGTTTGCTTTCCTTTGCAAGTTGGAGATTGGTTGGATCGTTCGTAGAGGGTGATTCAAGAGTGGTTGGATCTTCCGAAAAAGTCCCTTCATTAAATTTTATCGCACTGTGCCTGCCATATTAACTTGGCTGATTGTTTTTCGAGCGAGAGAGAGAGAGAAATATTGGGGTTCTTGTTTGATCGAGACGCGAAATTATGACACGAGTCGATACTCTCATGAGATGTTTGTTTCCAATTATATATACAACATGATAACGAAGGACCGTGTGAATAAGTACAACTAATTAAGTAGAGATTCTGATGATTTAACAACGAACAATCATGCATCAAACTAGCTATCGATTAATGAAAGCAATTAGCGAGGACAGACATACGAAGAGCTAGTAATTAATAACAAATTACTTAATAATTAACTAATTGAATGTAGGAAATGGAGAGTGCATATGTTATGTGGTTGAAGCCCTGGGATCTTCCGACACGTTGCATGAATTCAATCATCACCACCACTCACCAGTCACCACCTTTCATGTCTTTCTTTAGTTTATTGGAAAACCAATTCTCCACCCAATCAATAAACAAATAAAGGATATAAACATATGACAACATATATATATATAATACACCATTTGAAAAGAAAATGCAATAACGTGTTTCACTCGAATTCGATTACAACCCGACTTATTAATAATCTCACGAGCTTTATTCGAGATCGACTTAGCATCAAACTGCGAGATCACCTGGAGTTCATTTGTTATATCGTTTAGTTCATAAGTTTTGATTACGCATATCATGTTATGTAATATATAATAATTAGTACCTTCATAATCTATAAATAATTTCATTTATAAGTCACTAGTCGAGGTGGATCAACAAGGTGAGCTAGCTCAGAACGAGGTGAGCTAACTAGCTCACGAGTTGAGCTGATCAACAAGCTATCGACTCAATAGTTAGCTCATCACGATCGTTTTAAGCTGGAAAAAGAGTACTTTGATCGATCTCGACTCGTTAGTAAACAAACCAAGTTTCAAACGGAATTTTTCTCGAGTCAAAACACCGAACTGCTCATAATACGATTTTGCTAATTTCTAGTCACAAAGATGAGGAAACATTCAATCCAATGAGCACGCATAGGTGCGCAGAGCCAAATAATCATTTCGTTCATCTGGATTGCGGCAGCCGCGTGCATTCATTACCATCTATACGCATGACATTTTCCCACATTCGCATGGTCCTCCCTAATCGCCTAATAATTACCAATAATCAATCCTCTCCTGATTACTCATGAAGAATCATCATCACTCCACTCTCTCCACACAAATCCCTCAATACAACCGCGGGGGAAAGAAAAAAAAGAGATTAAGCTTAATTTTTTTTCATTAATGATTCGACTAAGAAAGAAATTCATTACGAAAAATATTATAATACTAGAAAACGAAAGTCGCATTTATATAACACCTTCATCAATCATCATACGCTACACGTACCTATCCAAACCCCCGGCTTTTCCAAATTATAAAAAAAAACACGCAATTAATTTAAAGTCGTCCCAATTAATTAATTACATAAAAAAATCAAACCCGTACGTCATCGTTTTTTACCATTCATCTCACAGCCGGAGAAGAAACACACTGAGCTCGGGCCCACCGCTGCCGTCCGGGTTCATCATGTAGAAAGCTTCCGAGTCACGGCTCCCCACGACTCGCTCGAACATCGCCCTCATGTACAGCAGCTCCCCTTCCCCGCACGACGCCGTTTTATCCTTCCCTCCACCGCCCTTCCCGTCCTCCAGCGCACACGTGGCGGGAATCACCCCGGCCCCGACCGAAACCGTCCGGACCGTGTTCAGCACGCGCGCGTCCAGCGAGTTGCAGCACCGACGCGCCGCCGCGTACCCGCACTTCCTCCCGTTGCAGTACATGCTCCACTCCGCCTCGTCGAACAGCTTCGGCGGCGCCGCCGCCGACCGCGACTTGTCGCACTCCAGCGCGATCCGGACCAGACCAGACGACATTTCTTTGACCAGCGTCGCCGTCGACATGGCCAGCTCGAGGAGGAGGGCCGGGTCGGAGCCCGGCCCGTCCTGCACCGCGAACGTGACGTGTCCCCTCCGGTACCCGAACAGCGTCCCCGTCACCTTCCTCCCCAGGCGTGGGCCCACCGTCGTCTTCATGACGGTGGACCCAATGGGGAGGAGCTGCTGAGGACGTGGCCGTCCTCGGGACACGCCTGCGGTGGTGGTGGTCCCGAGGACGGAGGAGGACAGCCAGTGACAGGCTGGAGGGGAGAGGAGGGTGTAAGGAAACGACAAAACCTTGAGGATCGTCCTGACGAATGAGGAGACTCTGAGGTACTTGTTGGCACCGAAGTGGCTGCTGTTGCTGCTGTTGTCCTCCACGTGTCTGTTCGCACCAGCAGCTCCTCCTCGTACGACGAGGAGCTGCTGGCCGTCGGAGGAGTAGGAGCTGGCCCGGCTCGGGGTGTTGATGACGTAGAAGTCGTTGTCGGAGCAGTGCTCCGGGATGGGAGGGGGACGCGATGACGATGATGACGACCTGGTCATCATCGTCATCGCGTAGTAGTTCGAATGTGGTGAAGAAGACATCGACGTGGTCGACGACGGAGCGATCCTTCTGTTGTTGCTGCTGCAGAAGGATCTTCCGGTGCTGCCGTTTCTATCGAGGAGTGCCGGCGCCATGGTTAATGGAAGAAGCGGTGGGAGAAATTGAATGATGGTGGTGGTGGGTTGGAGAGTGATGGTTATTGTTTAATGTGATGGAGTTGGCGCTACTTTAGGCCTTTATATATACAAACTGTACTAGCTCGAGGAGTGGCGTGACAACAATAAATATATTAATAATGCAATAACAATATAGAACCATGTTGGTCATATATATAGGTGGCGTTGTTGTTTTTATTATTATTATTATTATTATTATTATTATTATTATTATTATTATCTATTTAGAGGGTTTGAATTTATTTTTCTGTTTTTTTTTCCCGTTGTATAATAAGTCTATATGTGCCTTTTATGGTTTATTGAACGTCGCGGATCCGAGAATAATTGCATATAATAATGTGTTGTACGTATCTCATCTAATACTTATCTATTTAATTAGTAATTAAAATTAACTATATATATGTAAATACGTCGACGGTTTGGCTTTTTACATTGGTCAGATCTTGACTTGTCACCTCGAGCTTTGACCGTAATCATCTTGCTCATTGGCTAGACGGCCAAAGATGTATATATACAATATATATAGGGTTTCTTTATACAAAGATAACATGATCATAAAGCCATAGCTAAATTAAGTAATATTTTGTTGAAAAAGTTTGAGTTCATTTATTTTTATCATCGAGCATTAACCAACTTGGAAGAGTGGGAAGTTTACTAACTCAGAAAAGCAAATAGTGAGGCATGCATTATCTGATAATTTGAAGAGAGTCATCTATAAATGTCGGAGTCTGCTGTCAAAATAATAGTTGTTGCAAGTATTATTTGGTCATGAATCGAATCTACAAAATGATATGTGGGAGCTAGTTAATATCGTTCAAACCACTTATATATTCTCTTCTTCATCCAGTAAACACGACGTAGTCGTTCTTGCGCTCTCTTTACTACTCGCTTGAGATCGTGATAATTAACCTTGTATGTGCACGTCTGAGGCACTCCCACTCTTCCGAAGTCCATTGACTCGATGTATCTCATAACAATTTTCTTGATCACTACAAAATCTCTAACATTGTGCAATTAATGAGATCTTACGTAAAGAAGTCCAACAAACTCGTGACGATATTTCTACTTGATATTGCTGGATGAGCCAACTAGATAGACCTATTATAAGCTTAGGATAATTTTCTAAGATATTTTGAATAGAAGAAGAAAAAAAAGACCAAGATGGATCTTTGTATCACCCCTAATTAGCCCTCCCCTAGCTCAAAGTATCTCTTTTTAACACCATTATTGATCCATCAATAAACAAATGTGAACTCAAATATCTCGAAATATCTCAAAATATCTTTTTGATCAACCTCCATTATTATTGAGAAGGAGGGAGCAAAGGTATCTTTGGACATCAAGGACAAATCAAAACGACCAGAATTAGCATATGCATCTAATAAGGCCAAGCGCTATCCTCTTTTTCTAATTCAGTGATTATCTGTAGACTAAATGGCTGCTAGTTGCTGTTCTTATGAGTTCCACAGCCACGAGTACCTTCACATACGATAGCTTATTTTTATGATTACTAATTAATATAGAAAAGGCACAAGTCATCATCATATCCCCCTCTAATTATATTATTTCACACACACTAAGAGAACAAGTTTGTAATGTCTTCCCTAGAAATTGCCTCCATTGATTATTGGGATGGGCCAAAAACACATATACATTTTTCGTTTTTATTACATCATGTGTTTTTAATCCCGGGTTGTTCTGGTTTTATGTAAAGATTTTTCGCTTCTTACCTCTTGTCATATGAGTATTTAACAGAAATCGTGATTTTTTTTTTAATTTTCCTGATGCATTTTCCCATTCTGTCATAGGGGTTTGGAAACAAAAATTATCTTTTTCTCATCCTTGGTTTTGATCAAGTCGATTGTTCCCCGCTTGATACATTTGGTCCATATTCTTATGGCTTGTTGAATATAAAATGATGAACTGAAACAAAGTTGCTAGCTACATATCAAGTATTCTAAGAATCCGTTGTTTTGTGGCAGTTATGTCCTTCCATTAGAACTATTGAATTGTTTTCCAAGGCAAGCCCAGAGGGCGTAGGCCATGAACTCAATTACAAGAGCAACTACAACCAAACACGATAGTCCGTATGCAATCAACCTACCAAAGAAAGAGCCTTCTTTTTCCCCTACATGGGCAACTCAGTTGAAACTCTGCGCAAATGACACGACACTCACTCTAATAAAGAGCAAAAAAACACGATATAGACGCAAATAGCGTGAAATGAAAAGAATCCTCCAGCAAGATAGCCCTCGCCAGTAAGTGTGTAGCTTCCTTCGACAAAACATAATGTCGGATGGCGAGCCGCCATCAAATGGCACTACCAAAATTTTAAGTATTTCACACCATCTCATAGTATATGGAAAAGAGATTAATTCAACAATAAAGACATATGAGATATCACCATAGTATTTTAACAATATAAAATATGTTGGAAAAATCAACTTATAGTCCTACGAAATCAGTTGCACTTCCTAGATTAATTGCATATCACCATCGAAATGGCCTATGATTTTCATCCAAAACTGGTTAAGCCAAAAAGGCATACGATGCTAGAAATCTCCATCTCAAAAGACTAAGGTCTGCCCTTAAAGTATATATAATCGGAGTTATCGAATATCCAACACCAATGGTATCATTCATCTCCTAACACACCCTTAAGACATATTGTATATTTGTATTGGATGAAAACCCATTTTCATGAAACGAATTGAGTCATGGTTGGTTATTTGGGTAATGCCAAGCAATTGGAGGCGGTTGGGTTGTATACAAAGCTACCAAATCTGCCCTGTCCCTTAGTGATTTCGATTGGTTTGATGTGATGGGTTACGTTAATATAGTTTATTATACCTATCTACCTCTAGCTGCTAGCAAGCAAGCTTCTCAATTCTCATCAATTATCATGCATTGGATGATAACGACAATTATGATGATAGCTACATTTAAGCTATAATTTAGAATTGTAATTATATGATGATTGATCTCTTGAAAGGTCTTCTGTAGTTTGCCCTTTCACCATCACAAATTTGAAGAAATACTAATACACCCTTTCACCGTAATTAAAAACACATTTAGTTCCTATCCAAGTTACTAGATGATTTTATTTTCATGGAGTCGGAGCAGATCTGATAATTTTGATTTTCGTTTTGTTAGTAGGGTAGACAAATAGGGTGATTTCCTTCGTTTGATGGCTGAAAAGGCGATCTCGTTAATTTTGATCAGTTTGTTGGAATTTTGATTCCATTATTAGTTGTCGTCCTTCACGTGAAACGATTGTTTATTTATGATTTTGATAATTCTAACGAGAAATTGACAAAAGTAAGAACAAAAGCCTCCCATTCGAAGCTCCATGCACTCGTCAGTACTCGCGTTGCATTCAATTAATTGGCTGTTGTCCATGTATATTTGCATCCATTTAATCTTTCATTTACGATCGTATAGCATCATATAAATGCTCGAACTGTATCGCCTTCACAATTCGAACATGAGACCCTTACAACATATCCATTTTACACGAATCTCGTAGACCGATTCACTACAACAAAGATCCATGGTTGGTTGGGGGCCACCACGTACGTACCCTGATTGTTACCAATTACCATAATGTGATTAAAAAGTGGCCCTCGAAATCATACAAAACTCTTACAATACCGAAGTGAGTTGATCATCATCAATAACAAATCATATTTACCTTTTCTTAATCATACGGTGCAACGATCGGCCACGAGTCTGAATATCAAATTGCAGAATTCCCTTAAGCAAACACGTAGGAACCCGATTATGTCATCCTCTTGGGCTACTAAATCACAATCATTCAACGTAACTCTCCATAACCACATATTAATTATTTTTCCATAAGCGTGATCCCGAAACATTACCTGCTCTGTTTGTATATCAAAACAAGTGATTGGATTGGATAATGAAAAATTAATGGATCTATCGCTCGATTCCATGCAAAGCTCTGAAGCAACTGGTATACTAACCATGAATATTTCGATCATGGTCGGTTCCAAAACCTGGGATTTGGTCCCCCCCTCCCTGCAACTTATATAAATTAAGTTGGATTTCGTTGTACGAAGTGATGAGGGGAGGAAGACGAAGCCACGTGGAGGGACAGTGGTAGCTACTCGACGTCGACGTTTTGTGTTCATTATTCCATGCATGTATGTCAAGTTGTCAACGCAATGAATTAAGCTTCGAGTTTTAAAACCCACATTGTGGTCCTGGTTAGAGGGTTTTTTGTGATTGGGTTTAAGATCGGAAAGCATAGATATTGGATCGTACGTTTAGAAGATTTGAAGGTTGGCTAGGTGTGTTTGAGTGGTACAATTTGATTTGGAAGTAATTCTGTGGTGTTTTCTGACGATAAATTTGGTGAAAATAATAGAAAGAGGCGGAGATCGATTCTAGAGCACGTATCAAGTTATCGTCAATGAGAAATTGAGGGCCTACTGCGGGTATTAGATAAGTTGCGTTTGGTGGTCAATTTAGAGCCTAATTTCAGAGGACAGGGAGTCATATTTGATCATCGTTGGACAAGAGACCACTAAGTCTTATGATGTATCTTCAGGGACAACTGGATACCGAATACCGAGTGAATGATGCAAATTGGGTATTCTACAACTTTTTAGGGTCTCAAACACTCGGTTGTCCATTAAGCAAATTTCATTGAAGACTGCTTAAAAACACGTAAATACTTTGAAGTTAAAGGAGTACTTATTGGAATCGATTGGATAATTTTTTTTTTTATGATAATGTGCATAAATTTTACTCATTTGGGGTTTAATTTTTATACATAGATAACTAGGGTGTAACACGCGGGACTTAGAATAGATAAATAGAAAATAGAGGGATCAGAAGAGACATTTGCCAAATGTATATAAATGTGGCCCGTAACAACCTAACGGTCACTTGGTGAATAATAACAACTTTTCCCTCTCACTTCTTTCTCTCTCTTC